CGAGCAAGAGGCTTATGGTATATCTCCAACCAACCTAAGACATTGGCTCTTATTCAAGCTGAACCGACCTTGATCTAGGCATAAGGGAGACTCCACAACTTAGATTTTCACCGATATATGTATATGTTGCCAGAAGCGATTCAGTGAATTCGTACTGTATATTCAGGATGCGCTCCACCTCATTCAGTAACCCCGATCGTAACTTGTGATTCGTTTGAAAGTGTTATATACGCAAGTTTCAGAGACTTTGCCACCTCGTCGGTCTGATTGAAGAACACCAAGGTAGCGAGACAATGCTTCCAAATCTTATTGTGGGCAAGGAAGTAAAACGGACCATTTTCTGCTCGGCGTGTTTTCCTTCAAAAACCCTAACCACTTCGGCGCCTTGTGTGACACGGAATTCAGGTTTGCCAATTCACCCCTATTCATAAGCAGGCTACCCGTACTAATGGGATTGCCGCTATAATATGACCGTATCGAGAAGAGCGGAGTTACTTTGGGAGATGTCGACGTGTAAAGAGAAGCGGCGAAATAGTTAATATGTTCTTGTCGACGCCATTTGTAAATAACACCGAGATCCGCGATATACTGATCTCTATTGGTCTAATCAGCCTTAATTTTTTTTTATTGAAGAGTTTTGACATGGGAACATTCTCCCTTAATCCTAGCAAAGATCTTAGGCGCTAAGGTTATGCATAATCTATAGTCTACTAAGAGCAATACTATATTGTCTCTCTTGTCTAATCCGCCAACGGCAACTGGCCAAAGAAGCGAGACGACGATATTGAAGAGGCATTCTTCCTATATAATGAGCGCATAAGAAAAGCTAACGCCGGGCCGCTCACCGATTTTCCGAACGTTAGGGGTAGCAGATATATGAGTCCAAGAGGAATTGAGCTTTTGTGGTATTCTGGCTAAAAGGAGATCAAACAAAAGAACAGTAATCGAATATGCGGTTAGTTAGACTCATAAACCGAGTGATGGCTATTGCTGGCATGAAAAGTCTCTCGAAACTCCCGTCGGCCCCGGGAAAGTTGAGTCAAGAACCTCCAAACGCCCTTCTCATGTATCAAGATTTACGACTTCACAATGCATGTGGTGGGTACGGACTCGAGTCAGTGGGCATGTGATCGATCAGTTAAGTTTGTCCTGCTGGGTACCTTCGGCCACTAAGAGAGAACCACTGTATAAATGGAGAAGATGATGGCTTAAGGCTAAGCAATGCATTGTGTCTCCGGGCGCTACTAGAGCATGATAAGAAAAGAGTACTGGGGTCGTGGTTGGCGTGCCTGGTGATGAAACATGAGGAATCACAATGATCGTACAGAAGAGAAAAAATAAATACATAAAAAATAAAAAATCTGTGGGCTTATGCGGATGGCGTAAGAACAATCCCTGCAACTCGCGATGAGTGGACGGTCAACCTGGTACATTGCATTAGGGAATGAGTCGGGGATTGATCTTCGGCTTTCAAGCATGAATTCTGATTTCCTAACGTGGCTCTATGCACCTCGTAAGATGCATATCATATGTAATCTGAGGTCAGCTGCGTCAACCTATCATGTAGCCTGGGTATCAAGTCGACAGCGAAACCGATAAAGGTAGAATCCAGGCTCAGATTGCGGCCCGCTCCTAGACTAGATCCTTCTCTGTTTTTACGTTGCATATGTAATGTCACCCCATTTGAGAATTATAATTTGTCTTATTGGCTATCTCGGCCTAAGTCTAAGACGTTATAACGGCCATTTAAGCCACCTACGAGAAGAAAGTGAAGACGTTGTGAGGGAAACGTACTCAAGTAGTGTATGTATTGTACATGATGGAAAGCAGTTTCTATTGTAGCTCCACCTCGCCCTAAGTGAACCCCCCCTTATCCCTGTCGATATTCCAAAAGTTCCCGATACCATGGTAAATGTCAAAGAGAAAATGATTTTCTATGGGCTTGTTCAACTTCAGGTTAAGTCTGAATTACTCAAAGCCACATACTTGTACACAGCTTGATAAATGAGCGCCAGTCAATAGTGTGTCTTGGTTCATTTCATCGCAGGAATATCAAGGCAGGAAGGTTATGACCCAGTCATAGGTCTAACGATGTAAGTCTCCCGATCCTAGTCGCACATCATTTTTGATCGACTGCTGCTGCGAAGGTGTAATGCTAGTCTAAAGCACGAATAAAACACATCTTCCGCGAAGAAAGCAGGTTCATCCTATCTTGTTCGGCTGAAAGGCTTATGCCTACTGGTTCTCTGGAAATATTGCTAGCTTCGGCAAACGGGTTTTTATGAACCTGGGCAAAGGGGATTTCACCGTTATGAAGAGGCTCTCTACAATTTAAGCCGCACTTTAGTTTGAGTAATCTAGTCCCGGATCGTCTATTAAACGCAAGTCGATAGTGTCGATAGGTGAATTAAGAAAACCTAAGAGGCTATTTCTGCAGCGTATCAAAAGGAAGTTAGCAATGAAGGAGGGATGTAAATATATTGGACCTATATGCATCTGGACTGCCGCAATATTAACGTGTCGTGTTGTTGTATTTTATAGCGTTACATTATCCGAAAGACTAAGATCCTGACCTCCCCTTGCTTCCCCAAATCTTCACCAGCTATTTTACCGGGCTGCTGGAATTGATTGGAGCCAGTATTAACCTGGCTTAACATAAAAGCAATATTTTTTTACGTCTGCGATCGTGCGTTGGTATAGATTGGATGGCTTAAAATGTCTTTTGAATGTCTCTCATAGAGACAAGGAATTTTAGAAATGAGACATATATATTAGTATCGTCGTGTTCATCTTAAGTTGGATGAGCGAATGTGCGATGTCATCCTAGTATACCAGGTAACTAGCTAAAGTACCCCTCATGGTTTTCAAGGGGGAACGTCATCGTGAGCTTAATTCGTAGCAGCATTTAATGTGACATAAAATTCGTCGTAAAAAAACTAACTAACTTGAGACTCAAAAACCAGACGGTTGAAGTTACAAGTGAAGGATATTGGGAACGTACCACAGTTACAACGGTATGGCTGCAATCTATAGCCGCCATCAAGAAAATGCATTTTGCACGTCCGAGTCAGCCCTAACGGTTTGGGGGGGATTTCCCCTGATTTCGACCCAAGATCCGTTTTACCAACTGTCTCCCTGCACTCCCTCAAGGCTATCAACCTCCATTTCACGTTAGCGAGTTGGTCACTGTATCACAGTGCAAGTCAATTTAGAGTAATGGCATTGGCTCTTATGTAACAAGAGTGTGCCACTACTTTCAGGCCATCGTTCCATTCATGGTTTGCTACCTTTCTAACCTAGTGCCGGGAACAAGGATTACATGCAGAAAAGCACAGGGCAGCAATATAAAAGCTAGTCGAATAACTAACCAACTACATACCTAGCTCGCTAGATCTAGACGAGGATGCTGTAGACGATGTTATGTGGAAAGGGGAAGAAAAGAAGAAAAATAAGAAAAGAGATTTACAACCAAGGACGATTACGGGTCCGGAGAGAACTGGCTACTCCCGGTAATCCCTGTTATCCCCCTCCTAATCCCAGAATACCGTTTGCATGGTCCCAGAAAACTGGTTGAACCGCTCCCGTCGTGATGTTACCGCTCGAATAACATGTTGCTTCTCTTATTACAGATCTGCGCTTCGCTCAATCCATATACTTGTTAAGAGATCTAGCGTATAAGATATATACTCTTCGGGTCAACTGTGGCATAGCTCTCTCGGCGCACTTCGTATCCGTTCCTTAACGCCCTAGTGCATTTTTACACGTCCATGCATTGCACTCCCCCCTTAACTTTAGAGCTACAGCCTATGGAAAGTACTTATTGGCTATTATGGGAATAATCGTATAATTCAAATAGTACTTACATCATACGAATAGCAATCTATGCTCGTCGGAGGCACTTCTGGTGCATAACAAGTCGGGTAATCCCCTTGGATACAGGGTTGTCTGATCCAATGTCGAAGGTTGAAGTAGAGAAAACCAACTATAGTGGATTCTGAGATGGTATCCGCCTCATATTTGACATCGAGGCGAAAGGATAATAGGGATTGACAACTCCAAGTTCCAGATAGCGCCGCTTTTTGCCAGTATCTCAATAAGAATTTGATATTCTTTTTTCTAATCATGCGTGGGTCGATATAGACGTATTAAATTATCACTTTTCTTTTCCTGCTCTCGTCATCAATTTTAGCCCCGGCATCTCTTCATGCCATTCTTTCGTTATAGGAAAAACAAGTAGCGAGGTCGCCTGCATATCTTATACATAGCTTAGATCCTGTCCCTCTCCTGCACGCAGATCGTCCTGATCCTCCAGCCACTCACCGGTAGCTCATAGTTTCTGATATATGCTCAGCGTCTGCCCCAGACAGATCTTTTTTCATGGCTGTTTCCGGTGCCGGACTCAGATTATCACACCCCTTCTAGCGTAAAAACGACGAAAATTTTGCTAACTTTCCTAGCTTGGGAAACCTAGGCCGTCCCTTGTGGTGAAAATTTCTAGAAGTCGTGGGCCGTGCTCACGTTCGGTCATAGCTCTAGCTTCAAAAGGGTGGCGTTCAGCTATATCCGTCCTCGCAGTCACATCTTCGTTAATCCCTTTCGACCCGGTAAGATACTCAGAATCTCTTAGGCTTACCATAATGCTAAACGCAAATGCTGCAAAAGAGAATCCCAATCCTTGGCTATAGCTCAACCGACCTCTCCCTTTCTATCCTGGAGATAGGACGTTAGGTTGTGTGTTGCAACTGATACTCTAGGCACTGCCGAGGATACCCATTTGGTCTATATGTACAGGAGTCTCAGGTGCCAGAATCGGAGCCGTGAGAACCAAGCTTCCCGATCCAGATATCTGTTGGATCCTTGTTCCCAACCTAAGGGGGTTCCTCTAGGCATAGGCATAGGCAGGTGACAAGGTGTGGACGTCTATATGCGTTGTCCTACCACGCACTTTACATGCTCTATTAAGCAATACTAACGCGGCGGTTCTTGGATGAAAACTAGGTTGTTTTTATGGTTGGATTGCATATCTGGCCCAAGACCACAAGAAATTTTACGAACTCGATTGGCCCGTCCCTTGTTTCCTCTCCACCATATTCTACTAGCATTGTTACCATATTTCGGTTTATGGCGGCCCCGAAGAGTGATTAAGAAGCTCGAATCGAAACCTGCTAAAGGCTGCCATCTACCATCCACCGTTAAGATACTTAGCGGGTGGAAAGCCACAGTGCAGAAGCCGGCCGCCCCCAATCCAAAGAGAAGGGTTCCTCAAAGCGGCTTACTCCTTAGCTTCTCATGTTGGAGAGCCCCGTTGAAGGTAAGTATCCGCCGATAATCTCTTCAGCACAGATAAATCTGAAGGACTCGTAGCTACTCGAGCATATAACATATCCTCGGTCCGTCTAGATTCACGATAAGTATTATGTCTTGTCATTCCGCGTCCTCACACGAGGGCTCTGAGATGGATGCGCCACAAGCTACCTACATGGGTAAACGTCTAACACGGACAAGTTCCGCCCTAGAGGTAAGACTTATCAGCATCCGACCTAGCCCACGCCTCCGCTTTCACCCCCTCCCCGGATTTGTCTGCAATTAGCCCAGAGCAACTAGATCGTCCCCCCTCCCTACCATACAACAGAGAATCCCATCTGAAAAACACAAGCATAAGCTGAAAAGACCCGTCTCGACTCCTAACTTGAGACCGCAGGGGGCAAACGAAACCAATCATGGCCTACTTGATCATCCCAACGAAAGAAGGAGGAATAGGCTCGGCTACCATCGATCAACAGTCGCATGTGGTAAGTGGCTATCGCACCAAGTAGTGGCCAGCTCAAGGGAAGATTCGTATGAGTGTTAAAGTGTAATTCGGTATAGACCCCTGCCGGAAAAGGAAGATCAGGTGTAAAAAGCCCGAGGTACAAGATCTCCTGAACCGATGCGAGAGTTGCATCAGTCTCAAAAAGGACTGTGTATATACCGCGGTAAATCCACAAGCACAACCGCATACGATGACACATCGACCGAGAAGAGTATCGATTGGGTCTAACCCTGCGTCACCCACCACCTCTCCCGCAACGGCAATGGGTCATATTGTGGAAAGGCAATCGAACCCGGCATACCACCAGCTTACAGCAATGCCATCGATGCCAAGTATAGGGCGACAACCAGTAGAAACTGGTGAAGATGGGGCTTATTCTGTTAGGAGTATGTGTAATATGAATCTTTCTTTGAGGTCCTACGGCTATAAGCCGTCTGCTAACAAGTAGAGAAGTTCCATCGACTACACCTAGCAGCCGCTCCTTTAGCTATGGGCAAGTGGCAAGTGGTTGGATGTCGACTGATGCGGATGCCGGCGCCGAGACGACGTCGGGGGCCACGAACACCCCTTGGATGACCTTTCCACACGGTGTACCCGAGACTACGGGATTCTCCCAATATACCTCCCACACAACGGCTCCACCACTATCGGCATGGCCGGCGAGTTCACTCGGGATAAATAGAATGGATACTGAGACGCATCTCGATGACACATGGCGTCCGTACCCATCGGGCCCGAGATCGATGTCATTCAACAGCCACCAATCCGAGCAGTTTGATCCTTCGTCGACAAGACCATACGATCGGGTGCAATCACCGAGCGCGACCAACATCATGCCAGAAGCGAGCTTAGCCGCTCAAGGGTCTCTTTCTGCCGGTGCCACGCCGCATCTAGCATACGATGTATGGCAACAGCAATACCATTACTCTAGACATAATGAAGACTATGGTGGATGGTATGAAATCCGAGACCATCCCGCCGAGGCACATGTCTCGTCTGGCGAGGATCCCTCTCAGATCGGAGGCGTCTACTATGGCCAACGATGACTGGAACTCGACCGCGGCATGGTGCGGAGTGTCAGGCCACTTGCAATCTTCTGGCCGCGTGGTTTCCACCGCAGCATTGCATACTGCCATCGTCTGAAGTTGGTTTTCTCATATAACCCAAATTATTTAAAATTCCCTTTTGTGTGTTCGTGGACGAAATCGACGGTTCCTATTTTGAAATGCGAAAAAAGTCTAGACAAAACAGGAAAGGGACGGGAACACGAAGGAAAAATATGCGAATCAGAAAGGGGCTGAGCAACGGGTCTCACTCCGGTGCAAGGATATGTGGCATCTTCATAGCACGGTGGGATCTAAAGATATACACCATGTGTGACCGAGTCAACAGCAATTAACTACTATCATATCGGCCTCAACTAACAAACCAATATACACATCATCCCTGGATATACGTAAACGGCGGTGTCAAGCATTGATTGGCCGATGGAAAAGAAATTACCCACCAATATTCCATTATCGACTTTCCGCACGGGTGAAGCACAGCTATTTTCGAAGAACATATTGGACTACCGGGCAAGCATATCGTTCCCTTGCTAACCTACGGAATTTTCCGGGACATGCCAATTGATGTAGGAATAGGATACGAGAAGAATAGATCTTTTGTTATGGGTAAAGGAATCTTTCATATGGGAAGCTGGAGGAACTAGAGGGAAGCGGTTGACTTTTCGCGTTTGAGTTGGACACGGAGGATAGGCGATCTCAATAAGGCCTTGGCTGACCCTTGCTCTGCCGGTAGGGGTATTCGGTAACCGATGCGGCTTCCCGTCCGGCTGTCCCTTGGAAACTTCCGGCTCGGAGCATGTACTCAGTTCACTGGCGTGGCTCGTAAGCTGCTTGTTACGGGTCCCAAAGTCGGAGGAGGCGTCCAAGGCTAGGCGAAGAAGGCTTTACTTTTTACGGAGTGTTAAAGAGCATGTCTCGTTCTGATATCTAGCGTTGTTGTTATTTGTCGGTTACTCTCCCCTCTTCGTTAGCCGTATATAGTATGGCCTAGGAAACTGAAAAAATTCGCGAAGGGCGGATCGCGCAAAAACGGCTTTCGGATGGGGGAGATGGGTATTTCTGAGGCTGGAGCATTTTGCGTTCTTGGTGATAAAAGGTACGAGTGTGTTATTTGGCTTGCTGGAACCTTACCTACTATATGTACTTGATTAAGAGTGTCAACACTCTTAGTAGATAACTGCTTGAAACATTTGCTGGAACGCCTTGAATGTGAATATGCCAATTAGATGGATCGTCATGTCAAAACGTACCAAATGGAACATTAGAGGTAGAGCATACTTTACCTATAAACACCGCAAAAGATTATTATCCGACTGTATATACATTTATTACCACACAACTAGCATTGGCCCGGGATGTAAAGGTCGTAGCCAGTAACAACCCTTGTATATGTCTGGGAGTTTGGCGAGATTACTCGTTACTCGTCACACAGCGATATAGGGCAAATTCTCTTGGGCGTCATCGTACCTAGTATGTCTCAGATATACAATAAATATTCCGTATGGATGCTCCATTGTTTTATATGTCGTGTGCTCTACCACAATAGTTGTGTAAGCTGCCGTTACCTACACCATTGTACAACACCTCGGTCTAGCATACTCCCACCGAAAGGACCAAAGGCCGGCGACTATCTACTTTAAGAGGTGTTGCTAATCCTGGAAACGTATTGGAATGATAGCTAGTAGATGATGCAGGGTTCCGTTTCGAGCTTTGGGACTTTGTAGAGTTCTGGTCACCATTCTTCACGCTTCCAATTGCAAAGTTAGAACCATTAGACCAACATAAGCCCCGATACTTAGAGTGGTGAGAAGTAGGACGCTATTACCGCTGGTGCGGAATTTATTTTTCAACTCGCCATCGTTATCGGTCGAGGTGAGAAACTGCGTATTACCTTGGTACCGACGATATATGGAACATAGTAAGACTCCCGCACCATAAACGGCGAAGAGAGCGCCTATGGCGTAGAATTCAGATGTGAAGATCTTGAGTATGATCAAAGCAAAACTGAACTGCGAGAGAGCGGTCCGCATATAAGCCCCTTCAAAGGTTCTCTGAGCAGCTCGGATCTCTACCAGCCTGTGCGGAGCGAGGGATTGTGAGTTAGTAATGAGTTTCTGTCGTCCACGAAATACGCGTGAGGCTCATACCCGTAGTCGGGTTCCAATGCGAGTAGGTAGCTACATAATACTGAGACCTGCCATATATGGTATCTAGGCGGGTAGAGTTGAGCCCCAACTCGGGGAATTTAAGGGTGGGTGGGTGTCTTTAGTTGATAGATGGGAGTGCTCGACGTACTCTTGGGTTGTAAGAATGACCGAACGGGCGCGGTGCATTCGAAGATGAAGATGATCTTCTGGATTTGGCTAGAATATGGCAAGTCAATACCCAATTAGTTACGTACATGTAATGATATGATATATCAGGGGAGTGGTATATTAGGGGAAGCGTCGCGTGGGATTATTTTGTTATTTTAGGGTGATACTAGTAAGAATATCTTCCTGCATATTGGGAGACATGCATGTATGTGTCTCTCTTAAGGTAGCAAGAGGAATGAACCGACTTACCTGAAACATATTTCCCAGCCCAGTATAACTTGGATTTGTTTTTATTTTTTTTTATTACTTGTTGTAAGATTAATGTGGTTTTAGTTACGTGACGTTGATGATACATGAGAAGGGCACGGTACATAAAAAGATTAACCTAGGTTAGGCGGTTAAGACTTGCCTAAGAATGGCGAATGGTGTTGTTGCGGGGGGAAGGGGGGTACTACCTGGTGTACATATGTAAGCTCCCCACCTCCATCTTTCCACAAGTAGGTACGGATTGGGACGGGAACTACGGGAAGCCACAGGGCGAACACGTGACTCTCTCCGGTTCTTTGTGTTTAGGTACCTAGGTTAGGTACTTTTCGAATTTGGAACTTGTTAACTTTAGGTACCTAACCTAGATTTTAAACAAAAATCCTCACCGGTTTGATACGCCAATGATGCAACCTTTGCAGAATCGGGGCAGTTCTCTGTAAACGGCCGTGTTGCATTGCAGTTGCGCGGTTAAAAATATCAGATTCAATGCTGTGCCGTTCTTCAACATTAACTAACTTAATACCGACTTAATACCAGCATAGCAGCCTATTCCGTTTCCTTGGTTTCCTTGGTTTTCTTACACACCTACGCGCTTACATCGTTGCAACTCTATCGTTTGACACAAACCACGTCCCAGATCCCAAATCCCGTATAGACCCAGTACTATACTTCGAAGACTCTGGAATCTGGAATCTGGATGAAGTTAGCCTCCACATCCGTGATGCTCGAGATTGAAAATGGCTCCCCGGCAATGCTGTTTGTGGTCACCTCTGCTTGGCCCTGTTACACCTTTTTCTACCTCTAGGTAGATATGCCAGCGCAGTCGTGGCTGTGCTATACCCTCTGCATTCTACACTCAATAGACCCCCGTGGATTTCACGCTACTGCAGGCTATCGAGGCAGGGACGTCGATTAATCATACTCAGTTGATCATATTATCTAAGGGAACCCGAAGAAGTTCTTCCATTTCCTCTAAGCCTACTAATAAGACGGTATAATTGCGATAAGGACATGTCCGCTATACCACCAACCGTGGAGGTTCGCGTTTTAGCTGGTGGGCCATATTTATATCGGCTCGTGCTACAGTAGCATTCACTACCCACCGTCTCTCCCAATAAGAGGATCGAGACAGTAGTTAGAGAATATCCGATTTTTTTCCCAATGAGATTCCACGATGCGGCTGGAGCAACAGGAGGTAACATCTTGATTCGGCTCCCGCATTCTGGACGTGCAGCATCTGTATGCGTTCATCATGTATACCGACCTAGAATCTCGAAGGAAATGGCCTGTCTTAGATCTCGGTATGTTTTAGTTACTGCCACAAACTCCACAGAGCACCGCCGTATGTATGAATTGGTCACGGCAGTACGGGTCAGAAAATGTCATCATTTTGCATTCTTGACTTACAGCAAGCCTCACCTGCATAGTACCCGTCTGTCATCTGAAGTGCCTTGCGATCTCGTTTGGTCGAGTGTACCATACATCTATGCCATCTATGCAACATGGTACCTAGGCTTACAAGTGGGGTGCCCTGGACTTATTCGGGGCTGAGAAGGAAGCGAATAGTGCCTTACAACCCCTGCTCACTCGATAGGCAGAACGCCTTGACGGGCTGGCGATGACAAAATGACGGACAGGGACCCAATCAATGGCGCAAGATACCTTCGAAGGGGAGCCGCAGTAGTGCGCGAGCCCTACCATCAATGTATCGATTCGCGAGAAAATTGCCTTGTCTACTTTGCCCATCTCAGGTCACCTCATCCTCCATCTCCCAACTTCTCTGCCCCTTTTATCCGTATTCAATCTCCAGTTTCCAGTTTCCAGTTTCCAGTCTCCAGTCTACAGTTCCCCTCGTCCACTGAAATACTGGATTCTTAGGCCAGTTTCCGTCATCTCCCCCCCCTGCTCCCCTTGTGCTTTTGCACGGCCCCCTTGCAAATCCATCGGCACAGGTTTCGATCAGATTGTCTTAGGCGGAGAAAAGAGGTCGCGCTAAGCTGGAGGTATTTCCATTTTGGCGCCGATTTCCGTTCAACTCCACTCAGCTTAAGCGCCGCCGCCGCAGTATCGGCTTGCCGACTTAACATCCCTCCCAGCATTGTGACCAACGACTCTACTAGATCCTCTTCTGATTTCTAAATCAAGTCTTTTGATATTCAATCAAGAACTAGATCCGGCATCCTAGATATCATACATTCTCTTTTCCGTATATCGTCAGTTACCTCGTGAAATAGCTGAAGATAGTTGGTCCTGAAGACATTCGTCGCATTGAGATCGCAAGGCTCTGGCTCAGCCATCTTCACAATTGTCGCGTCCGCTGCTTATAGTTAGTATAGGAGGAACATGGTTTCCCCTTGACAACGTCTATCAAGAGCTGCGCGGTTCCAGTATTATACGTTATCCTAATATATACTAACCTTGGGTCGCCCACCTATCCTAATCCCAGCTATGACCATGAGTGCGGGATACACAGTTTCGCCTGCGTCGCTCGACCTTCGCGATCACCTCAATGATCGCACACAGCAACCCCGCCGTGACACTCATCATAACTATAACTACAATTACAATTACAATCATAACCAGAAGTGTCCCGTCACACCTGTTGAATCTCATCTATTGTCGCCGTATTCCTCCCACGTTCAAAGTAACTCTGCCTCGCCTATAGCTAATCTCAATACCCCCGCGGACACCGTCTCCACCGACTTCTACCAGCCGAGCGAGTTCAGTAGCGAATTTGATGACCCATTTCTTGGGGTTGACTTCAACGACACCCAAGATACATTGCCTCAATTCCTCGAAGGGTTCGACAGTATTCAGGAACCCATAACCCATGCACTCATCCAAAATAGTGTCACTAGGGATGCTATATATCCTCTGAGTCCTCATCAGACGCCTGCCGTACCATCGACAGCAACTTTTGGTAGTAGTATAGACGCCAGTGCTGGCTTGGCGAATTCCACCGAATCTCAGCATTTCGCAAATCAAGTTCAGCCCTTTACCAGCTCCGTCGATTCGAATCAGCCTGCGCCTCAGCTAACACCCGATACCAACGACGGTAGTTTCTCGAGTGATGATAGCCTTGCGCCGACTACGCTTGCTATGGCTACCCAAAGTCCCCGCGTTACCGTTTCCATGTGGAACCGGGATGCAGAAGCTCCAATACAAGGTGTAGAGAGGTCCTTTATTGCGGGCGCCGAAAGCCCTCGGACTGTGCACGTTTCACAGAACTTGGCCGGGGATTTGGCTCGCGAAAATACTCACGAGACCACAGTGTCACGAGATGCACAGGGTAACTGGCTACCACAGTCTGCCGGAGGATATCGAGGCCTTGCTCCAGGAGACCGTCCTTCCGAAGAGATCCCAAGTCCTAATCAGCAAGCCACCCAAAGGGAACGCGCAGAAAAGAATAAAGAGGTTTTCGAATGGGTATCCCTATCGGCTGGTGACCCGAGCAACGTCCCAGATGGTCTGGAAAGACTTGCTGGCGGACAGGGTTCGGGAGATGATAATATACCCTCCACCGAAATTCCTCTGGGAAATACAACTGAAAACAAGTACATTCATAATCAGACATATTTTAATGTCGACGGACCGGGTGGGCCTGTTACGCACGCTGATATTGATATGATGCGACAGTTCCCTACCTGGGGGGATGCGCCGACAATTCATGCTATTCAATCCGGCACCCAGTATCAGCCTGCAACATCACAAGCTGCTATCGAAAGGTTCAACCGGCAATGCCGGGATACCGACTCAATTGTCTCGAGAGCAGCCACCTGGGGGACGCGCCGGCGCAGCCTACCTAGCATCGTTGACATGGAGGAGATTCTTAGCGGAAATTTCTTCAAGAAACTGTCCATTAGTGGACACAGTCGCCGGCCAAGTTTCATGAAGAGAATTCCCAGCCTTGTACGGAAACCCAGCACCAGCCAATTATTGAAGCGTAAAGGAAGCAATGCTAGTGAAGTACCACCAGAGGATGTTGGAGAACGTGAACGTCGAGAATCTAAAGATACGTTGGCGCCGCCGTCGCGTACCTCTAGTTGGGGGATTACTAAGAAGCAACCTCCTAGTTTAAATACCGCACTGCTCGGAATGGCTACAGGAGCCGCCTCAATCGGGACAGCTCACGTCCGGAGCGGTTCAATTAGTGCATCGGTGACTTCGCCCAAGAGTTCATTTGGAGCTCTCGGTATACCCTCCGTCAAAAATACTCTCAGGAGGCCGAGGAGTAAGACGGAGCTTCCGAAGAGTTCTAACCCGGAATACTTCTCACACCCAAATCTCGTGGAGATGTTGAAAAGGCAAGGTGGTCCACCAGTTGCTGCACTAGCGGGGACGCGGTCGACAATAGAACAGGATGACGAGGACGATGAAGATGAAGATGATGAAGGGTTCGACGATGCGGACATAAAGACCGAGTCAAACAACTCGAAACACATCGAACCAACTTTCGCGGGTTTTCGAGAACATGTACTTGATCAAAATCCTGGTCTTCCGAGTGAGAATGGATGGCTAGCCGACCGTATCGCGCATCAGATGGTTATACGCTATAAGCAACTTCAGTCCGCTAAAATCAAGCATCTAAATCAGGTTCGACAGCAAAAGTGTCATAGTGGAACACAATGCATTGGTCTTGGTGGGTCAGCTGTTCCCTTGGATGGCAGAGGCAACGAGCGAGGTCTTGATCCCCTATCGGCTCGACCAGATTCTTCCGACGGCGACACCACGCCACTCGAAGGCGGTATTAGCTCGGAAAGTTTCCCGCAGGGTATCCCTATGCCTCCGACTTCGTCCCTCCCAGCAGAGTTTGAGTGCCAACTGTGTTTCACGAGTAAAAAGTTCCAGAAACCTTCTGACTGGACCAAGCACGTCCATGAGGATGTCCAGCCGTTCACATGCACCTGGGAGAAATGCCCCAATCCTAAGATGTTCAAAAGAAAAGCTGACTGGGTCCGTCATGAAAATGAAGGTCATCGTCATCTCGAGTGGTGGATATGCGACGTTGACGACTGCCGACACATCTGCTACAGACGTGACAATTTCTTACAGCATCTCGTTCGTGAGCATAAGTTCGCAGAGCCAAAAATCAAGACGAAAGCTGCCATTAAGAAGGCCGGTGGTGGTGACCGCACGTGGTCGAGAGTAGAGTCGTGTCACGTTGACACGTCAGATAAGCCATCTAACGAGCCTTGCCGGTTCTGTCGAAAGACATTTCCGACTTGGAAAAAACTTACGGTTCACCTAGCAAAACATATGGAGCACCTCAGCCTTCCCGTCTTAGAAGTCGTCGCCAGGAAAGAACTGGATGCAGATACAATCATCAGCCCCGTGCAGGATCCGCCGCGCCCTAGTTTTCCAATGCCTCCAGTAAAACAAGAGCCTCCAAGCTTTAGTCCAGAGAGCGGTAACACGCCGATTTCCGTTCCAATGCCGCCAACAGGGCCGGCGGGGTATTCCCAAGACGACTTCAATTATAACTTAGTCCGGATGCCCGTACAAAATCCCCTACAAAGTGACTACTACAACCCACACTCGATAGCGCGGTCGTATAACGAAATGACGCCTAATCAGGGGCCTAGTATGATGATGCCAAATTATAATAACCCTCAACCATCCCAACCTCCGTACCATACGGTACCCGTCACCACGATATCGTCATACGATCAGCCTCTAAATGCCTACGTGAATTTGCAATCTCAGCAAGAAGGTTTAGAACCATTTCCTCAGTTCGACCTTAACCCTCTAGGAATTCAAGAACCCGCCGGGTCTTTATCATATAGCAACCTTGCAGCTGGTAATATCTTACCGGTCGAGCAGTATTCCAACCACGGAGGCTCCGTTTCGCCTTATCACCACTCACCTCACCAAGGCCAAAACCACTTTTACAACTCGTGAATGATGAATCCATTCCTGTTTTGCAATATACTTCGCGATGATTCCTTATAACAGATACCCTCAAGCTGGAGTTTGTAAGACGCCCTACGATGATCTTGGGTGTATTAAGAAAAATTCCACGCAAAACTAACGATATTATACGGCGTTATTTGGACAATACTTATATATTTTCATTTTCTGGTTGAAGTCTAAGCGCCTAAGTGGCTACCAGACTTATCTTTTCTAGATTATCACCCATCCTACGTTATATCTTATATTTGTGGAACACGCATAGTTGGATGAAAGCTGTCTTTGTTTTATTTAGGCTTCGTCCAGTGCTAGAAAATATTTACAGATGTTGTTCAATACGATACGATATGGTATGATGGATGGATGGACTATTGATGAACCTTTTAAGATATATGACAGCGGAATGCACACAAGTGTCTGACCTGATGAGAAGCGCTTTTATTTTCCTTCGTGTCATTGGGGTTGGTTGGTTTGGCATGCCTTCTTCTAGATTTTCAATAGATGTTTCATTCACAATTCAGATACCTCGATTCATACCTTCGAATATGGGGTTGCTTAGGATTTTGGTATGTCCAAAACTTTTGAAGGCTGGAGGTCTCTTGTACATTATCTGGACAGGCGGGTATGAATCGTTCTTATTATCAATTTCATAGCTTACCCACCAGCTGCAACGTACTTTATCTAAACAAGTACTTAGTATTCATTCGCGAAAGATACGATTCTCCCTTGCGTCTCAAATGTATGAGAGAACTTTGCTAGCTTCAGGAGGTTCGTCTTTTCGAGTCACGACAACTCAGAAATGATAGTAACATTAATTTCAAAATGTCGACTGATGTCATGTTTCCATCCCGAAAACTTGAATCTGATTTAGGACCCATGTTGGTTCCTGTGGGGGATTGCAGTTATTATATGCATTTACATATGTACTGCTCTTGTAATAGCGCTGCTGGCGATCTGGCCAACTAGTGTAGCTAGCCTTAATCTAGTAGTTTAATAACTGCGCCGTTTCATAAGACGCCAATTGCAGTTAGCAGATTGTGAAAGGATCAGACACATAGGTAGGTATTAAAGGAAGATTGACTCAAATATATGAAGGCGTTGCCCTAAGAATATATATATATATATAGGTATATTTATATTTACACAGTAGTAACCTATGTAGGCTATTGGATTCTTCTGACGCTCCCTTCGGGCATCATCGTGCGACACAGTGCCGGTGTTGAAGACATGCATAATAACATTAAATTATGTACTCAGTATCCATGTCCCTCCCGTACCTATGGCCAGGTCCAGGATAGGACGGTTCGTCGTCATATTAGATCGCTAGGGTTCAGTAATATGTAAGATGAACCTAGTGTATACATAATATCAAGATCCCGGAGTGAATAATTCCAGAATTAAAGAAAGGCAACAGAATTGTAGATCGTTCTCGTGTTGCATTCAACTTATACGTGACGCCGAGACGAAGATGAAGAGAAGAACAAACTTGGAAACAGTGTTTTCCCCTTTCTTTTGCGTTTGTACGGATCTGTATGCACTATGTCGGTATGTATGTAAGACATCGTATTCGAGCACTGATGGAATAACTCCTGATAACTCCTGTTTTTGAACGTGGCTTGGAATTCTGGAAGCCGAAGTTGAGGACCCCCCTTGCCTTTCCCCCTGGTGGCGGTTCATTCTCACAAGCCATTCTGGAGACGACCTAACAATTTCTGGCCAATGGCTTTAATTTCCTCCCTTGGCTTTTCCTTTTTTGACCAACCAAATTCCTCGTCTCAATCTCAAAACTAGGATTACTTTGTTCCTGGTCGAGTAAATGAGAGCCCCTCTATGTATAATCATGCCTACCTGGCACTGTATTACTTACTTTATTACCTACCTACTTACTTTATTAATGTTCTGCATATGTACAACCTAATGCACAAACATCTCTTGCTTCCTTTTGATACCTACTATGTATAAGCTAACTACCTACTTAACTAAATACATGTTTGCGTAGTCGATGGATCTCCACGAGTCGTCGTTTGAGGGAGCGCAGCGCTAACTCATTTACCAACTTCTTCTCACCATGTTTCGAAATTCTACTATGTATGATGGCCGACACCCAGCTCCTAAATCCGGCTTAGTCGACCCGTGGAGCTTGCCGAGCATCCAATAACCTGCCAAGGAGGTCGGTTTCAAGTGGATTATCTCGACCTAGCTCCACGACGATGGATCTGACAGGGGCAGCTAGACTGGGGTATTGGCCTCGAATGTTCAACTTGGACAGGGGGTGTACGCGCAGCCAGTCAACGGTCCCTTCTTTTCATCAAGCAGAGATCTCATCAGGGGTCGTGGACGGAGGTGCATCTTCTGAGCTTGGCTTCCTCACCAACCAACCTGCTTTGACCTTCATAGTCTTTCCTTTTTGGCGCTTTATACAACCTTCTGCTTTCAAAGTCGTCTTTTAGTGATTGTTTTTTCACCCACACTCGTTTACTGCTCTAAGTAAGAACTCGTTTCATATATGCGCCGACGCCGACCCTCTCTCACAAACTATCGTCAACTTTCTCGTCATCGTTGACAACGCGTCCCAGGCCCGTCCATCTTCAATATCTAGGAACGGTCCTGGGTCCTGCTATCCTTTCACTCTTTCTTCGGAGAACGTCTTGTTGCCGATCTTCTATTCTTGCCACGGGTTGATCCTTGGCCATCTTTTATTTGCATGCTTTTTTCTTTAGGCAACAAGACCATCTCATTGGTATTGTGTTGTTTATCGTACACCATTTCTATGTAACTACATTAGACTCCTAAGACGGTTATCCATCCAACAAATCATCACCAGTCATCATATACCCCGGACGAACGCTTTTTTTTTTTTTCGATCCGGTTTATTTTATTTTTTAGAAGCGATACATATTTTTAATAGGCTCATCAAACCGGCTATCTACGCCGTGGTATACCAGGCAGCATCTAGCGATTGATTTTCATACAGCTGGGCAGGCGTCTACACAGGCAACATATAGATAACGAACAGTTTCCATTTCCCAGTGGACTCACGATTTCCTTGGGTTATTCTACGATATAGACAAAATCCGACCAGCATGGCGATATCGAATTCGAGGTGGAATACCCGGCGAGCGGCCATATGGGCAACGGCATTTGCCAGCGGAGTCCTGGGCAGCGACGTTTTAGTGACGAGCGGATTCAACAATTGTGAGGAGAATAGCAGCATTAGGGTCCAGACGGTGGAAATTTCTTATAACAATGCCGACAAAATCGTGGTTTTCGATATCGTAGGCACGAGCGACAAACAGCAAAATGTATCGGCATGGCTCTCTGTAAGCGCGTACGGGCAAGATGTTTACACAAACTCCTTTAATCCTTGCAAGGAGACCACATTCGTTGGTGAATTGTGTCCTGGTATGCTTATCGAGCCTCGGCGATTTTTATTATTTTCATTTTATTTTTTTAAAGTCATAATGCTAACAGAAGAACAGTCCCGGCCGGTGTCTTTACTGCAAGGGGTACTCAGGCGATACCATCGCAGTATGCTGGTGTTATTCCTGCTGTTGCTTTTCAGATACCCGATATAGCAGCGCAGGCGACATTAAAGCTTCAGGCCTTAGATACAAAGGAAGACATGGCTTGCATCCAGGCGCAAATAACGAATGGCAAGACGACCGACGTGCCTGCAGTCTCGTATGTCGCCGCCGGCGTAGCGGGAGCAGCTCTGTTGCTGAGTGGTGCTGGAGCCATCAGTGCAGCGGGAGGAGCTGGCGCGGCTGGCGGAGCTGGAGGTACCATGAGCCCAAGTTTCATGGAGATGTTCGGCATTTTCCAAGGTTTTGCCATGAACGGCATGATGTCTGTCCAGACACCACAGGTCTACCGTAGCTTCACGAAGAATTTCGGTTTCTCGACGGGTATCATCCCATGGAGGCAAATGCAAATTTCTATCGACAACTTTCGAGGAATGACGGGTGGAAACTTAACCAGGGACAGCGTTGAATTCCTTCAGAAGGCTACTCTTGTCTACCCCGATGGTACAACTTCGACCGGGAAGAGTTCGCTCTTCGGTCGTTCAGTGGCAGAAGCGGTTCACCTTGCTATTCGTGATACCGATGCGTCGTTTAATGCGACGGGTACCGACGGAGAAACACCATCGAGTACCGAAGCAACGATCCGTGCAGCTGTCTCGGGCATTCAAGGATACGCCCAGCAATTATCTGTACCGCAGTCCAACACCTTCATGACGCTTTTGTTGATTGTCGCCATCGTCGTTGCTGTTATTGTTGTCGGTATCTTGTTGGTGAAGGTTATCCTCGAGGCTTGGTCCCTATATGGCCACTTTCCTGAGTCTTTGACTGGTTTCCGCAAGCATTATTGGGGTTCGATTGCTCGTGCCATCACGTCCCTCATTCTGGTTCTCTACAGCATCTGGGTTCTATATTGCGTGTTCCAATTCACACATGGGGATTCCTGGGCTGCCCAGACACTTGCCGCTGTTACTCTTCTCCTATTTACTGCCATTCTAGCCTTCTTCTCCTGGAAGATCTGGAATATCGCGCATAAGCTCAAGAACAGCGAGGGAGACACTTCAGGCCTCTACGAGGATAAGGAGCATTGGGTCAAGTACTCTCTCTTCTACGAGTCGTATAAGAAAGATTACTGGTGGATCTTCGTACCAGTCCTTGTCTACATGTTCGCCAAGGGTTGCGTGCTCGCCGCCACCGATGGCCATGGTATGGCACAATCGATCTGTCTCTTGATCGTCGAAGGATCAATGTTGGCCTTGTTGATCTGGAGTAAACCATTCGAGCGGAAATCTGGTAATGTCATCAACATTGCTATTGCGGTTGTACGTGTTCTTTCACTCATCTGCGTCCTCCTCTTCGTCGAAGAATTCGGCATCGCCCAAACTACGCAGACAGTTGCCGGTGTCGTTCTGATTGCCATCCAATCGGGTCTCGCAGGAACTCTCGCAATCCTCATCGCATGGAATGCAATTATAGCCTGCTGCAAGCAAAACCCCCACCGCAAGCGCAGAAAGGAGATGGGTAAGTTAAACAATATTAGCCTTCCCTAGAACGTGAAACTAGGAAAAGCATTCTAACGGAGATTATAGAGCAATACCAGCGTGATATGGACACCTTGACGCCTCTGGACGCACGCAACTCGCTACTCCTGGATCGCTCGAAGACCAACGAGACTAGAATTACCATCACATACACCAATTCTGTATCTGACTCTAAGCGGCCGCTCGACTACCGTTCCTCTTCACCGGATCCATATATTGGCGTCGCAGTCGAGCCATCTGAAACCTACTCACCATTAAGCCTTTCGTATACCAGCAGACCCTTAACGCCCAGCGCACCGATGAGAAGCAACAACCGAACGTAGAGGGTAGGCATAGTGACAGCTACGGGTAACATAATGGATATTCAGGGCATCGTGGACGTTCCGTGTACTAAACTACTAAATTACGGACGGGATAGGAAATAATGGCTCGGGGAGCAGCGGTGAAAGATGGGGATGGGGATGGGATACAGATTTAGAAGTAAAGCCCAACCTAGTAGTATCTAGTCGAGACGACAGAGAGAAAGTTGAACACACCAACGTTGTACCATGGCATAATGTGGCCACGAAACGGTGTATAAAGACGACAGGCAGTCCACGCCTGGCTAACATAGATGCCTATACATTTCATTTATCTCATTCTAACGGCCGTCCCTGTCTTCTCTACGAGTATATAGTTGTAACTTGTATTCAATTGTAGTGAGTATTTTATAAAGATTTCTTGATTCATGATTGGATTTGATGTGAAGAGGAGTTGTAGATGCTAAGGTTATTTCAGTATTTCAGTATTTCAGAGGTATCTCGGTAGCTAGGTAGGTATGAATGAGATTATGTAATGTCGATTATCTAATTGAACTTTATGTGGGATGTAAAGTACGAAGTACATAACTACTTGCAGCAGGAGCTTGGACCATCCAAGAACCTTAGAGCACTGAGAAGTAAGTACCTAAAGTACCTAACGACGCGTGAGACCAGCTGCCTTGAGCTTTAAGACCAGACGTCAATCATTCCGCTGCCCTGCGCTCTTCTACACAACCACCCACCTGTAACCACACCACATCAATTCTATTTTTCTAATTACCTCTAGCACCCGTTCCGAATATTACTGCCTCGTCTAGATATATTGGCCATGGATACCCTCGTAGCCAGGTACAGTCGCCCGACTGCCTTGCGCAATGAGACCTTCGCAGACGAAGAGCAAGAAGACCTCCAGAACGATGTCTCCCCAGGCCTATCTCTCAAGTTCGCCATGCCGCCCGTAGCCCAAGTAAGTGGTATTCTATATATATAGGTATATATATAAATATGCCTAGCTTTCAAGTAAAGGAAGAAGAGAAGAGCGATAGTAAAAGCAAACGAAGCTAATCGATCTTGAAAACCCCAGCCCTCAGCATGGCTCCGTGCAGCAACCGACGACCGCTCAAACCCCGACTGCCCCATTAAGATCGCGCACGGTACAACAACCCTCGCCTTCCGATTCCAGGGCGGTATCATCGTGGCGACAGATTCTCGAGCTACGGCCGGCAACTGGATCGCCTCGCAGACCGTCAAGAAGGTCATCGAGATTAATAACTGCCTGTTGGGCACTATGGCCGGTGGTGCTGCCGACTGCCAGTACTGGCTCGCCTGGCTAGGTATGCAGTGCCGCCTACACGAGCTACGCCACAAGCGCCGCATCAGCGTCGCCGCAGCTTCCAAGATCCTCGCCAACCTCGTCTATCAGTACAAGGGCATGGGCCTGTCTATGGGAACCATGTGCGCCGGTGTCACCAAGGAGGAGGGCCCTGCTCTCTACTACATCGACTCGGACGGAACCCGGCTTGCCGGAAACCTGTTCTGTGTTGGCTCCGGTCAGACATTCGCCTACGGTGTGCTTGATGCGGAATACCGCTACGATTTGAGCGAGGAGGATGCTCTAGAGCTAGGCCGCCGGAGTATCCTGGCTGCTACGCACCGAGATGCGTACTCAGGCGGTTTCATTAACCTGTACCACGTCAAGGAAGAGGGTTGGGTCAAGCACGGCTTCAGCGACACAAACCCGATATTCTGGAAGACGAAGTTAGAGAAGGGCGAGTTCACCAACGTTACCAGCTCCCTGGACTAAATCATGGTTTTGGTTAGGGATGAATTATTACGAAGTGCATGCTGGATGATATCAGGGAGCATCAGCTAGTATGTGGTAGGGAATAAGGGGGGAGTGCAAAACAGAGCTTGATAGACTATCTCAGTACCTAACTATCTCGGCGAATTCCCCCGGGTCACTACCCAGGATCCGCTGCGTAAATGTACAACAATTAAGGAATCAAGACCTTCTACCCCCTTTCTACAACCAGATTCGCATTGCTTTCCCTAGGTAGCCAAACTCCAGTGTATGCTATACCACGCTATGCAATATAGTACAAATAGTAGTCGTACAAGATGACTCGCTTTCCCCGATCCTAGGTAAACTTTTTCCTAAGGGGGTGTCATGATGTTGTCTCTTCGACGTTCTTCCAACCCGGGACTCCTAGGATACCACCATCCTCAGAATGCGGATCAAGAGGCCACTTTTTGATAGCGAGGACGTCTAGCTCGCTCCGCCAGCCCGCTTCGTACATCTCCATACCGGTCCACGCTATCATAGCGCCGTTGTCGGTGCATAGCGGTAGTGGCGGGCACACGAGTTCAATATGGCTATAACCACGGACATCCAATATCCCGCGCAGAATATGCATCAGATAGCGATTACTAGCAACACCACCAGCCACGACAAGCGTGCGGACGTCGCGCAGCAGCGTCCTATCCCCCGCCTCCCCCTCCTGCGCTACCCCGCTCTTAGAAAGCGCAAGCAACAACCGACTTGCCAAATGCTCGAAAGCCAGGCGCATCGCATGCCGAGCAACAAGCCGGCGCTCCGCAAGCCCCATATCCGGGTTCTCCAGCATAACCTTAATGACCTGGCCGTTCAGCCCCGCGAACTCAAACGACATGTCGACGGTCTCGGAGAGCGGCGGGGTTAGTTTCCAGCCGAGCGCGGGATCGAAGATCTTGATCTCTTCCGCGCGCGTGGGGGGCGGGGTGTATGCGTAGTCGGAGGGGCCGTCTGGGAAAGCGAAGCGCTCTAGGTGCGCGGCATACATGACGCCGTTGCTGCTGCTGGCGAGCTCGCAGGCGGGGACGATGGCTCGCGCGCATTTGTCGAGCATGTCCCCGATGGCGATGTTTTGGGCTTCGGCGAGGATGGAGTGGTTGGTGAGGGAGCGGGATAGGACGAGGAGGGAGTGGCCGCCTGAGACTAGGAGGGAGAGGAAGGGGAAGGTTGGGGTCAGGGTTGAGTCTAGTTCTTTCTCCTGGTTTGATGGTTGCCCCTCTGTCTGCTTTCTCTCCCGCCTCCCAGCCTCGAGAGCGCTGACTAGTCGTGGTGTCAGCGCGTGCGCCTGCATGTGGTGAACGGCTAGCAGTGGTACACCCCAAGCGACGGCGAGCCCTTTAGCCGTGTTCAGGCCCGTCGATAGGTTCGACATCATACCCGGGCCGCGTGTGACCGTAACGAAATCGGGCTTTCTGCGCGGCCGACCATCGACCCAGACTACGTTCCCGCCCGCAGCCTCGTCTCTCGTCCCTTTCGATCCTGCGTCAGGAAACGCGCGCATAGCTTCCCGCACCATCCCCGCAAGATGCTGAGTATGCGACGCAACGGCAGTCATAGGACACACGCCCCCAAACTGCCGGTTATCAGACGTTATTTTCTTGTCGAAGAGAAGCCGCGCTGCTCCACGGCCAGCGCCATGGTCTTTCTCCAGCACTGTAACGCACGTGTCATCACATGAGGACTCAATAGCAAGGGTAAGGAGAGGCTGGGGTTGGGGCTTGGAAGATAGCAGGCATCGTTGCAACCCTAGGAAATGGTGTGTATGCCATGATAAAGCCTGTGCTGGCGGGGGAGGGCTAAGATGGGCCAATACCGGCGCCAGAGAGCGTGGCCGCGTTGCAACCGACCATGCTGCCCTCATGAATAGGTACTTTTATAAAATGTTGGATGCTCAAGAGCACAACGGAACAAGTCACGTTAAAAGCATAAAATGGTGTAAAGAATAGGAAGTCGATAACTCTTTTCTCTTATCTTATCGCAGGTATATAAGTACCTAAGGTACCTAACCTATCCAGGTACCTACCCCTATTCTTCATCTTGGATGTATCCAGGACATATTTTGTATCAGGTAATCTTTAACATATTTAATAGCCTACATGTACTTAACTGCAGTAAATCAGCTACTAACATCACATAACATGGCGATATCATATCACATACTATCAATTCAGTTCTTTCAAAGAGAATCGTAGGAATATCTCCGATCGAAGAGGTTCGTAGAATTAATATGTTCTAGGCATATTTTAGATATCAGGCGGAATCTAAGATCTAACATTGGTATTTTGTTACGGGTGTATGCCTTAGGCTACTGTGCCATGCTACCTAGGTATGTATAACACAGCCTGCTTTTGCGCAGTGAGCTATTCAGTAGCTGATAGGTCCGGCTATACATGCTACCCAAAGCACCGCCTTCATACCACACCACAAGGCAGATCCCTTGAAAACACCCAATTGTCACATTTTTGAGAGTTTTTTTCTACACTTGATCGAGTCGCTATTATGTTTTCTTTTACAAGATCTTGAAGCTACTGCTATCGACAGTGTTCTAAGTAGATAGCGGCAATGGCAACCACTCATTCATCATGGCTCGACGAGGCCTTCAAGTCTGCAAAGGAAGACTTCAAGAAAAGCCTCAAAAATCCGGCCTTATATGACTTTTCAACTGTCAACTCTGTAGACGACGTAGTCGACGAAGCGATCAAGATACAGAAGCAACAAGCAAAGACCAAGACACTCCGAGGGTTAAAACGTATTAACCCACTCCTCAACGGTCTCAAGGAATACGCCGCCGTCATCGAAGTGTTCGTGCAAGTAAAGCCCGACATTATGGGTCTCATTTGGGTATGAACCATCACGTCTTCTGGCATTGACTCCAGATGCTAATAATAACGCCGTTGAAATGTAGGGTCCACTCAAGTTCATACTCCAAGTAAGATGCCATCACGTTTGATATATATATATAGTAAATCGGAACTCTAACCTTACTTCACTAGGCGTCAAGCGCTATCATTTCAGTTTTCGACAAAGTAGCCAAAGTCATAGGCGACCTAGGCACGACGCTCCCTAGTTTCAAGGTTTATGCTCAGTTATTTGAGTCCAACCACGAGATTCGCCGAGCGTTATGTCTCTTCTACGCAGATATTCTTGACTTCTATGCCGTATTACTAAACTTTCTCTCCAACCGAAGTACGTAAATAGTAGAAACGGCGTTTGATAACTGCTTACAGTCTTCTCCAGGGCTGAATGTATTTTTTGAGTCTTTATGGCCTAATATTCGTTCGAGTATAGCGAAGATTCAGGAAAATATGGAGCATCATAAAGCCATGATCACGGCAAATGTAACACTGGAAGATATCCTACAAGCTCACCAAGCCAGGAAACTCGCCCTTGAAGAGCATGCATGTGCCCAGGCCTTCCGAGAAAGCCAGACCTTCAGTGCTATCCGCAACGAACTCAATCCACATAACTACGACGTAGAGTTGATGGACATCCTACGCCGGAGTTCTGTCACGTCTGGTAATTGGTTAGACGAAGAAACGGACTTTAGAAAATGGTACGACCCTACAGATAGTAACATACGACGCTTATGGCTTCACGGTATTCCTGGTTGTGGTAAGTATCTACTTAGCGCCAGGCTATTTTCATTGAATATACCACGTAACATTATGTTAATCAACGGAGCAGGCAAGACTTTTGTTGTCGGTAACCTCATAAAAAAGATGCAGAGCTCTGGTCAACGGGTCATCTTCGTCTTCTTGTCGCACGATGACCAGGCTGCTGGTGACACTGTCAAAGTCCTCCATTCGCTCATTTTCCAGCTTCTCGAATACGACGCAACCCTCCGGCCAATCGTCTATAAAACCTCTCAACCTAATTACAGGAAACTGAAAAGTGATTCTAGTTTCGTCTTGGACCTACTATGTACCATTCTCAACAGTATAGGGGCCAGTTACCTCATACTGGATGGCTTAGATGAGTTAAATGAGAACTCCTGGAAGCATCTCCTCTCTGGCGTGTTGCAAATCAACGAAAAATGTCCAGAGACGAAGTTTCTTATCAGCAGTAGGGAAGATCGTGAAATCTCGCTACAACTCGAGAGCGAATATGTTCCTCTTCGAGTCGATTACGAAAATCTTCATGATATTGATTCATTCGTCCAGCTTGAATGTAAAGACATTATTGATGAGATGAAGAGATGTAGAGCAGATGATCAAACGTGCATCAGGGTCAGAGAAGCATTAGAAACCATTACGGAGAAATCAGATGGAAGGTTCCTCTCCAGAACGAAATTATATTTAGTACTAACAGATACTAGGAATGTTCATATACGCCAAATTAGTCCTGCAGATGGTAAAGAATCAGGGAACTCTTTACGACATCGAGATGCAGATGGAAAATCTCCCGGATGGGCTAGACCAAGCGTAAGTAGCAGAGAACTCAGCGTGGTTTTTATGAATAAATACTCATGGATTGCTAACGGTCTTGCAGTTATGGACGCCTCCTTGATAGGATTAAGAGTGGGCTTGCGCAGGCTCTCCGTGACGCTGTGCGTGTTATATTACAATGGGTAGCCTGCGCCCAGAGACCCCTAAGGGAAGAGGAGATACTACAAATACTAGCCGTGGAGCCAGGAAAGTCTGATTTCACAAAGGGGCGTAAGGTATTTCGCGATATTTGCAAGGCATGCGGTCCGATCATTGAGGTTCATGGAGGATTTATTCGGTTTGTTCACTTTTCCGCTAAAGAGTAAGAGTCACGTCTTAGGCCCCTGCTTTACAAGATTATTAATTTGATTTAGATACCTTCTCCACGAACAGAGCGGTAGTTTCCTTAACCTCACCGAAGCACATCTCAGCGCTGCTTTACTTTGCACAACGTACCTATCATTCTCGTCGTTAAATCCGCTATTCTGTTTCCCGCCAGAAGTACAGGACGATATCCAAAGGCGAATTATGGATGGCGATTATGTCATGTTTGAATACATGTCGGCGGCGTTTCTGGAGCATCTTAAGATATACTTGCAGAGTCGAGATCTAGATCTAGATATTTCTCTTGTTACAACTCTAAGACAACTCCACGAGGTCCGAAACACCGCCTCTATCAATAGTGAGCATATTCCAAACCGGTTTATTCGTGCATTCAAGGATTTGGCCAATGTGCCTGAGCTTCAAGCTTTTCTCTCGGCCGCAGCCTACTCTCAGACACAAGCTAAGCTCGGGGTAACCAACCCAGATGGTAAGGATATGATATAAAACCTACATCGATGGTATTAACGTTACTCATTAAACGTCATAGATTTCTCCATCAGTGACCCTCTCCGGATCTTCTTAGCTCGGCGAAGACTTCGGCGGGTCATCGAAAGTATGATATGTCAGGGACCGAACCATATACTTGGCTGTCGTTGCAAGCATCTGGAACATCTTTACGGGACGAAGATGTATCATTGCGATCAATATTTTTGCTACGCATACCAAAGTGGATTTGAGTCGAAACAAGCCAGAGATCAACACGTGGAAATCCACAAACGCTCACACAAATGTCCTGCGGCAAACTGTCTATTTTCAGAGATAGGGTTCTGCGATGCAACGGAGCTTCAAAGACACACGCGCGCAGCACATCCTTCAGGGATACTCGAGAGGAATCACGCAGACTCCGGCGCGTTACTTTCTCGACCGTCAGACGACCTATTCAATATCTTTAAGAGTGTTATAGCACTAGATGAGTGGCAAAGAATCGAAGAAATGCTGATTGGAATACAAGAAACTAGTTTCGAGAAATCCGCATGGTATCTGTTTATATGTCTAGCTTCCTCGAAAGCATCCTCAACTACTCTCTCTTGTCTACTTGATCAACCGTGGCTCGATTTATCGGAATTTCCATTTGCATTGGCAGCGGCATTACAGGCTGAAAACTTCCCAAATATCAAGCTCTTGCTCTCTCGTGGACTAAATATGTCAACAGCCCTACATGTCGATAAATTACCATGCGAGAACACCGATGAACTATCTTGGAAAGTAAGCTACAGGTCTGGATACATTTGTGCGTTCCAAAGGTGGAGTCCAAACCTGATATTCTTTTTGGTCAACGAATGTCAGGTTGAGTTCCCCGAGCAAATTGATAATATAGAAATGATCTTCGGTAGTCGTCGGATTGGTTTATATACCCCCGATGAAGCGACGAAGCGTTTTAACGAAATGAAACAGTACATAATTTGGCCCGAGGTATATACTCGAGGTGTTAAGGAAGCTATGAGGAGTAGACAGGTTGTTGCTCTTAAGATATGTCTAGAAAACGGAGGTAGCCCGAATGCAACCATTATTATGCATATCCATGATAGTAAGGAAAGGAGCCCAATGCACCACGCAATTTCTATAGGAGGCAAAAAAGGTGCCGAGTTAGTGAAGCTACTTTTAAAGCACGGTGCAACGGTGGGAGAAGGGTTAGATCTTCACTTGAAAATGATGAGAAAAAGGTTGGCTACAATTGAAGAATACTTTGGGTACAAATTGGAAGAAGTTGTTCGCAGAATCCAAGCAGGTGAGGACCTTGCTATAACCCTGCCTAGAAGGAAAAAACGAACAATAGGTCTAGGTTAAGCGTTTAACGAAGTAATGAAAGTAATAATTTGTGTTTAGATAGATGCAACTCCCTTCTATTATTTCGGACTATATTATGCATGTATTAACTAAACGTTGAAACCAACCAGACGATGCTTTAATCGCTCTTAGATAGAATTGTACATTTGATATCCTACATCTGTTAGCCTTGCTTGTAAACTCTGGAAGGTTTCCTGTATTTTTTTTTCCCACAACTGACCTGTAGTATGGTTCTCGCCTCGTCCCGGTTAGTCGCAGAATCCTCTAGGGAAGATGCGATGAGATTCGTTTTCCAAGTTTGCCTTCGTCGAATATACTACATAACCTCTGTTAGCGGTGTCCATCTTCGCCCACTGCAGACTTGCCTGTTCTATTGAATCCGAGCCAGACACGATATAGCGCGTGGTTATAACTTCGTTTTTTTGTCCTAAACGATAGACGCGGTCCATGGCTTGCTGTTCTATCAAAGGATTCCAACCAGGTTCCATTAAGTGCACGCGGCTAGCCATAGTTAGATCAAGCCTATTGGTCAGTTAGCCAATCGCGAGATCGGTTATGCGTTTGTGTAAGTGTCAAGTTCTTGTAGCCTACCCGACCGCGGCACTTCCCAATGAAGCGAGCAATATAGTACAGTCATTATTGGTGCGAAACTCTTCAAGTGCATAACGTCTCTGCGCCAGACTCTTACTACCATCAAGCCTTTGGTACGTAAAAGAGTTCAACGATAGCGCTCTGCCAATAAGATCCAACATGCCTGTCCATGTCGAGAATATGATGCTATGCTTGATCAATCCTGCTTATCTAGAAATATCTTTGAAGATGGCTTACCTCTTCGCTGGTCGCTGGTCGGATGCAGTTGCTGCTGTATGATCGCTGTGCAGATTTTGTAGTAGAGCCTTCACTTTCGATGAAGGAAAATACCTCAGTGGTTGAACTTCAGAGCCTTTGGAGCCCCTCGTCGATTTACTAATCTCATCTCCCTCCAGAGCAGTGACATTACAGAGAGGGCAAGCGAGGCTACTATCATCATAGGCATCGCTGCTTTGAAGACATACCCGGCATACCTGGTGGAAACATGAAAATACGTGATAGGATGATTCGTCTTCATGGTCAAGACTTTTGCCGCAAGATTCGCACTTTTGGAATTGAAGGCAGGTAGCATCTTGGAGCCAATCTTGCAGATCTCCAGGAAGCAAGTCGCTGCCGTGGTTACAAATCTGCCGAAGCCGGAGAATAAACTGAAACGTATTCATAGTTGCTCCTCCTGACTCGATGGCTAGCGCGAACCCCCTTTTGACCAAGTTGTAGAGTGTCCGCTCTTCATCATTTAAGTGAATATAATGGATAAGATCACTCCGTGGAGGGAGATCGAGGTCGGTGTCAACTGATGCCTTCGTTCGGCGGAGGGCGATTGATTTGATTAGCGACCTAAGTCGCTCCCATCCACCTTGTTGTCTTTTATCGATTGGGGCCAGGAACGTGTGCTTAAATATATCGGGATCATCAAAAGGATCGACCCTTAGAAATTCAACGAGAGCACCCAGGTCCTCTAAGCGGTTCTGAATAGGCGTGCCCGTCAAACACCAGCGATGTTTGGCTTTGAGCATCCTCACAGCCTGAAACATCTTTGAAGCACGGTTCCTTACAACGTGTGCTATAAAGCCTCTTAGTAACCCAAAATTAGTGGTGGCAATAGCTGCTTACCCTCATCGAGAACAACACGGTGCCAGTCAATACCATGGAGAATCCCAGTCCGCCCAATCGAGGCATTTCTACCTGGCAATTCGGCCCTGAGAGTCTCATATGTCGTAAAGACGATATCGACTGTTTTGAGAGTTGTAATAACCTTGTGTCTCGCCGATCCATGATAGATGCTGTAGCTCAAGGACCCTTTCTTAAAATGTCTTTGATATAGTCAGATCGGAGTTAACAGTCGCTATTAGTACGATACATACCTTTCTATTTGGTCTTGCCAACCGGTAATAGCTATGATAATTTAGTAAAAGCATTTAAACGAGCCACAGCTGTTAGTACCTACTTGACACGGGACAGACTATTAGATTTACACAGGGAACTTGACAATAGGCATCCTTGTTTTCGTTATTTAGCGACGTTGCAATGAGAGCTAAAGTCGTAAGAGTTTTCCCAAGTCCCATATCCTTGGAATATATATTAGTTAAGCTCGGTAAGCTGCGGCGTGAGTCCTTACATCCGCAAGAAGACCGCCAAGACAGAGCTTCGGCTCTCGGGTAGTATGACTTTGAGTCACCGTATTATAGAATCTGTCCAGAATAAGTAACATACCACACGAGTGTTGGTTAGCTTTCGAACCTAGAGAAAGAAAACGCCGCATCGGTCTTTTCAACCCAAACGGAAGGGAACTCCGCATTACGGATATCTCCCGACTCCTTCTCCATCATCATAGCGAGAGCTTTACTTTGATACCTGGCTGCTTGTCAGTTCACGCCATTACTCCAAACATATTCGAACACTTACGGCTTCAGTGCTGTAGTAATAACCCTTGAGGTTTGTACCCTCCTGAAGTTGGTGGGCCCAATCGCGCAGTCTAGCAACTCGGTGGCTTTACTTTTGTCGCTTTCACCCAGAATAGTACATCGAGACAGGGACAGTCCAGAAGTTTCTTGGAAAAGATTATCCTCTTTTCCGGAGTACGAAAAGCATTGAGGATTATGGTATGGTCGGGAGACATCATATGAATCCGGTTGTTGGAGGAAGCAGTCCTGCTCCAGGAGCATATTCCCAATTGCGTCACCCTGTTCAAATTGCCCGTATATAAGCACCTCGATAATTTTAGAGGTCTTCAACGATGCTTTGAGTTCTACATTGTAACTCTTCACCAGGTTAACCAAGATCTGGGCCGATATCTGATCAAGAAGCCCTTCGTACGAGTTTGAAGTCTCATCTCGAACTATTACCATGATACCGCTCACTTCAAGTTTCACATCTTTCGCTGCCTTTCCCGTGATGAATTTATTCTTAAGTTGGAAACCTTCGAGGATAACCTGACGTTCCCGTTAATGCGTGACCTGTTCAACGTGGATGTCTTGCTCACCATTCCAAAGCAAGTGTCACACAAGAATGTTTCGAGACTTTCTCCAGTCGTGATAAGATCTTCTTTAGTAGATCTAGCTGTAGCAAGGGTATCGTCCCGGGCCTCATTTTCAGGCCGTGCCTGCCTTTCATCCTCGAAGCCATTAATCCCGCAGATTTCTGCACCGGTGTTGTTATCTACACCACTAGCACCAATATGTTGACTTGAGACAGTCCCTGGTACGCCCGATCCGTGAGTCGGTCGTGTTTTCTTATGGGGATATAGAACTGTCGTAGTCGAGTCAACGCCAGATTCTCCCCATTGACTTACGGCTTCCCAGGAGCGCTTGGTCCCCCAAATGGGATCGTCGTCTTCTAGCATGCTGCTCGTATCTCGTCATATACTTGGAACTATGAATGAATAAAATACTCTTGAACGAAAAATGGGCTAAATGATATTTATATAGCCACACGATAAGAATGAGAATGAAAGAGGGTTAACATAGTGGCTTAGATGTTGGTATTATGCTGCGCATGTCTTAGGTTGTAAAGAAGCTGCAGGCTACCTACTCAGCCCAAATCAGGCCTCCTATTAAAACCTAAGGCGAACTCTCACCCTGCAGCCAACTAAGCACACACTTGATTTGATAATCGGCACATCAGGCTCTACGCGAGTACAATAATATCACGTGTAAGCCCGCACATGATTCTGTACCGAAATCTCAATGCTGCAGAGAAATACCGTAATATATTCATCTACTGCATCCTATGCTACTTACATAAAGAGCACAGCCAAGATCCCCGTAGCTCCCACCACCAGCATCGCAGTTATCGTATCTGCCTTCGGTACCGCCGCAGCGCTTTGAGTGAACGACGGCAAAGTGTTGTTCGTTGGTGCGCCACTAGCTGCTGCTGCCGCCGCCGCCGTCTCCGCGGGGCTCGCAACCTCAGAGGATATCGGCACCAGCGAGCTCAGCGTGGATCGCACGCTAGGGAGCTCTCGCAATCCGCTCGTCGCTTCGGTAGGACGTGCTTCGGCGGCAGTAGCACCGCTCGAACTGCCCGAGGCGCCGGAAAGCGACTGCTGGACCCCGGCGGTTTCGGCGCCTTCGGATCCCAGAGACTGGAGACTTCCAGATGTTAATGCACCGCCGGTAGGGAGTGCGACGAGCCCGGTTGGTTCAGATCCAGGAGGAATGTCTGCATTCGTGGCTACTGCACCACCGGCAGGCAGTGCGACAAGCCCAGTTGGTTCAGATCCGGGAGGAAGGTCTGCATTCGTAGCTACTGCTCCAGTGGCATCCGTAGTGGCAGTGGCGTTAGAGAAACCCCCGAACTTCGAAGTGGCAACGGCTGCGGGAACACTGACCGCAAGGGCCGAAGTAGACACATTCGCGAAGATCGGCGATGTAACTGCCGCCGCCGCACCAGCACTGATGATGCGAAAGCTTTGAATAGCAGCAGAGCTGGAAGCTACCGCCAGCGCGCTTGAGCCTGCTACGGCCCCGATGTCAATAGCCGCGGAAGACGTAGCAGTTGGTATAGAGATAGTTTGAAAGCTCTGGACGTTCCCGACTACCGCCGCGGAGCTTGATGAAGATGAAGCCACGACGACCTATAAATGGTTAGGGGCTGCAGCTTGGAGTGTCTGGTTATTAGTAAAAGACTCACCTTTGACGTCTTACGTGCGGTACTAAAAGTAGTTACAGCTGCTGAGGACTCGATAGTCGCACTACTCGTGGAGGTCTCACCGGCAGCTGTTGATTGTTGTAGCCCGGGGAGAGCGACTAACTGACCAGCAGTCACTGGTGCGCCAGGGAGCTGTACCAATCCCCCGGAGGATCCTGCTTCAGACCCACCACCACCACCTTTCACTTCGGCTTCCGTGTCGGATCCCTTATTCCCTCTAACATTTGGCAATTGTTGAAGTTGGCCACCGGAGGAAGATGATTGGTTAGAAGGAGATAAATTTTGATCTCGCAGAGGAATAGGGGCTGGAGAAGCAAGTACTCCATTGAAGGCAGCGCCAAGCATAACAGCCAGAGCTGTGACTAGATCTGATTTCCTCATTTTATATTGCCTCTAGCTGCGTATTCTATGAGGTGTATTAATTATATGTACAAGGAACAAACTAAGAACTATGCAAAAAGAACGTAAATACTGCTCAACAGTATAAGCTGACCAGCAGGTGAAGCATTAAGGAAGGAGTGACGATAGGACGATAGGACGATAGGACGAAAGGAAAGAAAATAATTATGAACAGAGATCTGGATGGGAGGTGAGCACCATTTACCATGTGGTTAGTGGATATGTAGGTATATAATGCCATGACATATCACGCAGCCCTCCGTGATTTTCAGATAGTTGCCTGAGCTTGAGACATCATCCCATAGCTTGACATGTCTTGGCATATACTCTAATAACACTAGTGGCCATCGTGGCCCCTCGTTTAAGCCGGGGTATATGTAGACGTACATGTGTATTAACTATGGCAGTAAGCCTAATTTAAGGTCATCTTCCAGGGGCGCCCTCAAGCTGAACTTGGGTCAAAGCCTACCTACATACGATGAAGAGCCGCAAGGTGAATGGCTACTAATGTCCGACATCGAGATACTAGCATGAAAGCAGAAAAATTCGAGACGAGTCAAGTAGAAACCACCCGTTACTTCTTGCCAGTATCTACACATCAAGTTAGCAAGTCGATGCGACGTGCCATAAACATGAAGAAAGCATTGAATAACCAAGAGATGAACCAATCGAAGTGCTCGACATGGGACGAGGATCCGACGATGCGATGCCAGGAAACGCGGCTCAAAAGGAGCCGTGCCCAACGCCCCCTGACAGTGATGGGAGCTCGGAACTGGGTAGCATCCGGGGACCGCTAACCTATTCTAGCTATAAAGCTTCTTTTTCTTCTGTATGGTTACTGTCGAGGTCTTAGCTCTGGGACTTTGAGACGAAACCCTGCTGGCTCTGAAACCTGCATCACCAATCAAGCTTAAAATCAACTTCAAGCCTTGCTTGGGATTAGCGAGGCCCCTAACGTAAAATATCTTTAAGAGACATTGTCATTCATACGAGTTGCCTTTGAATTACATTAAACCCTGCAAAGCCAAGAGGATCACCGCGATATTCAGTAGATTTTGCAGATTACGTGCTGCGATGCCAGATCCCTATGGCATTTTATTGTAATAATCTTCATAAGCCATGATTTCCAATACAACTTGCTCGAATTGATGTCACTAAGCTCACAAGAAGCAGAATGCAGTCCATATCCTTTCAAACCCATTCCCTTGCGCGGAAGACGAGTTTAACGGATGTAACCGTACATCAAACAATAGTACACATAGGTTAAGTCCCTCATTTTGGGATTTGAGTCTTTGATAAGCAAGAAATTTACCAGTGAGACCGTCCAACGCCCTTGAGCCATATCTGTTCCCCGGGAGTCTTCTTGCTATCGTAATTTGAGGCCTTCGGAGGTAATGGACCTAATATTAATTCGCTTCGAATTGCCATGACGTCTTAGAATTCCGTCAGGCTATTCTTCATTCTCATTCTCGCCCTCAATAATTTTCATCTTGAAGAGGAGAGGGAAAACCACCGTACAGCATTTCCTAGATGTTACCTTCAGCCGGCGTGCCTCCCCCTTGCTGCGTATCCACGCCATGAAAAGCGTCACCAAACGCTGAATCATCCATTTCCATACCCAAACTCTCACCGAGGTCCCCAGGCGTCTCGCTAAAGCCTGCTAATGCATCTCCCGCCGTATTCAAGTCATCTAACGAGCTGAAGTCGTTTTGGTCACCATCGAACCCTGCTGAAGGGGTTCCTGTTGCTGATGCTTGCTTACTTAGAGCGCCTGCGGTCCTCGGTGGATTATTGGCAGGCGTTGCACCCGCGGTGCCATCTGGAACAGCACCGGCTTTGGAGACTACCACCCAGTCACCACTCCCGGTACCTTGATCAGGAGCGGTTCCGGTTGACGGATCGACGACGCCGCTCATGTTTACATCCCCCGTGCTGTCCGTCTGCGTGGGCTGTAGAGGCGAAGGGACGTTCAAGTTTGCTGGTGTAGTAACGCGGGAATGAACGCCTGAGGCCTGAGCTTGGGGAGTCGGGAAGTTATTCATTGGCGTAGATGTAGACGAGACCCCTGTTCCAGTATGTATTTGGTCAAGAAGGCCGGCAGCAGTTCCACCGCCCATGTCGATATCATGATCTCCCATAGTGAATCCACTATGCTGAGACCCTGCATGTGATGGTTGCCTAGACATTGCCCCGCTGCCATTTGTCCCGCCGTTCTGAGGCTCTCCAAGAATAGGACCTGGACCCGAGGTTATTTGGGGCGTCGGCTCCGGAGCTGGCTCTTGATAACCACCGTCTTGTATTCTCCTCAGTTCATATATGACCTCTGCTCGACGGCCTAGGTGCGCTTCAACCTGAGATACGATCTCATCAACCTTCTTATTATGCTTAGAGGGCCAGCGATTTGTGTCGTCTTCGCTTTCTTCGACTTTCCTCTCAAGTTGTAGTACATCAGAACCCGGCTCATCTAGAGCTGATCGCAACTCCCTTTCGGCAACAGTGAGGAGGGAGTTGTGCTTAAACTTGGCGACCTTTTTGGCGTGATCTGCTTTCATCTTCTCAATCTCTGCCTGCGTAGAACGAAGCCGATCATTAACTCGCTTGCGAAACTCTGCAGCCTTCTCCGGATCAAACTGAGTTGCGGTAGGCTTAGAAAGTGTCTGGGTGGTTGCATTAAAACTATGAGCCTCAAAAATACCATCAGTTAAATCCGAAAGCTCTCCTTTAAGACCTAATCCAAGATCTGAAAACCCAATCTGGCCCATTCTGTATGGGGATGACAGTATCTCTTCCATCCACTCGTGGTTCTGGCGATAGCGAGCTAAACTAACTTCACGTGGTGTAAGATGGTCAAACATGTCGCCACGAGAGGTGTCTTCTTCATCATCATACACGCCTTCCTGCTGGGAAATGGCAGGTATGGCGGAAGCTACTTGGCCTTGCGCAGCTTGGCCGGTCCGCGCCCGTTTTGATGGTGGTGCACCCGCCGTAGGGGGGTGGGCGGGATATGCCATTGCCTGTGGAACGCCGCGGGGGCCTGCGAACATGGGCTGCCTTGACGGCTCTCTTGGCCAGGCGATCTGAGGCCAGTTCACCCGGTCGCTGAGGATGAACTCCTTTCGTTGAATCTGGCCACATCGCTGCAGGTAGGCGCGGGTCTCTAGGATAGATTGAACTCGAGGGTCGCGCGGAATCATCTGGTGAGGAATACGCTCGTTGTTATCGACAGGACCGTAGTGAACTATCCATAGACTAGGATCAACCTGAGGAGCATTTGGGTTGTGGATATTAGGAGGAATGAGGCGAAAGCGACGTCTCGAATGTGACGCATATGGCTCTCCATAGGCAAATCCAGCTTTGTGATAATACATCTCGAGGATCTACACAGCTTATTTAGCATGAGCTCACAGCTCAGAATTCAAGATCTATCATACCACACCGTTTCCCACGTCCTGCTGTAAATATTGTTCCTGGGGAGGCCAGATGAAACCATCGCTGGCGAAGTTGACACCCATCTGTTGTAACGGTTGCCACGTCAAAAAGACATTTCCATTCTCAGGCCGATCGAGATAAGTCCAGAAGAACGGTGCGGTGTCGCGGGCGATCTTGGGAGCTTGCATCAACCAACTGGTTACTTCGGAGGGTTCAACTCGGGCTTTGAGGGTGTATCTGTACGTCGAAATGAGATGCACATGTGGGAGCTAAACATGTCTATATTAGCAAGCAATTGTAATGATATGCGATCGCAAATGAAAAATACCAAGTCTCGATGGACCCCGTAACTGGGGTCACCCATTGCTGACATTGTCGTTTGAGCGAGATAAATGAGACTATCACGCTCAATTGATTAATACCAGAATTCGAGGTAAATAGATGAGTCCGGTATAATCGATTTGAAGTTGTGGTAAGAATAGCAAAGCGCGAGGCGCAAGGGGGGATCCGCGATGATAAGGCTGCGCGCGAAAGTTTCGATTTGATGATCGCGAAGATGCGCGACGACAGAGCTCGACTTTCCTTGGGGGGAATTTGTTACAGGTACGCCTGAGGCTTGGTAAGTTGTAGCTGTGGGTCTACACGCGCTACAAAAAATGTGGCTCGAGCCAACCATCTCCGACATCTAAAATTCACGTGCATTCCACCTAACCTAGAGATATACGAGGTACAATTAGGTACATACGTAGGTACCTAACCTAGGTAACCTAACCCAACAGCTAGGTACATTTAGCCCGTGTTTAACTGCATATTATTTATATGTATGTAGCTCTTACGAGTTGCTTTACGGACACAGAGATAGTCTAAAGTATTTATTTTTCCAAGTATATGGAAATTGGGATTTGCTATTAATTCAGATATTTATTTTCATTCTTCTAAACTTGGTAGGCCGACTATGTCATGTCATACCATAGCATGCTCGGTTTAAATCATTCCTTTTTCCCATCTATTGAGAATGACCCTGCCCATACGCCATACTTACCATTGGTAAGCGCGCTCATATTCGCTCACATGGATACCATCCTTTATGCTTGGTATGTGGAAGCCGACACGTTACCTCCCCGACCAGTCCAGTTAACGTGGATATATTGGCCTTCGGGGTACTTAGCGTTGGCATACTCAGGCTTAACCTGGAAGGTGTGTGCTCCGAAGTAGTCACGCTGGGCCTGGAGAAGGTTGGCGGGCAGGTCCTTGGTGCGGTATCCGTCAAACCACGATAGCGCAGTAGAGAAGGCAGGGGTTGGGATTCCGAGAACGGCAGCTTTAGCAACCACATCTCTCCAGCCGGGCTGGGCCTTGTGGATGGCCTTGTTGAAGAAGTCGTCGAATAGCAGGTTCTCGAGATCAGGGTTGTTTCGGTAAGCCGCAGTAATATCCTTTAAGAAGACAGAGCGGATGATGCAACCACCTCTCCACATCAAGGCAATCGAAGGCTTGTTAAGCTTCCACTTGAACTCTTTCGCGGCCTGATTACAGTCAGAAACGTCTACACGCCTAGGGAAGTATATAAACGGATAATACGACATACCTCTTGCATCAGCATAAAACCTTGAGCATATGAGATGATCTTGGAAGCGTACAGAGCCTGCTCGAGGTCTTCAAGGAATTGCTCCTTGCTGCCCTCGAACTTGGTTGTGCGACCGACGTATTCAAGTTTGGTCGAAGCCTTGGTTCGCTCGGCCTTGATTGAAGACAGACAACGGGCAAGAACAGCCTCGGCGATCAGGGTAACGGGCATTCCGAGATCCAGAGCGTTGATGGCAGTCCACTTGCCAGTACCCTTCTGACCGGCCTGGTCCAGAATCTTCTCAACTAGTGCCGTTCCGTCGTCATCGTTGAAGTACATGATGTCGCGGGTGATTTCGATCAAGAACGAGTCTAGGACGCCCTTGTTCCACTTGGCCAAAACATCACCGATCTCCTTGTTGCTTAATCCAAGACCACGCTTCATGATATCGTAGGCCTAGTGAAATTAGTTTGACTGTTTCGAGATGCATGAAATATAGGGGCAATGGGTATAAGGGCAACAAACCTCGCAAATCAGTTGCATGTCACCATACTCGATACCGTTGTGCACCATCTTGACGTAGTGGCCAGCACCCTCGTCACCAACCCATTCACAGCATGCCTCGTTGTCGCTCTTGGCAGAAATGCTCTGGAAGATATCCTTGATGTAAGGCCACGCCTCCTCGTTACCACCCGGCATCAACGAAGGGCCATATCGAGCACCTTCCTCGCCACCGGAGACACCGGAACCGACGAATCGGATACCCTTGCCTGAGAGGTATTTAGTTCGTCGGTTTGAGTCGGGGAAGTGAGAGTTGCCGCCGTCAATGATGACGTCTCCCTTCTCTAGAAGAGGGAGTAGGGTCTCGATCCAGTCGTCGACAGCCTTGCCCGCCTGTACCAGCAGCATAACACGGCGGGGCTTCTTTAGCTTGGAGATGAACTCCTCGTTGGAGTGAGCGCCGACGATAGACTTGCCCTTGGCCTCGTTTGCCAAGAACGCATCTACCTTGGAGATGGTTCGGTTATAAGCGCAGACGGTAAAGCCGTGGTCGGCCATGTTCAGAATCAAGTTCTGACCCCTATAACAAATGAATATCTCCAGAGCTTACTAAGGGATTTGAGGGGATTAGGATAAACGTACATGACAGCCAGGCCAATGAGGCCCAAATCAGCGCTTTTGGAATAGTTAGCATGGCTTCAACGGAGCGATTTACGACGAATTCGTAGATGATATAATATAATGAAAGAAGCTCGCCTTGGGCCTCCCAGAGAACTGGTTATGTTGGCAAGACGAGCCCTAAAGGCCCCGAAGAGTTATTTCAGTTACATAGGTCGCAAAGGCACTCAATTTGCTGGGTAGAAAGAAAGATGGGAGTCGGCGGGGTGATGATTTTTCTGATGGCGGGGTAAAAGAGTAATCATCATCGCCAAGGTAAGACAGAGAGGTATATTTGGACTTACACGGCACCAGACATGATTGCAGCGATATTGGTAACTCAATGGTAGAAGGACGAAGTTATTTGCTAAAATGCTAAAAGCGCAGATGGAGAGCGGGAATATAAAGAATTAATTGTAGACTACGGTCGGTCGCGGGAGGGAGGTTACTTTTCTATGATGGAGTTCATTAGGAAAAGTGGGGCTGAAAGTGGATGTGATGGAGGGGTAAGTAAGAAAGTGGTGCCCAGGAGTAAAAAGGGTAGGAGGGAAGGGAATTTGTTATTGAAATACCTTCCGTAGGTACCTACAACCCGCCTATAACGTGCCGTCTTAACCAACCAGGCGTAAGCTATGTACCTACTGCATAGTACCTAGGTTAGTTGAAGATGACAAGACGCGCAGCGCTTGCATCCCATCAATCAAAGAATTCCCGGAAGGCACGGGTTTATTACTGAGAACCCTTCTTTTCCATTATTTACTACGCGTGGGTTTGCATACTTTGTCTCTCGCCTATCACCGATTACGGATCGTGAGAATTACCTACATCTAGTAGATATTGCATATTAACAACCTAATACTAATATTTACCGATTTGCTTTTTGCGATATCAATAATCTACCAGGTAGCTAGAGAAAATTAAAAAAAAACATGCCACTTCGTTCTTCTCTAACATGGGATACGCCTCATGTTGATCTTGGTTGATTCAGATCCCCCCGTGAGACCTTAACGCCGTTTCGTAAATCCACCGGGGGACGGGCGAAATGCTTGGTCATTGACGAGCCTGGATCCACATCGGGTTTTATTGAACTAACCTAGGTTACGTATGTACGATACTATGCATGATACTATGCACGATACTACGTATATGCAATAATAGGTTAGATGGCAATATACTTGTTGAGCTATCCTCGTGTAAGACCGTCTATCAGGCTGAACTCTCGGTCTAACAAGGTTGAGAAATTTGCTTGTACTTGGGTATTCTTAGATAGCCGCTCCATTGTCAGCTATTTACCTAGGTTAGGTATGTACATATAAGAAACTACCAGATCCAATCCCACAATGGGTCCACTGTGCATATTGTAATGCTTAGCAACCGAATACCTACTCACATAACAAAACAGCCTGCTGACTCTGGATCATTATGAAACAATGGCAATGTCGAAACACGGGAGTACCGGAAGGTATTAGAGCCCCAGTAACCTATAGCAAATAATGCCCCTTTACAGAGATCTTAGAGACGGGTTTAAGAACTACTAATTTAATGTAAAGCCATGTTGTTTAATAGATGTCAATCCAAGCTGTGGAAATTTTGTATTACTTGTGCTGTCTTCATACATTCGACGCACCCTAACTTCCGACCTCACTAATTGGTTCTTAATTATCGGGACTGGGGGATGGGCTACATACAAAGCGGCGCAACAAACGACCGAGAGTAGTTGTGGTGGAACGCGGGCTAGACAAGTTAACCAGGATTGAGGCCAAATCCTACTCATGACTGCGAGGCTACAACAAAATGTCTCATGGGGAGAACCGGGCAATAGATTAATGACCTTGAGCCAATCAGGGGGACCTTCTAAGTTCTCGGCCCTTTATGCGGATTGCCGGCCCTCATGATTATTATGCTTAGCAGGCCTTATCAGGCGAATTACCATCTTGGCAGTCAAGGCATCCGGCCGAAAGTTGAAAGATAAGGCGGGAGGGAATATGAATATAGTGAATATAGTAAATATAGTAAATATAGTAAATATAGTAAATATAGTAAATATAGTGTTGATGATAAACGACGATATGAGAAGGTATAATGTAAAGAATACCTAAAGCATAACAAAGCAATGTCTCTAGGTAGTAGCTTTGAACGAGAGTTGGATTAGATGCTATCCAGTCACCTCCTTTGAAGTCTAAATGCCACTTTCTATACCTACCTAAGTTACATATTGCGTGGAACCTAACATTGGATGGCATGAGAAGATGTTAAGAGTAGGTTTATTAGCTGAACAAACTCAAGGTGTAAGTTATCTTATTGTTTGGACCATTTATGTATGTACGAACTTAAGTATGAACCAATACATGTAACTACCTTTAACATGTTCCCACCTTGGTTCTTCAAACCCATTTCTGAGGGAACTGCCTCTAATGTTCAGTATAATAGGTAGCAGCAAGAAGTATTATTGTAGCTACTCTGCTTATGAGTGAACTACCTACCTGGTAGTTATTAGATGTCAACAATAGAAAGTCACAGCATTCTGTTGGGACAAGACCCAATGACCGGTGTAAGTGGATTAGGTCCATATGTACGTATCTACCTAGGTTAGGTACCTAGGTATGGGAGCCAAAGGCACGTGGCTGTGTACAAACAAATATGCACCGCCACATTTAATGCGCCATAGATCAAAGAGACTTCAACCTTAGAATTCAGGATCGAGTACTTCGAATCGGGCTGCACTCCATAGAATCACGTCGATAGAATCTAATCAACCCGTAATTTTCACACCGTCACCACACCAACGTCAAGTTCACACGCACAACTCAACTTCACCTTTTTCACAATTCGAACGCGCTCACGTATTTATAATCCTCCGATACTCGTCCCCAACCCAACTCCCGAAACCAGAGCGGTAAAAGCCCCAGGTTACCTAAGGTATCCAAGAAGCAGGAAAGAAAAAAAGAGTCCAGGCTATATATCCGGATTCGTAGGTACGTGTTGCACCCGAAACACACACACACACTACACCTCTCGGGCGCACAGCAAAGTTCATCATGTCCTATCCGCCTCCTCCAGGCTCCAGCAATTCGCTCCCCCCGCGACCACCCCCCTCGCGCTTCTCCAGCTTCAAGCCAGCCTTCTCGCCATCGCAAACCCACTCCCCGAGCCCCGGCCCCTACGCGCCTCCCGCCTACTCCAGCGCCCCGACATATGCTGGCGCTCCCGCCCCCGCCGGCCCCCCCAGAAACCAGTATGGCTCCTCGTACCAGCCGTACGCGCGCCCCGGCCCCATGACCGGTGGCTACCAACAACATCAACAACATCAACAACATCAACAACAACAACAACAACAATCCCAGCCAGCAGCAGCAGCAGCGAATCCGTACTCGTACCCCGGCCAGCAGCAGAGCTACCAGCAGAGCTACTACAGCGCGCCACAGGTAGCCGCCGGCACCACCGCCGCGCCCTCGTATGCCGCGGCCCCCCAGATCCGCAACCCCTTCCCGGCTCCTAACCAGGCGAAGGCCGACGACTATGACCCGGATATGGCGGCGCAGATCGCGCAGTGGCAGAGCGCATATGTGAAAGATCCCAACAAGGAAGGGGGTGCCGGTGCGCCCGCAACGGCAGGAGCGTCAGCAGCAGGGTCTGGGGGACGAGCAGGCTACGCCAACAGCGCGACGACGACGTACGCCGCGGAGCCGAGTGCCAGCGCCGCCGCCGCATCGGCAGCGGCAGCAGCAGCAGCAACGAACGGGGAGAAGAAGAAGACGGTCGTGCGGTCAGGCGGCGGGCAGAAATGGGCCGACGACACGCTCCTCGAATGGGACCCCTCGCACCTACGCCTCTTCGTCGGCAACCTAGCAGGCGAGACGACGGACGAATCTCTCTATAAAGCATTCTCGCAGTGGAAATCCCTGCAGAAAGCGCGCGTAATCCGTGACAAAGTCACGTCCAAATCCAAGGGATACGGATTCGTATCCTTCAGCGACCCGGACGAGTTCTTCCAAGCGGCCAAGGAGATGAACGGCAAGTACATCCAGAGCCACCCGGTCGTCGTGCGCAAGAGCACCACCGAGATCAAGCCCACTGCTGTCAAGGACAACAACCGCTGGAGCAAGAACGGCAAGAACAAGAACAAGAATAAGAACCGCGGCGCTAACGGTTCTGGTGGTGGCGGCGGTGGGAAGCGCGACGACGGCCTCGAACCCCATCTTGGCCCCGTGCCCACTGGTGTGCATAAGCCGGGTCAGAAGACGAAGGGCGGGTTGAAGATATTGGGTTGAGTAAGGGGAGGATATGTATATACCCTGCTGATGCTGATGCCTACACCTGCATAGGCTGTCATTATGCTATCACGCTTAGCTTGCTTTAATAACAGGCGTTAAAGACGCGCAGACTGAATCGGAAACCTCGTTTCTAGATACCAAGGAGCATATTATACTAATAAACCATGACGGAACGCCAATTCATCCTTGTTGTACCTCGCACACACGTTGTGATATGATATATAATATTGAGTCTTGCTACAATCTTGATCCGATCCTATGCTAATTCTCAACTCGACAATATTAACCACCGATGATACCAGCCTAAGCCACTTTATATATCCGTACATGAGGTACATGTGATGTTTCTATAAAACACATCTCTACACGTTCTATAGCCTACTAAACAAGCGTCCGCGCCTGGTTAGCAGGATGCATCGGCCTTCTCTATTTTTGCAATGGGGTATCTTGCTAATATGTCTGCTCGTTGCTCACACTAGCCTTGTTCTGCTCCCGTTTTCTCCTACTTCTCCAAGTTTTGAACGTAGGAGATCTGCCTGCTTCTGTCCAACTGACCGATCGGTTGGTCGGCTGATTTCTACCTATTTAGTAGATAAATACGCGGGCCTGGCCCTTTATCAAGTGCTCCTTGTTACTCCTGCTAATGCAGTATTCGGCCTCTTACTTTTTAGGCGACTGGTTCACTTGTCCCACTGGCCCTTCTCGTGCGTGCAGTTTTGCTGTTTAACTGCCGCGTTCGAGCATGCTAAACCCCACATAGATGTATAAGTTGCGCCATATTTCCTATGCTTCTATTCTGTTAATGAACCCCATACAAATGAAATGTAGCATGCGATAATCAATCTTCTCGAGAACGTTCGGTCCGGTGGGGTTCCGTCGAGCTGGAGGGACCTGCATTCGGTATTATATCCCCGTCGACTGCAAGCAGGCTATCTTCGATGCCGGTGGCTTCTTCATGAGCTAGGAGTCCCGTCTCTTCCTCGTCGGAATCACTTCCGCGTTCAAACTCGCTCGATGAACCTGATTGCGCTTGCTGGTAGCCTCGGTTATGTGCTTCCATTCGGGCGTCGTTACGCATCTTGGAGAGCTTGATCCAATTGTATGCGCCAATAGCACAGATGGTCACGACAAGACCTGAGATGTTTATGGGCGTAAGCTTGTCGTCAAAAACTAATGCTGCTGCCGAAATAGTGACCACCTCTTTGAAGATACCGGCGATAGAAAGCGTGACTACGCTGCTCCGCTGCAACAGAGCAAATTCGCTGGCAGTCATCAAGAAAGCGATCGTTCCTGGGAAAAGGAGGATAAGAGGTGTTCTAAGAGCACCCCATTCATTGGCTAACACCTGCAGCCCCTTTATCAGCTCGAAGAAGCCTTCTACCGGTACCGCGATTACTATCAGCGTGGCGAACATGACCGGCGCAAGGAAGAAGATGCTAGAGAACGGGTTCGACGTGGCGGGGTTCCGAAGCAGGAGGATCTGCGTCAGACCCCAGCGGAAGCCGGAGAAAAAGGCGGCGGATATTACGAGAATAAATCCTCCTAGTTGGAACTCGATCTCCCCTGCAACCATCATTACCACACCGGCTGTCATGGTTGCGATGATGCCAACTAGCTTCCACGTGGGACTTTCGAGGCGGAAAACAAAGGCGAAGAGTAAAACGAAGGCTAGGGAAGAAGATTTACACATGGCTATAGGCATGTTAGCTTCGAAGTTCTTATTATAAAACACATTAGTACCTACTGTAAAATGTAAGGGTAATGAATTTTAGAGATGTATTTCCGAGTCCAATATCTAAGCCAGTTGCCGCGCCACACGGCCCTATTCTCGTCAAATAAAACATCTTGGTCATAATGGGACGTTCGGGCTCGGACTCGTGTCTCGATCGGCCCAGGTCGGAATTGTGTTGGCCATTGTTAGGTCGTAGGGAGGGTATAAAGTATAATACTAAACTCGCAAGGGAAAATTGCACGAGCATGTGCACTGCTGTTGTAAATAAGGGGAATGCAAAATTGAGCTGGCCCGAATCGAACATCCATTTGTTGTACTATAAAACAGAGCTTGGTTAGCAATTATACGATTCGCATATCTAGTCTAAAGACGCCTTAGAGGGATAGCAATTGACTTACTAAAGAAATCGAAAGCGAGAATAGATACCAGAGCCCAATCAGAACACCATTGACGACCAATTTCTTAAATACGTCCTGGTCTGCCTCTTTTCGCTCCTCGTCTGTGATCTTGTCCCGCGCAATTCTCTGGTCTAACCTTGTATTGCGCCGTCGCTTAGCTCGTTTCCTCCGCTTATCCTTCTTTGTCAGACCTGTCTCCTCGTCATCGTGCAGGTCTTCTTCAGATAAACTGTCGTCTTCTTTGCTGTCCGATCTTGACGCGTCCCGACGCTGATCCTCTTCGGAGATTTTGCCTTCCAGCTCCCCCGGTCTCTTAGCGCTGGTGGAACGTGTCCGTGGAGTTCGCGAAGTAGACGGCTGAGGGATGTTGGGGTTGGCGGTAAGGGTACTTCGGCGGCGGCGATGGCCTGGAGGAGCTATGGAATCCATCTCAATATCCTCGAGACGGCGACCGGTAGGGTTGGCAGAAGAATGGTTAGCACCATCAGACGACCAGTCTACCTTAAAGCTGGTGGTAGCGGATGATGCTGACGAGGGATTGGATAAGTCGGGGTTCGTAGAATTAGGAGTGAATACGCTTTTAACGGATAGGGTGGCGGGATGAGACGGTGAAGGAAGACTGGATATACGTCTTTGGGAAGTAAGATTATTGGACAAAGGAGTAGACATATTTTATGTGGATGTGAATAATAAAGTCAGTGTACGGCAGAGACTCGAAAGTGATACGCCTCAGATTGGAGATAAACCAAAAGCAGCAAGCAACTGCAAGCATCATTGTGCGGAAACCCCCCTGGAAGGCCTGGAAGGACCCCTAGCCTCGTGAAGCTAACCGTAACTTTACTTAGCGTCGGCCAACTTTGGACATAAAACTCGAATTAGTCCCCAGTTGAACCCCCCTTTTTTATCTAATGACAAGGGCTTGGCGACTCGAATAATACCTAAACGAAGAATAACATTGAAGTCGTTGGAGTCTCTGGGGATGAGCTAGCAACTACCTAAAATCGGATCTGTACCTAGTATTATTATGTACGTTGGTAGGTTACCTAACGTACCATCCTAGATGTACATGTATGTATTATGCACAGCAGCCTCGGAGGTGAAATGGTGAAATACGGGGATCGCTCATATATTAAGTACCTCGGTACATAGATAATGTACAATGCTTTGTGTACACTGTACCTAAATATAGATACAATACTGTCTGGATCCTATGTGTTCATATCTGACATCTTACAATTTATATCTAAATACATAGGTTAGGTAGTCATGAATCATATATCGCTACACTTCGATTTAGAAGAGCAATTGACTTTTTAAACAACCATCTCTTCGTACAACATACATGTATCAATTTCCCCTGGCGCCACGTTAAAACGCCAAGTAAGAGGGCGCAGCTCATCCCAAAGTTATCCTTGACCATCAACCCAAAGTCTAACCCAATCAGGCATATGTGGACCATTTTACACCATAATAGTACTAGCGCACCCAAAACTCAACTACCATTTCACTAACATTATATTTATGTAAATATACGCTTTTATACAGCATTATAAGACTTAATGAAATATAAATAAATTTAATATAATTGATTAATAATTAATTATTAATCGATTAACTATTGATTTTTATTTTATTTTATTTAAATATAAAAAGTTTATTTTAAAATAAGTAAAAGATAAAAAATAGGTAAGCGCATATTTAATCAATTTCTAATCGATTAGGAATTGATTAGATAAAGCGCGCTAAAAACCTAAGTGCTTAGCGCTATAATATAGGGAATTTAGTAGTTATAATGCGCTGTAATTATAGGGCATTTAGCCTTATTCTAATGATTAAAAATGCTAAAAACTCACCCCAAAGTCGTACAAAGCTCACCCCAAAGCGGACCCCGTCAAATGCAACCAATCAAAATGTTGGATCTAAGGCCCCAGCTTTTGCCAAATCGGGTTAGACTTTGGGTTGATGGTCAAGGATGACTTTGGGATGAGGTGTAGACTCCGCCAAGTAAACATCCAAAAGCTAGCATTGCCTCAACCCCTGCAATTGACTCTCACCGTTAGAATTATGGGGACTGACATGTTATGCACGGTGTGTGGGGCGCCGAGCAAATCCGGGGTTATGTAAACCTCCAATCCGTGTGGCGACTCCAACTTAAAAGGGCATCCGCCATCTTGATCTCATCCTGCTCATTCACGCTTAAGATCTTAGACTATTTGACTACATTTAGACTATGAACATCGCGATGCTCATGCACCCCCATGATATTCTGGGAAAATAAGGTAATTGATCTCCAACTTGAAATTGTGACTGTCTGGTTTGCGTACGTCGATGACTTCCGGCGCAACCTCGAGACGCCCTTACGTGCCATTGTCACACTTTGTCATACATAGAATCCAACGAATGTTCGTATGATACAAACATCTTCTATTGGTATATAAACTATTTTATTTGAAATTGTATGGTCTTAGCGTAGTCAATACGGCGCAGAATACCTAACTTAAACAAATATAAAAACCCTGGTCTACTATTGTTAGTCCCTTCATATTGTGAGGAACTAGACAACCCTATTATTTTAGGTGATCTAATAGTTAGAATAACACATAAACCACTTGCTTCGTACACCGAACCGAAAGCAAGTCTCCTGAAAGCAATGATGATTATCCTTCTCCCACCTTCCTGAATTTTACTCGACGAGTAGACCTATGCGCCTATGTTTACCCATAACTACCTACATGTAATACAAAGGGAACATGAAGAAAAAGGAAAGTCGTATGAAAGTATAGTGAGACTGTTCTAGGATAATATTTGCATCTCTTCCTTCCTTTCGGGGGCAAACCTCTCCTTGTATTGGTCCCACAGCTTCTCTAGCTCAGTGATGTACAGATCATGTAGTCGATCGATCTCCGCCTGGTCCACAACGGCCGACTGCGTAACTTTGATCGGAGCTCCGACCACCACGTTCAACGGGCGGCGGTACGGCATCAAGCCTACATCATAATTGAAAATACCTCGTCCGTGTAAGAATGGTAAGGTGAATTTCCACACTTTTAGGACAAACATCTGCAGTTTGTGTACGAATGGGTGCTCCTTAGGATGCAGTTGGTCGTACAAGTTGTTTTCCCCAAATGCGAGTACGGGCACCAGGTCCGCGCCGGTCCTAACAGCAATCCTGACGAAGCCCTTGCGCTCCTTCAGGATCAAACGCATCTGACCTGGTTGCGCTTCGAGAGACTCTCGAGCGCCACCGATAACAATGGTGACGGCGCGGCCCATGCCCTCTCCATTCGGTCCGCCTTTTGTCAGGATATTGACAATAGATTCCTTCGAAACGGATCGTAACCCTAAGGCTAGTATATATTCGCGATACAGTGGAATACGGAAGTTCGAGTCCAATGTTAGAACACTATTTGTGATGCCGGGAAATTTCTTAGAGAAGCCCAAAGCCTCGGTGCCAAAAGCCGCCATCGCGCCATGGGAGATAATACCATGCGGGTGGTAGCCGAAGATGTACTTCCGAGTGGGCGGCAGATCGCAAGTTTTATGAAGTTTGGCTGGGAAGTAGCTCGCGAAGAGATGCCACATGTAGCTTTTGCGGAACCATTCGGATCGGTATCTCAACGATCCATCCGTAGCAGCCTTCGAGCTCAACACATGTAGAAGGTATACAAGCAGCAATGGCCAAGCAAAAGGATTACCACACAGCGCGAAGAAGATGGAAACCGTTATGGCGATACTCATGCAGTGCATGAGCACAACAAATGTCTGCATTCTGCGTTTCCATGGAACGTTCCACGGAGCCCATCGGATCCCTCCGTTGGCACTTGGCCTTGGAGACGGATACATCTCGTCCATCGTTAGATCATCCAGCTCAGGACACGAATCATCGTCATCTTGCGAGTTAAGACCGCGCCCATATGGTACAATGTCTGTGCCTTGTCCGTTCAACCCAAATTTAAGGGTAGAAGCGTAACTGGCTCCGTCTGTCTTATCTTCATCAGTAGTTTCTAGCCCATTGGCTGGGGTTTCGTAGCCTTCTTCCGTGGAATAAATACTCCTATCAAGACCCGAAGAGCCGTATTTCTCCCTAGACTCGTCCCTATTGTCGGGTTGCGCCTCGTCTTCGCTGTTTAGTTTCTGAGGCTCCAGCCTGGTCGGCTCGGATCCCGGGGCGTCCTTCGTATTGGTTCTCCCGTTGGTAGGCTTTTCTCCCTTCCCCTTCGGGGTGTTGTCCATCTGGGGAATATCTCCCACTTTGGGATCTTTACGTCTCGAGACCTGGTGTGGAGGGCTCGCCTGAAAAGCAAGGGCCCTGGGAATATGAGATATGGTAGGACTTGGACCAGGCAAAACAGCTCGAGCGGCACTGAGTGAATCCTTATATGAAGAGCTTGAATTGCCTAAAGAAGATGGGTGAGGGGTACTGTCGCTGGTTACACGGGATGTGTGGGTTCTGCCGGTTGCAGTCTTGTTCGTGCGAGGTGGAGTACGAGGACTGGGGAAGTTAAGACAGTCGTGGATCGGCTAAGAGGGGAGGAATTCTCGATCAATACCTTTTCTCTCTCGACAGTATATTCAACGGCAGGGGCGGACATACAATACTCGATGAACCAGAAACTCTTCTAGGTTTCCGCTCTTTGCTGTATACGGATTTAATATCGTGCGTAGGACCGATTGTTGGGTTATTCCTCTCGTAACCTAGCTTAGAATCAGAATCTGCTGCTTGAGTTTGATCTTGATGGCGCCTCTGTCCCAGACGCGGCAGCTTGGAGCTGCGAGGGCTGTTGTGAGGCTCCTGAGGCTCCCGAGGCCGAGGGCTTTCAGGCTTGCTATCCGCCATGACTGATGATATATATAACGTCCGAGTATGGCTCCGGTCGTTAACTAAACTCAAGATAGACATACCTCTATGTGGGCAAGTAGAAATGGCAACGGCGGTTTGCGTATCGTCACTTTAGAGTCAAATTCTATTCTGTATTGTGGGTTTCGTTTAGAGTTTTCCTAGGGGACTCGTCTCGTCTCCGTTTGCTAGTAGTATATTAGGTTTGCGTTGTCTTAGGTTGGCGCAAAGTCTACCGTGTCAGGACCTGGTGGGTAGTGTATGTATGGACGTAAAGTAGAATAAAGTAGACAGCCTAGGTATGTACCTAGATAGGTAGGTAGCTAGTATGCAACAAGAGACGAGCCTCGGTAGCCTCGGGACGCGGTACATAGAATGCGATAGAATGCGACGGGGTTGACGATAATATGTACAATACAAAACGGGCCGAGTTAAAACTCAGGCAACTGAAAACGGACCCAGTGCACTGGGAGCTGAATTGCTTGTACGAATTACGGTACATACATGGTAACCTAATAGGTAGCTGTAGGTAGGTATGCAATTTTAGTTGCAGTGGGGCTTACCTAAGCTTACAGCTCATCGTTACATGTATGTATGTATGTATGTATAAGTATCAATATGACGTATCGCGCTAGCATGTGCAAAAGCATTGGCCGAAACCTCCGAAATGCTTCTCTAGGGCTGTACTTCGTAACACCGTAACATCGTAACACCGCAGAAATTCACGCTACAGGACATCATAGGTAAGCTTCCTCTCAGTGATTATTCTACCATTTCGGCTCTATTTCATATAATTTGATATAAAATAACGCATATCGTCTCGACGATAAGAATTATCATTCTCGTTTTATTTCAGACCAAGCTAAAAGAAAATGGTTGTTAATTGTTAATTTAGTGCTTCGGACCTACTAACTCAAATATTAAAAGAAGAAAGGAAAAGAAGTTTCGTTATTATAGACGATTTCATTTATACTACCATAATTAGGTAAGCTCTCTATGACATCCGAATAATTAATATCCAAGTCTATTCTATTCTATCTATATATAGGTATTCTCCAGGTATTCTCCCCAAGTGTGGATTGGGTTCTCAAAACACATCGGTTGTCAAACCCAAGAAAGCCACTGAGGGGGTATGGTTGAGACCAAAGGCTATTATTGTTTTAATTGCAATCTTGCGTTCCAACCGACAATGCATCTTATGAGGTCCCAGTCGCCATCTTGACCAACCCAATCCGTAACGACCACACCAGTGCTCCCGTCACCCACCTTCAGGCCTTTCGGCCCCTTGCCATCAGCCCCGTGTCGTAAACATAGATACTCGATGATGGCTGGGTTTGCCTTGGCCGCAATCTTCTCGGGCCAACAGTTAGTATTGAAGAAATTGCTGGCACTTAAAAAGTTCACGTAGAAAGGCTGAGCCGGTGCGTTCTCCTTATAGCCTTCACGTCCTGGAAGGGGGCACACTGGCTCGGCTGCCCGTTCAAGATGCTCTCGCGCGAATTCGATTTTGGCTTGAATGTTCTTATTCTGGTCAACCTCGTAAAAATCTTGTATACGAGCAATGCCACTTCCGAGTAGTCCATTTTCACAGTTGTCCGGCCAGACACTACCGTCGAGCGCCCATCCTCGACCTCCCCATTCGCCATTCAGGCTTGGGTCGTTATGGTGCCGCCTAAGTAGCACAATTTTACCTCGTACTTCGCTAATCTTTGGAATGCGCGGTTCTGTGTACCATCGTTTTCCATCCTCGTAGAACCGCTCCTTGAGGATCTTGGACAGCTGCTGGTCGGTGCCTTTACCAGTACCTTCGCGCTTCACACTCATAATAAGAGCCTCAGACGGATTGGCGTCTAAGAAGGAGTAAATAACATCTAGCATATCCTTAAAGTATTTGCTCCCCGTTAGTGAGATAGGGAACGCGCTATGCACAAGTGCCAGTTCCGAAGAATCTGTGCTGACGTTTACGCGGATATCGAAGAACCGCACACCGTTCTCTAGCTGTTCACGCACATTGACCGCTTGGCATCGGACTGAAGGTAGTGCGACATGGCAAGTCGGACTGTTGTGTGTACCCGGTATGGACAGAGCCGATAAAGGGTATTCGTCGCGCAACTCGCGCATCCAACTCGAAAGATTGGTGGAGCTGAATATGGCAAGACAACTGCTGGCCTGTACGTAGATAGTTGTGTATTCGTTGAGAGCACCATCTAGCTTCGTCATGACCGTGCTGCGCTGTGAAGCACTCGGCACGTCTACTTGATATCGGTGCCCTTCAGACTCGAAAGTCAAGCGAATGACTTCTCGGCCCGGGTCGGGCGTGCGAACATCCGTAACTCGGGTCTCAAAGCATCCGATAGTGATAGAAACATCACGGCGGTCCTTAGCCTCGCCCTGGATGCGGACATGAGACGCAATGGATGTAGAGTTGAAAATACCAGTAATCTTGCTCGTGATGTTACCGACGGGGGTATGACGACCGGATGAGGGTTGTCCTTCAAACCGCTCCACGAGCTTAAGCTCTAGCGGAGTGATTGTGAGGTTACGGATAGTTAAATCTGCCATTGGATTACAATATTGAATTAATGGGGTTCCAAAAAGACGGTTGTAGAGCTAGATAGGATGCGCCGGCGCCGACGCTGTCGAGGCGCATCAATACTTATGTAAGGCCATTGCTCCAGCTAAGCGTCAGTCCGTATGTAGGCATTTGCGATAGGCGTGCGTAGGTAGGTAGGTACCTAAGTGTAAGGGACCACGACACCCTAATTCGACCCTAATTGGACAAGTGTACCTAAGGCAGTGGGGATCTCATAAAAACACAGCTGAAGTTTATTATTTTTCCTCCTTTTTTTTTCTTGGTAAAAGCAGCGCCACAAAATACCAAAGGGAAATCCTTGAAACGTTTGTGGTAACGTTGAACGCCTATCATTTAATAAAGAATGCAGCATCTTTAAAAACCCATTGTCGACTTCCTACGTACGTATAACACATTCCTCAGTTGATGTCATAAGTTACCTGGGTTACCTAGGTATTCAGGAAGCTGATGAAGGAGATGGATAGTTTAATAAGAGGTACTTAACGTATGATGAATTATGAGATATTATGAGATACATGTATCAGCCACAATGTATGGATAGAGTGCAATCGGATGTGATTGGCCAATGCAAACCTCCAGGATAGCGGGAATACAATCGTTCGGACAATCCAACTTACACAATAATTATTATAGCTCTCATATATTAACCAAAGAGACAGTCAAGAGCGATGATCCGGGAGTCTCAACAATATGCGGCCTCGTATATTTAACTGCCGTCTTATAACTAGGTACCATGGTTCATATAAACGAAGCTTTGCAAGCCAACCTTGTACCACTGAAAAGATTAGTCTCACGTTATCGACAAAAGCTACAAAAGTTAGTTTAATATATCCTGGAATTATAAGGCTTTACTGACATATATATAGCAAATGGTCATAGGTAGATTAAATAGCCATTCTGTAGGTTCGCCGAAGGTGTCTACAGGTATACGGAGTGCAGAAGACTTCGGTTATGGGGCAGCTATTTTTGCTTCCCGCGACTTCGCAACCTGGTTGGAAGACGAGAACTTTGTACGCAACGTGCTTAGGAGTCTCTTTAAATCGAAGATTGGCATACAGGATAATTCAACCCCCATCAATGTTTTGTGTGCGGTAACAGACGGACTTACTCCAGAACGACTATTCAGCGAGCCTCGGACAGGTCTCTCGATATTATATGGCTCGAACGATTTTCTTCCTGGCATATGGTCTACCGACGATGTTGGATCAAATATCAGCCAGGATAGAGAGTCTTCCGTGTCGTTCCTATCAGATCCCCTACCTAAGGATACCAGGCCGCTCGAGATCACACTACCACTAGCAAATACAATTTTCCAAAATGGGAGACGATCCACCTTATTTGCAAGCAGATGGCAACGTGATGAGGAGAGTTCTCTAGGGCGTACTAATATAGAGGAGAAACAACACCAGAGGATATGTCTCCGTGCTGTTTCGGAGGGTCATATAAGGCCATTCCTACCTTTGTTACCATTGACTCCCCCTCGGAAGATTGTTGCTGGGTTGGGTAATATCGTTCGACAGGTCGAAGTCAACGGATCTACGACACCAGCATCAAAAGAGCTAGAGGCTTTAATACCGAAAGTTTTTGACACGAGGTCTGGACGAGATATATCATACTTACCCGGACCTATCGGGGTATGGTGTTGGGTCATACCTCCGGATGTTGTGGAAAAGCATAACCTCCTCGGCCTAAAAGTCTTCGAAGCTAAATCATCTCAGTCGGAAGCGGAACTGTCGCTTGAGGCCATGAATGTGTTTTCCGAGCTACCATCTTCTGGGTGCCGATTGCACAAAATTCGTACGTGGCAAATTTGTCTAAGGATGAACAGTCAAGCTAACGAATACACAGTTAGTGGAGGAGGAGGCTGGGGCCTCAAACAAGGACTACTCTCGCTCGACCCAGAGACAAGCTATTCGTTACCAGGCCAGGATGATGTTGAGATGTTCATAAGAGCATTCCATGAACGTAATAATCCTAACTCATCTGAGGGCCTTGTAACACCGGGTTCATATCTCATGTTCTGCATCGAGCCGCATTGGACGGAGAAAGAGATTGAGCTAAGCCAGAAGATTACACCAACAACGGCCATCGGCGTGGTTCAAAATAGCGACCAAGAACCCGATTCCGCTAGCTTATCGGATAAAGTCGATATCGTCGACGGTCACTTCGGGGTAGTATCGAAGACTGGAATTTTCTTGAAGGCTACTAATTTGCCTCATGCGAGCGAAACCACCGAGCAGCCTCAATCATTTACTACAAAAGTCGACCTTCCACGGGCTTCTTTTCTCTTATGAGCAAAAGCTTTGCTACATAGCAACTGAAGGAAGTATCCTGAGCTAAATTAACACAAAGAGAAGGATAACGATACTGTACAACATGTGTGCGTAGTTTCAAGGACTGGAGTATGTATTGTTACGACAAGCCAATTGGAAGCTATCCTGGGAGCATGCAGAATGTACTTCGTAGGCCTACCAAAATGTTGTAAAAGTCGTCGAGTTCGTAAAAGTTTGCCCCTATTTGGCGGTGACATACAGTATCCATACAGTGCCTAATGCACGTAGTCATTTATTTCTCAATTAGGCTAGATGTATGCAGCTTATCCACCTTAGCTTCTCACCAGCCAGCCAGCTCACTTATCGGTAAGAAAACAACGTCAAAGCTCTAGCGCTACAACACTGTAGGTACCACCTAACACGTACCTACCTTATGTACCTACTTCCTATATTCTTCAGTGCAAAGCCGCGTCCAACTTGTCGCTGACGTTTACCAAAACATCCATTTTTACAACAACATTACAATGGATCGCAGTCTCGATGAGATCGTTGCTGAGTCTCAGGTATGAATCAAATTAATGCTATATTCATCAATGCCGTAAATTATAATCTAGCCTGCTAACTTCAAGTGCAGCACAAAAAAAGAGGCTCCAGACCTCGTAGAGGTGGTGGAGGCCGGCCTCGAGAGCGCGACTCTTATCCCCGCGACGGCGTAAGAAAGGTAACATACCAAACACCTATATATAAAATATCTGTTGAGCTAACTAGTATTCTATTATAGGTGGATTCTTCTTCCTCTCCCTTCTCGACCACCCACCTCCCTATCTCGAGCCTCCCGCAATGCCATCGACTTGCGCTTAATGTCACGGTCTTCGATCGGTGATGGTATATTCGTTCAGTGACAGCAGCTAACTAGCAATCTCGTTCTACGAGACAGTCAACCAGAGATGATTCGAGAAACCTGGATTCGTAAGTACACTACTCTATATTTCATACATAGGCGGCAAGCACTAATATACACGCAGGGAGTGGGTTCACGATAAATTCGATGATCCTAGCTGTAAGTCGAGCTCTCAACCCAAGCCTCGAACCACGAGGATTAACGATTTCTCAGCTCGTAATCGCCCGCGACACCCGAGACAACGTTCTCCAGATCGATTCCAGTTAGTGCAAGCCCTTATGTTCAAGAAAGCAATATTCTAATATCAATGTTAGGGAGACTCGCGGAACCAAGGTCAAGGTAGAGAATTTGCACTACGAGCTCACCGAAGACGATCTCGACGTAAGGGAAATACTATGACTAGCTGATTGAGGGGTTATATTAACGTGGTTCTAGGGGTTGTTCAACAAGATCGGACCAGTAGTCAAGCTGGAGCTGTTGTACGACCGTGCTGGACGCTCCGAGGGCACAGCCTTTATCACGTACGAGAATCGCGACGATGCGATGGAGGCAATTAAGCAGTACGATAATGCCAATGCCAAGGGTAAGAAGAAAAAATCACACTGGTAAAAAAAAAATATTGAAGATTGACTAATATCATACAGGTCAGCCTATCCGTTTGTCAGTCGTGTCCTCGGCACCCCGGCGTAACCCCTTCGACACTGCGCACATGCCTGGTCGATCATTGGCCGAGAGTATCACCCGCCCGCGCTCTCTCTCGCCTAGACGGTATTCTGAGAGAGATCGGGGTGTCGATCGCTACGTGCCAGGTGGTGGTAGTCGATCCCGTAGCCCTCTCCCTCGCCGACGTGGTGGCGGTGGTGGGAGACGACCTGGAGCACAACGTGAAGGACGTGAAGGACGAGGGGGTCGCGAGGGACGTGAAGGGCGTGAAGGTGGCGGTACACCAAACGGGCGAGAGCGGGCTGGCCGAGATGGACGTCCAAAGAAGACACAGGAGGAACTTGACGCCGAGATGGCTGATTATTTCAACCCGAGCGGCAGTAACGACACAGCTCCAGCGGCCGAGACGGCTGGCGCCATTGTCTCGGCTATTGATGATGTGGATATGATCGAATAATCGGTTCCTAAAGAAACATCCCTCATATTTGTATACATGCTATATGTAGCTCATCCCAACCGGCTAGAGAAATGAGAGTGTTCTGCGTTGCGGGTTATATAATGTACTTAACCATAACTGTTGTGATTTTTGTCCTCCTTATTTGTATTGGGGGGTCTTATAGGGCTTTCTTATTGTACCTCTAAATTATCTAAATAAGCATGTTCTGTTCGGCTCTCTAAGTTGTGGCATGACTCTCAGTAAATGCCATCGCGCCTATCCTTCTACATGCCTTAATCGTTCTTCTTCCTCTTCGTCTGCAGCCCTTCCGCCACCGCCGCCGCTACATCCTCCACCGTCGTGCCCCTCTTCCGCTTCCCAATCTTCTCCTGCCCTAATACGGTATCATCCGCCACAGTCCGATACACCTTCGCCGCGCCGAGGAACGAGTCTGGCGCGAACCCGCCTTCTTCGGACAGCGTGTGCGCGATCTCCTCCATCTCAGTTACCCAGCGATACGCCTTCGGCGCCATGCCTACTACCCCTTTCTCCGCTAGCTCGTAGTGCCGAGGCAGCACTGCCTGCAGCTCCCCTTGCAGGTCGGACAGCACGCCCAGCCGGTGCGCCGTGGCGAAGGACTGGATGGCGAGGGATGTAAAACCCTTGCTGAAGCTCGCGAAGCACATTTTCAGGCCGCTCGCGGCGCCGATCTCGGGCGAGATGTGGCGCGTGTTGAGCGTGGCCGCGAGCTTGGGTCCGAAGCCCGGGATCTCGGAGAGCTGGTGCGGGCCGGACGTTGGGATCCGGGGAAGAGTCCATTCGGCGCTGCTGGCGGTGCTCTTGGGCGGCGCGGGCGGCAGGCCCAGGATGGACCCGTCGATGAACCGCACGCAGAGCCGCGGGTCGAAGAGGGCGGCAATGCGCTTTATGCTGGACGGCGCCACGGCGTTCAGGTCGGCGAAGTACAGCGGGTTATCGGCGGCGCGGCGCAGGGGCCCCGAGACGGCGTCCACGATGCGCTGGGCGGTGGCGACGGCGTCGCGGGGGGGCACGACGGATAGGATCACGGGGCATTGCTGGGCCAGGGCCTCGTCTGAGTTGAGGAGCTCGATCTGGGCGCTCTTGGCGCGGTCGAGGGTGTCGTTGCTGTTGTGATATATATATTTTTAAGTATGGGGCAGGCTTGGGAGAGAGGGGGGGGGAGGGGTGGCAAGGTAGGGAAGGCAAGGTAAGGTAAGGTAAACTGACCTTCGACCTTTGACGTTGGTCGCTACTGAGAATCCATTGGCGATGAGCAGCTTGGCGATGCCGACACCCATGTCTCCGATCGAGATTATGCCGATCTTGGCTATTGGAGACGACATCCTTGCCCGCGAGTTGAAGGGTTGTTATATACCTAAGTTACCTACCTACCTACGTATAGGATTCAAAGTATCGTGAAGATGTTTAACTTAGATACCCAACTTGCAATGTTTTCAGTTTGCTGCACACGTTACCTGTGTAACCTATGTGATTGATGATGTATCTAACCTATGTTAGGCTGTTGTTGTACGTTAGTGCGATGACGAGCTTCCCGCATGAATGTTTGTTTGTCGGGGGGCTCGCGCCATTGTTCTGCTATGTCGCCCAATAAGCTTGGAGAAAACAGATTCCTCTAGGTTACAATTGTCGCGGTTGGGCGCATACGATATAATGTCGGTAGAGGTTGTCCCGGCCGTTTGGAGTATTACAGACTTGAGAATATGAATTAGATGGCTATGGAGTAGTTATATAGCATTAGTTGTGTTGATATTAACTACCTAACCTAACCCAAGTTATGCTATGTCAGCTAAGGTTGTTGTTTGTTTAATAACTACCTACCTACTAACTAACTAACTACTCCTTGTAACTTTTGTATGGAGGATCTACATATACTGAGATGATGATGCTGAGCCAATAAAATCGTTAATAATTAGTATTTGATAGATCCCTGTTGATTTTGTTACCTACCACCTACCTAGTGTAAGTCCTAGTGTAAGTGAAGTAGTATTATTCGGATGCCACAAGTTATTAGAATACCACCCTCATCCTCCTACCCAAACATAATACATAGTATTAGTTACCATCCAGATATCTATAAACGGTTAACCAATCGTAATAATTCCCATCTCCAAACATCCTTACCGACATATCGCGGTCGGCGGGGTCTAGAGGGTTAGTTAGCTATACGGTAATGACATCGTAGAATCTATCCGAATAGAGAATGGACTTCGTCTTCAATTACACCGGGTCGGCCTATCCGCATATCATTCTCTCCGTAGCAACCGACTAAAAAGCCTTATGTGGAAGCTTTTCTAATGTACCTCGGCGGCCTAGCCTAATGAAGTATTCAAGTCATCATGACAGAGGTAGCTATCTGCATCTACATGTACCACCTATCAAGCTTTCAGCCCTTCTCCGGTCTCTTAATCACTCAAATGTCCCCGGCTGCGTATTGCTCAACTCCCAAGAATTTGCCCGACTCGTGAGTGAGCTTCTTCGCCTTTGGCTTGGTAATTAAGCGATACGACACGAGTCAAAACATGATGAAGCACCCTTACGCGTCCCCCTCTGGGAATAATTCTAGGCAGGCAATCATCAGAAACTCCCACACGTTTTTGTCCAACTTGGTCTGTAAAACATCAAGTAGAATTTGAAGAATCCCTGCAGCTTTACCCACAGTTTCAAGTTCTACCTCTTGGTGGGCCGGCCAGTCTCGGCTTCGCTTCACCCCGTTTTCACCAGATCATCTGAGATCCCATCCTTACCGCAGTGACGGTCTACAGTACATAGTAATCAAACTCTCGACGTTAAATAAGGAAGACCTCCGCTCCACGGCTCCGGAAATTTTTGATACTTTCCACTTCAGGTTACGAGGTCACGACAACTATACTAGGCAGCACGGTCATTTCTATAATCTCCGCACTCCTATTACTTTTCCAGCGGCGTAGACGTCGAATCCTCGTAGCTTGGGGGGGCAAGTCTTAACTATTTAATCAGCCACACGCTCTTCGTCAACTACCAAAATCAACTTGCTCAGGGCCTGTTAGTCAGTATTAGGACTTTCGTACGACATTTTCAAGATATATAAGCCGGCGGTACCGAGTTATTATTATTATTATTATTATTATTGTTATTGTTATTATTTAACCCGTCGTCCAATATAAATTATTATTCTATCCGCCGTTTGGACGTTCGTAGGATCGGCTTCGGCAGTGCATGGCTTTTAGTTCGGCTCGCCCCTGATCCGCCCATTTAATGAGATCTGCGACCTGAGGTCACGGTCGTCTTTATATACATTATTGCACTCTATACTTTTCGAGAATCAGTCATCGCAACCTCAATCACGCCATCTCTAATTATACACGATATCTAAGATGGCGTTCCCTTGGCGGGTTGTCGCTGCTATATCTCTTATTTCGACTTACTTTATTACGTCTCGTCGGCCACCGTGGAGCATATCACAATTGCTTAGCACTTTCGTCGCCACGTGGATTTTACAGTCTTTCTTCGTGGGTATCTGGAATGTATTCCTCTACCCTTTTTACTTTTCCCCGCTACGTCACCTTCCAGGACCGACAGGCGGCTCTTGGATCAACGGACAATTTAAAGAAGTAAGAGAGAAGCCGACGGGTATACCTATGAGAGAGTGGTATGTACCTTTATATGCAATCGACTTCCTGTGCTATCCTGCTAATGCATTACTAAGGGTTACCAATATTCCAAATGATGGTCTCATCCGGTATCGTTTCCTTTTCAACACAGAACGTCTCCTCGTAACAGGGCCAAAAGCCCTAGCAGACCTCTTAGTGGCGCGAAGTTATGATTTCCAGAAGCCATCAAATGTTCGATTTGGTCTCAGCCGTCTTCTAGGCGTAGGTATACTTCTAGCAGAGGGCGACGAGCACAAGTTTCAACGTAGAAACCTCCTGCCGGCCTTTGCATTCCGGCACGTCAAGGAGCTTTACCCAAGCTTCTGGCAAAAGGGCCGCGAATGTGTTCAGGCTATGACAAGCAGCATCATCGCCGATGCGCAGAACGAGACGTCTGTGGCAGACCCCGAGAAGGCCAAGAAGACTGGAGTTTTGGACGTCAGTGTTTGGGCATCTCGCGTGACCCTAGACATCATTGGAGCTTCAGGCCTCGGAAGAGACTTTGGTGCAATCCAAGATCCGGAAAATGAACTCAATCAGACGTATCGAAGCGTGTTCAAGGTTTCCAGGCAAGGCCAAATTCTCTCTCTTCTAGCACTATTCATTCCGGAATGGGTATTGTCTAAGCTTCCTCTCCAACGCAACACCAATGTATACGCAGCATCGAGGAAAATTAGAAGCATATGTCGGGATCTGATTCGAGAAAAAAAGGAAAAGTTGGCACGCAACGAGCTCAAGGAGCGTGACATACTTTCGGTCGCCTTGGAGTCTGGCGGTTTCACGGAAGAGAATCTTGTGGACCAGTTGATGACTTTCCTAGCCGCTGGCCACGAAACTACAGCCACTGCGATGACGTGGGGTGTATACATGCTTGCTAAGAACCCGGAAATCCAGAAGCGGCTCCGTGCCGAAGTCCGCGAGAAGCTACCGCCGATCGACTCGGACCGAGAAGTCACCAGTCTCGATATCGACCACATGCCTTACCTAAACGCCGTCTGCAACGAAATCCTGCGCTACTACTCCCCGGTGCCGCTTACGATCCGCGAGGCGGCCGTAGACACTGTGCTTGCAGGGCAAAAGGTGCCCAAGGGAACCATGCTTGTTATATCACCGTGGGCGACTAATTTCGACAAAAGCATGTGGGGACCCGATGCGCACGAGTTCAACCCGGAGCGGTGGGTGCCAAAGGGCCCCGACGACAAGAGAGCCGCCAGCGGCGGTGCTACAAGCAACTACGCTTTCATGTCGTTCCTCCACGGGCCCAGGAGCTGCATCGGCCTGTCCTTCGCAAAGGCCGAGTTCGCGTGCCTGTTGGCGTCTTGGGTCGGTCGGTTTGAGTTCTCGCTGAAGAATAAGGAGGAGGAGGACGAGAGGAATGTAGAAATCAGGGGCGGCATCACTGCTAGACCGGTTAGAGGGATGCATGTCTATACTACGATTGTGGATGGATGGTGATGTGTATATGGTGCGCTCTGGACATGATCGCTAATGTATGATTCGATGTTTAGATTAGTTACGTATTATGACATACAGCTTTACATATTGATTCCTCTCGTATCATCGTTTTATCGCCTCGAAAAAAAATAGTTAATTGAGATTTAATTGAGATTTTGTCATAAAAGTACAAGGTTGATTCTCCTTTCGTTCATTCCCGCCTCCCTTAGATACCGTTTACGTTAAACTTCAAAAAGTTTTGGTCCTCCTTGAGACGTTTCCCTAGCTCTCCAGCCTTAAGCTCGTCGACGTCCCATGGAGCCCATACGAACCGGCCGTGGATGAACTCGGCTTCGGGAGTGGCCGCCCAGACGGCGAAGCCACCTGGGAGCGAGGCTGTGATACATCGGGTTAGTTATATCGATTCAGTCGCGCATCTTATATTGCTTATGACACTTTGAATAGGGGAAAAGGGAAGGGGTTAGTATATGTTCGGGCATGACATACGGTCTTCCCAAGGCAGTGAATCCTTAGTCATGCCCAGCCTCTCCCCGGCCTCGGTGAGGATGGCGCCAGGGTGGAAAACGACGACCTGCATATCCTCCGGAGGGATCTCCTGTGCTACGAGTTGGAATGTAAGCGCGCCTGCATGCTTGGTCATGGAGTAAGTCGGCATTGCCGCCGTGACGTCGAAGTTATGGACCGCGCCAGTCGACACGTGTATGAGATACTATTCCCCCCCTGAAGTTAACGTGATGTGCTCTAAACCGGGTTTGAGAGGTATATAAGGTAGGTAGGTATGTATTTGCCTTACCTTTTTAATACCTGCGCCCAAATCCTGCTTATAAAACCGCTCCGTCATGTCGAACTGCGTGCGCACATTGAAGTCATATGATTCCCAGACGCCTGCCAAGCCTTGTTCCATCAGAGGCTTTACGATACCCGTGTTCGCCGCATTGAGCACTAGGACATCGATGCGCGTGCCCTCACCAGCAAAGCGACCCCAGAGCTCGGCGACGGCTGTAGCACTACCAACATCGCACGGGATAGCGGCCACCTTAGTGCCCTGACTCTCTGCAGATAGAGCTTCGCCGGCGGCCTTGACTTTGTCTACCCGTCGGCCGAGGATGATGACTTTATCTGCCTTGGCTTGCACAAAGGACTTGGCAACATGGTACCCGATACCCGTCGAACCGCCCGTGATCAAAACTGTTTTTCCTGCCTGAGACAGCTCGGGGCGGGTGGGAGTTATAACTGGATAAACACTCCTGTGGTAAGTCTTGGTCAGTTTCTTGATGAATGAATCCATGTCGATGATTGCAAAAATTGAATTTAGTGCACAAGTATGTTTAGCTTTAGGTAGCGATGGAATTATACAAAGCTTTGTTTTATTTCGACTTGTTTGGACAAAGGCTTGAATGCTGAAATGTAAGTAAGGGATATATGTGATGGACGTGACCTTATTATATATACGCGTATTTTGAATTCAATGCCACCACTTACACACTCTCGACCGAGTTAAGTCGCATTGGCTAATGTCATCGTTATGCTGAATACTACATTGAATATCCCTATCCCTCCAAAGCCGACTTGGTCTCGGGGTCGGCAGTGTCCCGTCCTCCCGTGGGAATAAGGCAGTTGCGGAAAGGGAGTCCCCTATTTTCCGCAACTTCTATTGGTCAAAGTCCGTAATATATTTCCGTAGATGGTAATTGTATCCGCATTTCTCCGCCGCCGCGGGCTGACAAATGAAGCTGACGCCTTCTTGGATTTCTTTATCATCGTACTTATGTCAGATGTTCGGGAGGGTCTTTTGGTTTAACATATATGGGTTTACACGGGAAAGCTGCTAATGAATGAATCGCTATTCGGCTAACTATGGCTTCTATATGGCGAAGAGCTTGCGTCGGCTGCACTAAATCCAAACGGCAATGTACCAAAGCCGTACCGGCGTGTCGGCGTTGTGCAACCAAAGGAATCCCTTGCGTGTATCCACCGGCCCGACAACGTGACAACCTCCATGTAGATGCGGAAGCCGCCGCAATACCTTCCGCAACTACCGGGAGTTCCGCAAACCCGCTTCCTATGATTTGTCATGATATCGACAGGATAGGGAATAACGACATGAACTTCTATCCGCTACAGCTGACGCTATCAGACTTAGCTGAAGATCTGATTCCGCGAGCAACAACATACCATTCACAGCACCCAATAGGCAACAGTCCATCAGACGTTTCAGCAGGTCTATGGTTTCTGGCGCCAGAGTCATGGGTCGCAGATCATTCTTTATCTCCGCTTAAACAGCCCGTGCTTACTCAGGATCGTATGCTCCAACGTTTCATCGATAGCGTTCAGGATTGGCTGCGGCGGTGGGTAACGGACGGCAGCAGCCCGCTGCATCACCACCAGTTATACCGCGAGAAAATGCCGCGGTGCGTGCAAGACGCGCATTCAGCTATTGCTCTATATCATATGACAACGTGCAGCAATGCTGACACGAGGGCCACGATGGCCCGCGTACTGGAGGACCGCGTTACGCAACTGCTGGAGGATCAAACCTTCGAGGCCTCGCTAAGGTCGGGTGAGGGAATGGACACATTTAATCACATATGCCGAGTCCAGTCGCTACTAACGTACCAGGCTATTCGACTTCTCGACGGCGATATATGCATGAGAGCCCAAGCCGAGGCGCTGATTCCCACTCTCTTCCTCTGGACGCAACAGCTCCTCGACAGCACAAAGAACAGCTTAACGCAGCCGGCACGCTTCCTCGCTAACATTGCAGCGTCCTATCCTACCGCAGCTAATTCCGAGGATGCCATCCTCTGGAAGGCTTGGATCCTGGTCGAGAGCACGCGGCGCACGTGGCTCGTCGCCAACTACCTTCAGGAGACATATCTCTACATGAAGCGTGGGTGGAGCGGGTGTCCGGGACGCGTACCCAACACGATGCATGGCCGCCTGTGGGATGCGACGTCGGCGTTTGCCTGGTCTAAGGCTTGTCGTGAAATTGATACCGTGCTCATCTCTACACAGCGGACGGAGAAGCTACTCTACGAGACAAAGCCCGAGGATCTCGATGAGTTTAGCTTGTTAATCGTAGAGCTAAGATACGGTACGGAGAGGATAGAGAAATGGATTGAGGACTCGAAAAGGCAAAAACAACAACCGCTGTTAGAGATAATCTAGCGAGCTAATACCCCTTAGATAATAGTGTACGAGGCATAGGCTATAGTATAGTAGATAGAAAGCATAGTGGAAAATGTCAGTGTACTAAACAGGTGATGTTAATATCTTGGACACTAAAAATGGCATCTTCTTCATGGCGATGCAACAAGGCACCGCTCACAATGAAAACGTATTTTCTTTTCGCAAAGAGGAGAACAAAAATTGCGCCCACTACGATCCACGAGGGATAATAGAAGAGGGTCGACTCCGCGATGTGCAATGCAGGTCTTTCCCCTTAAGAATCCTTATGCTTGAGCAAGGACTCTTCGGACAAGGTAAGTATGAAGAAGAAAAGAGAAAAAGATTCTTAGAAAATGGGAGGGGAGGCCAGATATTTATACCTTTCTTAGGGCGGTCAGGGTTGCCTGAGAATCAGTAAAAGCGGCAGAATTCACTAAGGCAACAGCCACAAAGTCCCACACAAAGCTGGAAGTCACTATGTAGGTATGACGATGTAAACTTTAAATCAGGTCATAGCTTGAGCTTATCGGACAAAGACTTGGTATTTTTATTTGTTACGTTATGTACCTACGTCAGAGCTTTAAAGCTTTAACCTAGGTTAAGCAATTGTTCATCAAAACAGACATTGTGCATCAAACAACCTGAGCGTACGCTAGCGTGGATTGTGATGATCTTTTAGCCAATCATTATTCTGCGGCTCTTCAACACATGCATAGAAGGCAACTTGGAAATTGCTTGGCAAAAGGTACCAAGTATCTGTCAAAAGACACTTGGCTTCAATTCTCAAGCTTGAATAAATCCGGCCTCTTTAATTTCCAATGATTTTTCTATGACCATCTAAAAACTACCTAATCATCTCGACTGTTATCAGGTAAGGTAGCCTTACTACTTGGTATTCAATACATAATTGCCCATATGAAAATATTAGCTGATCGGAAGATCACGGTGTCCCAATTGAAGTATCACTCATTGCCATGAATACTACTATGTAGACCAGTAAAGAATATCTTATCTGCTCTGACCCGAGCCTCGTAAAAGTAACTAGACTTCACTGAGAAAATATAATTGAAAAGACTGTTCTAGTGTATGGACGGTTCGACTGAACCCGAGATATGACCAACTCTTTTCGTTATCTCATAGTTCACTACCCAAGTTTGGCGGATAGTATATAATACAATACATTGCCCATTTTACCCGGAAACACGGACCTGAGCCCTTCAACTACCGACCATTTTCCTAAGCCATTAACAATTGGCAGACAAAAACCTGCCAGAAGGACCGGCTAGATCAACACCAAAGCGAGTCGCGAAGTAGTGGTATATATAGCCATTTAGCTAATTGAATCGACTTACTCGATCTTCTTGCTGCGGCTCATGATAAGCATCATCTCAGGAACGACAACAGCCATCCAAAGGAGACCAAGCACCAGGCCAGCTGCGAAGATCTTGACGTATAGCTTGACAAGTCGGACCCACGAGGCGCGAGGGAACGACTGCCACGCATCCTTAATCGTGACGAAACCCTTGCCGCCAACGATAGCAGGCTCCACCTTGCCCTGGAACGAACGGTCGAAAGGGACGATGGTGTCGTCCTCATCGGGAAGAAGGGAAGCCTGGACACGGGTAAGGATGACTTGGGTAGGGATGACGAGGAAGATGTTCATGACAAGGGCTAGGAGAAGAACTAGGACCGCCTTCCAGATGTCGTTCTTGTCGCCTTCGGGAATAACACCGGGTTGCTTGGGGTCGGGCAAGTTCATGGACATGCCGTACGCAAGCATCTTCGGGACAAATGTAGAGAGCTCCTTGGCAAAGTAGAACATGACGACTGGGAGCGCAGTAGCCTGGAAGGCCTTCTTGAAGGGAGGCAGGCGCTGCCAGAAAGTCTTGGAGCTTGGCGCGGAGATGACGATATGTGTCCATGCTGTGTAGACCTGTACGAGAGCCACGGCAGAAATCGGAGCGGCAATAAGAGAAGGCACAAATGTGCTAGATAGGATGCCGAAGACGACGCCGCCTGCCAAAGTCAAGGCAAAGTAGCAGGCAAGACCGCGGAATAGAGAGCGGAAACCGCTGATCGCAGTTAGAGTGCGGTAGGTTGAACGGACGGACGAGGTGATGAGGCGAGCCTGGGAACCACCACGAGCAGCTTCATCGGCAACGGGGGCATTCTCTTCGGCGAGGGATTGGGCGTCATCGTTTAGCGAGACGGGCTCGTAAGCCGGAGGGGACGGATCCTCAACGATGGCGAGTGTAGGGAATACATGCTGGAGGCTGTAATTGACCTGAAGAAACACGTTAGCCGGGTTGACTTTTCTCAAGTGATGTGTTGCAGATGGCATACCGTCATAAACAAAGGCAAGAACACTATGATATCGAGCAGTATGAGACCCCAACCCCAACCGGGCATCTCGTAGCCTCCCATCGAGGATTCACCCCGCTTGTAAACCGCGTGCGCAATGTCGCGATACATTTTGGATTGTCTGTACTTCGTACTTGGAGCAGACAAGATAAAACAGAGACCAGAGAAAAGATAAAAACTATAAATTTGATAAAATAGAAGATGGTTCAAAGAAAGGAGCGAGAATAACTATTGTAGAAAGTTGTATACGAAGAGGGGGAAGTGTATGAAACAAAGAATAAAGGGCTGAAAGCTCCCTGACGAGTTGAGTAAGAGATGTAAGTCCTAGGAGAGCATCTCAAGGCGGGATTCGGCGGCGACAGTATATATAATTATTCGCACAGTTAGAAATGATGGGCTCCGGGTTAGTGTTTGTTACCTGGAGACTCAGGGTGCTAGGAGCATTGTGCTAAAAATGTGCCCATAGTTTAATTACCTAAGGTAGGTACCTCATTACAGTATCTTGCGGTAACCAGAAATAGGTAGGTAACATACATACAGTGCTTGTAACAACTGTTACCTTCGGAACGCCGGCAGCACAGTGGGCTGCTTACGTGCCTATCGCTAAGTAGTGCAGGTACTTTTGCATCCTTTACAGCACGGTCTAGGCAACAGCCGCTTAGATCGTAAGGTATTAGGCTCTGCACTGCCTCACTGCTTCGCTACATTATGTACTAAGGTACGCCTAGCACACCTCTAACGGGAAGTACATTGCATATACGTACAATATTACATGGTACCTAGGTACCTATGTAGGCACGCATATGTCCTATCGCGTCGCTTAGCTTCCAATTTTTCTAAAAGCCGCGTATTGGATTCGAGCTCGTCTATTTTATCTGCTGCGGGGGGCTGTTGCAGTAGAGCCGAACCCACGGATTGCGTTTGATTCGATAAGGTCCCGATTCTTCAGTCCTGGAATTTCCTTTAGCGCCATTACATCACAACCAGCAAGTTCTCAAAACCCGAATCAATCTGTCGCATCTATTATTATCTACGCATTAGGTGTAGCGACGATAAACTGTTGTACATGTCTGCCTCGTCTATACCAAATCTCCTCTCCCTTCGAGGTTCAAGAGGAGGGCACCGTGGCCGTGGCCGAGGACGAGGGGGTCACTCACATTCTACCGGCCTCAGCCACGATGCTGCCATTCAAGGTACAGATACGGATGCTGCTGTATCACGTATGAGCGCTGTTGATCTGGGTTACCTACAAGACCCTTTCGCACAATATTTCGTCCAGTCTGTTGGTGGCGTTGTTAGGAGACTGCCTATTATAAATCGAGGTAAGAAGTCTGAAGGCCATTTCCGGTCTAGCGAGTGCTAAGGCTGTGTTAGGGACTTATACACGGACTGCTGCATTGGATCGACTGATATCTTCCTTCTTGTCGAGCACCGCAACGCAAGAACGACAAATTATCTCACTCGGTGCGGGCACAGATACAAGGTGTTTTAAACTCTTTTCTCACCCTAGCGAGGCTGGCCTTATCTATCATGAGATCGACTTCCCTGCAATTGCTTCTAAGAAGCTACAGCTCGTGAATGCTACCCCTCAGCTCAGGTCCATCATCTCTAACCCACAGAATGAGAAGGACGGCTGGAGTAGTTCAAGTCTACCGGATGGTTGTCAATATTGGTGCCACGGACTGGATCTAAGAGTCCTGCTCAGCAGTGACGCAGAAGTTCTTAGTGGCATCCGGACAGATATCCCAACACTGTTGGTGTCAGAATGTTGTCTATGCTACTTAGAAACTTCAGAGGCCCAAAGCGTAATCAAGTATTTCGCCGAAAAAATACCAGATCTTGCCATCATCGTCTATGAGCCAATTCACCCTAATGATTCTTTCGGCAAGCAGATGGTATCTAATTTGGCAGCGCGAAGAATACATATGCCAACGCTGGACTCATATCAAGACTCTGCTAAGCAGCAGTCCCGGTTAAAAGACGCCGGATTCCAGCTCGCTACAAGCTTGACCATAAGAGAAATATGGCGGAATTGGGTCACGGAAGAAGAAAAAGAAAGGGTTGATAGTCTGGAAGGGCTAGATGAGGTTGAAGAATGGAATCTTCTAGCGGACCATTACATCGTGGCTTGGGGCTGGAGAGGTACTGGTTTTGAAAGATGGGAAACTGACTTATGATGAATATGAATGAGTCTTAATAGGGAGCAATGATACAATGCGGTTACATTGAAGATAAATAACTTGAATGTACTTCGTACATGGTGTAATTTTGAGTTTCCCCAGAGTTGAGGTTCTAGGTACATATTCACATTTAGCGTCCACTATTCAAGGTTAGTGGCTTGGCTTATTAAACTTTGGGAGCCTATCAGAGGAAGCCTATCAGATTGAGTCGGCATTTCAATGTTAGCTCTCATCTCATCATTTATGCATTGAACAACTTCAACTTTACCCAACAGAACAACATTCATCCGCAGACATAATCGCATGTCTTGCGTCATCTGCAGGTCAAGCCATAGTAGATTGCGGCCCAAATATATTCATTTGAGAATTCTTTATTTGCCCATCGAGATAGCTACATATACGCTACGACTGCTTATCGTCGCTTTCAGTCAAAATGGCGGACAACAACAAGCAGCACAAGTATAGGCAGGAGATCCAGCAGATGATGTACGTCTCTGGTGAGACGGGAGAACCTTCTATTGAGACTACTGCTACAATCGAGGAGATTGTTCGACAGCAAGTCATAGAAATGCTGCGAAGCTGTACTGAACTGGCTACGCGCCGTGGCTCCCGATCTATCACCATCAATGACCTGATATTTCAAATCCGCGACGATGCGCCTAAGGTATCACGTCTTAGGACATTCTTATCATGGAAGGATGTTCGCAAGAGCGCTAAGGATTCTGACGACAAAGGAGGAGAAGCCGATTTAGGTGTTGCTGACGACCCTGCTGGAGCCGTCATGCCTGGTGGCCCCGCAGTAGAAGAGGCCGCCAAGAAAAACAAGAAGGCCAAAGTTAAGCTCCCCTGGGAGCCTTCCTCGTTCTATGGCCAGGAAGTCCCGGAACGCGACGAGGAGGAAGACGAGGAGGAAGAGGAGATGAATTACATCACGCTTCAACGACTGCGCAAAGCCGACGAGCGGACAAAGGCGATGACTAGGGAGGAATACGTCACATGGTCAGAATATCGGCAGGCATCGTTCACATATCGGAAGGGCAAGCGATTTCGGGAGTGGGCCGGTTTTGGTATCGTAACAGACAGTAAACCCTCAGATGATATCGTGGATATCCTGGGTTTCTTGACCTTTGAGATGGTCCAGACGCTCACGGAGGAGGCGCTCAAGATCAAGGAGCAAGAAGACTTATGGAAGGAACGGAGCGGGGGCGATAACCCGGGCACCAAAAAGCGGAAGCTCACCCAAGGACTATTCGATCTACCTAGCGAAGGTAGGATCCCTGTTGAAGCGCGCCACGTTCAAGAGGCTTTTCGGAGGCTCCAGACCCGACCGAAGAGAGCTCGGGCTATGCTAAACGGGACAAACCTACAGCAGAGAACCAACTTGAAGCTGTTCTAATGGATTCACGGAGGGGAGCAATATCCAGTTAATCCAATTACGCTCCTAGTACGAATCTTTCCTAGGGTTATCAGAGTTGACGGATTTATGAGTTTAATAAATAGCGAATACGGAAGACCAGCGACAGCGGAAAAGTCCTTGTGAGGAATACCCAGGAGAAACGGCGTTTTAGGAGCTCCGATTTTTATTTATTTTTATTTATTACGGCTTTTTTAATGCATTCAAACATACGCTTTTCTCTAACGAATTTTCTCTAACGAATTATAGGCGGTGAAATCATCATTACTCGGTAGACTTGGAATAAATCTTTTTTTATACAAAACTATCGGCTATATCACCTTTAGTTCCGTGACATAAGAGAGCTATTTAATAATTCATATATACATATACTTAGGTACTCATATAGGAATACGAACAATCCCAATTATCAATTATGAAAATATGGTAATCTCTATTTATTCTTTACTTTCAATTCAGAGACGAACTAACCCACCTATAATTACAGATGTGCTATCTTATTTAATTATGCATTCCAACAATTCGAATGGGTCCCTTTTGGGCTTACGCCGACAACGGCGGGAAGCTACGGCGCCCGGCATCGCCATCGCTAATATAGTGGAGATCGATGGTCCGGCAGAGCTCCGTCGCGGTTTTAAGTCCCGCAAAATGCGGCGTCATTCATCCAACTACATCCCTCTTCTCATCCCTTTTCCCCCCTCATTTCCCTTAAATCCCTGTTTTCCCTCAGACTTCATAGGGAAAGATAACAGAGCCGACTGCTGCGTATAACGATAGACTAAAGATTAAAATATATACCTTATTCATATATTTCCTATTTATTTATTTACTCCCAACTACGTCATGGCGCCTAATTCCCGTCTCTTCCTCACCCGCCACGCTCAGGCCGAGCACAACGTCGATCTAGACTACACCAGTGAGTCGCGCTCCTCACACGACACGTCTGGGTCCGAAAACTGATTTACATCTCCGCAAAGTCCACGACGCGCCACTTACGCCTCTCGGCAAGAAACAAGCCGCGTCACTAGCCCGTCTAATCCCAGACCTGCAAAACGAGGCCGACGTAGTCATCTCGTCGCCCCTACAGCGCACCCTGCAAACCACCTACCTCGGCTGGCGCCCAGCCGTCGAGCGCCTAGGCGGGCTGAAAAACGTGGTGCTCCTGCCTCAGGCGCAGGAATGCAACGGCTTCCCGTGCGACACGGGCTCGGCAAAAGAGGTCCTCGAGGCGGACCCCGAGTTCGCGGTGTTTGATCTTACGCCGCTAACGCCGGACTGGACTAGCAAGAAGGGCTTCTGGGCCCCGAGCGAGGAGGCGTTGACGGCGCGCGCTCGTTGGGTTCGCCAGTACTTGCGTGGTCGGGCTGAGAGGAATATCGTGCTTGTTGCGCATGGCGATATTCTTAGGCGGATTACGGCACATCCGCGGACGGGGCCGAGTGATTGTATGTAGAGCGAAGTTTGCGTTATTATTTCCCCATTTTTAGGTCTATCTCGGGAGTCAGGGTTTCCCTAGCGAATATCACTTTGAGAAGTTGACTCCCAAGATATGACTAACCAACTTTACCTATTGATTGATTGCGTCGAGTATTTACTGATTTTATTTATTAGATCCCTGGAAAAATGCCGAGGTCCGAATCTTCGAGTTCGACCCGCAGTACGTCGATACCGAAGAGTGCTTCCTATACCAGAAGGAAAATGTCGCAGCTGCTGGTGGCTACGGGCCGACAAGCACGGAGCTAGAAATTGAGCAAGCTGAAGGTAGACTATAGAGGCTTCAACGATCAGACAGCTACGAAGAATTGAGATGGTTAGCTGTACTACTTTGACTTAGACTCACTTGTTATTCATATTAGATGATAGAATATAGATGACTTTGCTGATTTCAATAAGGAGCTACACCACATGAGTCACTAGTTTTGAATTCAGATTGTGGTAAACAAGCCCTCCTTTCCCCCTTTACTGTACTGACTTTGTTGAAGCTCATTCTGCAAAATATCCTATTCATGATTATGAGCCATCCTAGCAACGAAAGCAGCATATTTCCTCTGAACAGTTTATCATATGTCAAGTGAGTAGCAGTAAGTATTGACTAAAACACAGACACAGCCCAAGACAATCATTCAATGGCATTTACCTAGAGAAATATATACCTTATAAATGCCTGCCATCGCTCCAACCCTTCCTTGAGGCTTTCTTAGAATAGCAACGCCTTCTTTTCGATTTTTCATCTCCGCGATTGTAGCTCGACGTATAAACGATCATGGCCAGACAAAACCCATCAGTGTCGCTCCCCTACGCAGGTATCATCAAAGTGTACTCCTCAGAAGATGACAGTCTTGTGGTCTGGACGAATCCGCGGCATATCCACTTACACAAGAAGACCTCATCGGGAAGGACCGCTTGCTGCGACTCCTTCACCGCAGGCGGCATCGTCGAGAATCACGTCGGCACACTGCATTTTCTGACTTCCGACCGGTTTGTGCCCGCAGACGCAGAGCCGTATATGGACACGAGAGATAAGACCTGTGCATGCGTTGGGTATGTCCAGCATACAAGTCGGAGGCTCCATTACACCCTAGTCGCCATTAGCGATGCCGTAGCGGATAGAGAAGCAATTAGGCAAGCAAAGATACTCGGCTGCATACCTGCGTCGACGCAACAGATACACGAATTCACAATGCGCCCTATCATGCTCAGGGATCTCCACAGGCAGTATGGCCTAACCCTCCTCGCTCGCACCCGGCACAATCAGGTCATCAAGGGGCGCCTTACAGTCCTGCCCCGCAAAGCGATAGACCCATCATACCGAGGCTCTAGGCTGGTATTCGCACAATTCGATCCTGCCCTCGTTTATCTGGATGAAGGCATGTGGGTGTATGCTAGACAACCAAGCGCTGAGATGTTGGACAATATGACGAACGAGATGCTCGCGAGGCTGGACAGTGGGCCGTACCATTGTGAGACTTTCCGTTACCGGTATAATTTCTCACACTCTAATCAGCCGTACTATACTCTCCGTATAGTAGGACATATCGTGGAAATCCGCGGCCGCGATTCGGACGGGTGTGTGGAGGTGGCGATCCAGTGCTCACACGAGGTGTTGAGTGAGATCTCTCTCCTGCGAGACTGGCTGGATAACCCGGATGGCAGCAACCCTCCGCCCACGTATTTCAGATGAAGAGGTACTCGAAGCCGAAGGGCTTTCGCACATAAAAACTTGGCATTTGTGCATTTAAGGTAGACACGTACTTCATTACAGCGTATATCTTTACATAGTATAATAGCTTGATGTGTTCAGTTATGAATCTCGTATTATTGAACGTCGACTGCGCTTTTTTCTGACTCCTCGAACTCCTTGAATACCCTCCCGCATCGTGTTGCTTTAGGTACACAACTCCCTCAAGTAGCCATGCTATCTCTCATCTTTTCCCTCCTCGCGCTATTTTACAGCTGTCAGATCACCATGGCAGATAATTCCGCCGATGTAATACGTATTGAACTCGAAGACCACAAAAACAACTTGACAGCCTTGTAGACCGTAACTGCACCTCCTTGGGTCTCGGCACAGAATATTCGAAGCACCTCCACCATTTTATGGAGTTGTATCGTGACTCTTACCGCGTGTATTTACACTTCGCTCCACTTAGATGTATCTACCAAATCTGGCTGGAAGCAGCGCTTATGGCAGAAGGCCCAATGGGTCATCATTGCAATTCTTGCACCGGAATTAGTAGTTTCCATGGCATGCTCTCAATACCTCAAGGCGAGATGGCTCGTCAAAGAACTCAATAAAGAGAGGGAACGAAGGAAGGAGGAAGTAGAAGATGTCAGACTTCACCCAAGACCCACTGGACTTCTAACTTATTAAGGAGTAGGTCTGTCCGGAATTTGACCTTCATTATGGGTTTTTCGTTGTCATGGGCGGCCTGCAGGTTTCAACCAGCGGTTTTGTCGACGGAGATCACATCAATGCGACTCTATCAGCAGAAGCAGTAATCTCTCTTTCTAAAAAAGACGAGTTCCTTTACGTATCACGAGAGAGTATCGACGACAGAAGTAAAGCAGACGCATTGAAGAAGGCCCTAGTTGTCTTGCAAGTGGCATGGATGGTTATACAATGCATTTCTAGAAAATCATACGGTCTACCGTTGACACTTTTAGAGATTCACACCATGGTACATGTTGTTTGTGCCTTCATATTGTATATATGTTGGTTCGAGGTGAGACCGCGTTATCCATTCGCCTAGAACTCAATAGTGACATATTATAATTCAGAAACCGTTAGACATATTGAGTCCCGATATCCTCAGCAACTCAACCCTATCTAGTCGTCGAGATAATCTTCTGAAATCCATGGTACATGGAGACCTGACTGCAAGGATGGGCTTGTCTAGATATATATATCCCGGGGGCGAACGTTACGGCCATAGTTTACTGTCTAAAGACAGCATAAACTTATCACTTGGTGAAAATATAATTGATGCGGCTTTCCACGCTTCCAGTCTCGATAGACACATTCCATGGCTCCTAAAGGTGGCAGTCTTTCTACTCCCGGCATTGTATGGGGGTATACATTTGACGGCCTGGAACTCTGATTTTCCCTCCATTCCCTAGCAGTTAATATGGAAAAGTTCATGTTTCGTTATTATTGGGATATTCCCATTAATAGGAATTGTCGCACGTCTTGAAGTACCAATCAGAACTTGCTTTTCTTGGACGGAATGGATGGAAGCTGTGCCAGATTTTCTTCTCCGAGTTGTTGCTATTGGGATATTAATTATCTTCGCCGCTTCCCGGCTTTATATCGTTGTCGAAGCTTTTATAAGCTTGCGGAGTGTGCCAATTGGAGTATACTTAATTCCCGAATGGCTTCAAAGTAAGCAATCTCCTATTTCTATACCCTCCCGAGACAACCCGACCACATTCTAGTACTTCAAGGTTACCATGAGCTTGCAGTTACTAATAAGGAATACAGTGATACCCCATATCTAATGACGTCCTTCAAAAGCTCGACTTCTTAGAAGGATGAAACTTACGGCAGCGATATTTGCACGGTAGATATCTCAACGCTTTGGAAAGGTAACATGATCATAGCCCGCATTAACTAGCAATGAAATTGCTCTCTTGTGTCTCTAAGTGGCAGCCATCAGATCAAACAACTAGCAGGCACGGGCAAATTGCGTTATTATGGTGAAAGGGGCATACATAGGACTATATTTTGGAATACATTACCAGTTCAGATCATAAAACATATTGTGAATACTTAGAATATTACGAGTTATTAACTTGGTAGATATAGCTCTATCGTCATCTTTCGTAAAATAGGGACAGGCTTACATACGCTGATCTAAATAACACCCATGATAACACCTACCTTACAAGATAGCGAGGCACATGGCTTATGGCTTGCTATGTCGACTTAAAAACCCCGCAACATAGTTTAGGTCAGATCAAAGCCCATTGTATGGCATTAGCTGTCAACATGGATGTGCTCATGAAGTCGTAGCTCCGACCCGTCACGTATTATACCCCACTATCCAACGTAGCCACAACCAACCCCAACTATAGTGCCCAAGTCTGCGCTGGCTTGACAAGTGGCCGCTTCCCCTTTGGATCATCTTTATTCCTCCCGTGCCTAGCCGACCTCTCGCGCTGCCTCCCCTCCATCCGCTTCGTCATGACCCGCTGCAAGCTCATTGGCAGATCCTCCGGCACCTCGTCCCCTCCGTGGCCACCGTCCGCAGCACCGTCACCGCTGCCTCCCCAGATACTATTTGACCGGTGCCTTAACTCGATGCCGTCGCCAATGTCTATGCCCACAGCCGTGCCGGTAGTAGTGCCGTAAGAAGGCATCTTGCCGAGCGTGAAGCCCCGCCTCCTGCGCATGAAGCTGCTGCCACTCCGGCTCTTAATCTTTTGGGCTTCCTGCATCTCCGCTTCTGCGGCTTCTGCTGCGGCTGTATTCCGATCTGACTCGCGCTCCTTGATCTTCTTGACGTACTCGTGGAACTTGGGGCGTTCCAGCATTCCGCTGCGGAACGCGTTAACCCCGACCAATAGCTTGGCAAGGTCTACCAGCTCTTCTAGATATTCAATGATTTCCACTGTGACATGGTTAATATATCTAGTTAAAGTACTATAGATTTATGCAGAGGCCGAGTAATTTGGCGCATAAGGTAATAGAAAAGGGGGCGACAGTGATTCCAAGGGACTACTTACTAATACCGGCGGAGCTGGCATTCCAGGCTAAGAAGCTTTGCCGAGTCATCGATTTCAAGACGTGCGCCTGGAGATGGATAGATCCGCTCGCCGGACTAACCGGAGTCTGGACGCCAGAGTTATATGCTGACTTAATGTCTTGCTCAAGTACGAGCTCGCGGACTCGGCTGATGTATCGTAATTGTGCCACACGACTAGATGGAAGGAACTGCGGAAGAGGTAATCGGGTCGTTAGGGCTTCGTGAACGGCGAAGAGGGTGAGCATGATGCTGGCCGCTACGTTACGACGGTAGGGTAGGACCTCCGTATTTAGCTCTTCAAGTACGCTGCTCCCATAGGCCTTGCGAATATGCAGCATATTGTCCATGCGATCGAGTATTTGAAATAAGACATATATCATCTCGCTGTAGATCAACGCTTGCCCGTTAAAACTCCCCTTAATCCTCGGCTCTGTGAGACAAAAAGGTAAGAAAGTGCGGGCGGCAGCAAGGGCCTGTTCGGCCTTCTCCTTGGCGTCCTTGAAGTTCTCGTTGAGTGAGCTGGATTTAATATTGATATTTTGAGGTGAATCTATGCCCACAGCTATCGACGCTTCCATCTGCGATATCTGCTGGATGCTCGAAGCTAGGGACTCGACAAGCCTGTCTCGAGCTCGGACGGGGAAAAGGCACATTTCGACGAGAAGCGCAATCGTCCCACCGATGAGGAAGCATACCATTCGTTTAACAAAGATCTCCCACGCATTTTCTCCGACCGGCTGAAGTATTGTTGCTAATAGCTTGTTAGACTTATGGATAAGTTCGGATGTGGTGTCGGAATAGCTACTTACCAAGCCCCACCACTGACATACTAACCATGGAAATTATGCCTGTTTTTACGTATGGTGTACCAAGATGGATGTAAGATGACGGTATAATGCCAAATATAAGAACAACCACAGCGACAATTCGGTTTCCTTGTCCAATTTCGTAAGCAAGAAAGCCAACCACACAGCCAAAGATGACACCGAAAACCCTGAGAAAGAACCCCTGAAATGAAGTCCCCACTGAAACTTCGAAGACGAGAACCAGCTGAAGAGATGCCCAAGATCCACGAACAGAATTATACCATGCTAGTTATTTGATTATTAGTTATCAGTTTGTTACGTTTGGAGATGGCATGATTACCATTCAATGATGGCACGAACGCCGGCCACGTAACGATAAATGCTGCTACACACATTTTAAGGGCAAAGGCGAGATCGTCGGAGTCGGCAAAGAACTCAACCATATCAGCAGCTAATCCGCGTAGCCACATTATTCCACTCGTTTCGGATTTCTGGGGACCTTTTCGCATCGGGATCTTGCCTTTCTCGGGAACGGTAGGTTGCTTCGAAATAACGTGGCCCGTTTCTTCATCTTCGGTACGTCTAAGCAGTTGTTCTTCGGTGTCATCCGTGTCGTCGCCGCGTCTTCCAATATCTTCCTTAATACCGTAGCCAGTCCTTGCCTCCTTCCTTGCATTCTCCGGGAGAGCGTTTATGTCACGTTCGCCGCCACTTGTGAGCCACTTCTTCCAACCAATTTTAGGCCAGTAGAGCCGTCGACGGCCATGTCGTGCTTGTCTTTTCTCAACAAGAGCTCTAGAATGCCTTAACATCTCGCTGATCTGGGTAGCTGCATGCCGTATGCTAATTAGGAACGACGAGATTAAATGTGTTTCCATCTTCGGCGTAATATCTCTCTATGGTTGCATAATTAGTTAATATAAAATACGATTACAGAAATAACGAAGAATCATGGCGAACATACCCGTGATTTTCCACCATACTGTATAGAGGCTGCGTGCTCAAGAGCCATAGCCGAATCGTGGTCAAATTGCACCAACGCTTCCACAAACATGTTAGTTCTAAGATCAATTTCTTCCATACTGATCCCCTTAGGAGTTGGGGCACCGGATGGAAGATTTGGTACATCGTAGCAATAAGCTAGTGCGCAAATTATGAGATGAAGAGCAGCCTTTATCTGATGTTGGAGGCACTTGGTCGGCCCACGAATCTGATTAAGAATATGCTCGAGAAATTCGATGTCGCCGGACTCTATTTCTCGAATTGGTTTAACAAGCTCGAGTTTCCGTTCGTATTTGGATTTCCTCCGTGACTTTTTAGTCTCTCGTTCCGACTTATTGTCACTACTGTCGCTCTCAGCCTCGCTGTCCGAATCGGATTCTGATTCTGATTCGGAGTCTTCGTCGTCGGATGTTTTTTCGCCCGGCGCATCTTGCTCGTTCTTTTCGTATTTATATCCTGCTAGTGCATATTTGCTCTCGCAAGCATTGATAAGACAGATAGTTACTTGAACGAGGCGTGTCATCAAAGTCATACTAATGGGCTTCAAAGACCGCGGAGGGAGGACAGTATACACCAGCTCGAAGTTACACTCCGCTTGAGCCTTCTTAGAGCTACCGAGCTGAGCCCTCAACTTTGCTTTCTTCTCAGTCAAGGCTATAAGCCTAGTACGTAAGGTTATCCAGGCTTCTTTCTCCTTCTCTGCATCCCCGTCATCTGACTTTCTGGTATCGGACATAAACCAATCTCCAGACTCTTGGAAAGAATCGATGGTGGCGCATAACGATTCTATCGTAGATCTACCAAGGAACCCGCTCGAGAATTCGGGAAAGATGGTAATATTTACGAGTACGATTACACCAACCGCCGTAAGGACGGGGTACGCAATATGTGTAACGATACCAGCTGATACAGATGTGGTAGCACTTGTTAAGATGGTGATGTTGATGAGTAGGAAGAAAAACACAAACATGAATAGCCTCGGTGCCCAAGAACGTAGAACACCATGAAGAATCAATGCTGTGGTGAAGAATATAGCCCTAATTGTCCAAGCTGCTTGAATATCGGTATGATAGACAAGGCTCGAAAGATATAGGCCTAAGATACCCCAAGCGATCCCGACGAAAGTGCCAAGGATAATGAGCATTAAGACTTCAGTCATCTGGCCAAACCGCTGTCCAGGATGTCCAAATACCGAAGCCATAGCGCCGAGATATGTCGACTGGCCGTATACAGCAATTACTGCCGGGACAAGCCCGATGATCAGATTGATGGTGATGCATACGGTGTTCTTGACCATTCTCTTCCAGAGATTGTTCTTCTGGAGATTCGACTTGACCGTACCCTTCCATTGCTGAAGTTGTCGCTGAAGCTTCCGCTTCCAAAGCTGGATTATTGCCATGGTCCCTGCGATGATTCCAAACCGAACCCTACCCGTAGAGGATATTTCGATCCAGGCATGATAATAAAGCTAGAGCCGGTCAAGTTAAGTAAGGTAGGTTACTAAATTGCTCAGGACTTATACTTGTGACTTTGTTAGTATAACGTATTGGCTGTGAAGGTGTGTATAAGGGTGTGTGTCTAAAAGATGCAGATTGCATATCTTAAATAATCTAGTGGTACGGAAAAATAACGGCGTGCTCTTTAGCATCACTCATCACTCAATTGAAATCGTCGTTAAAAAAGCTAAGGTAATGATTATCGGCCCCACTCTACCCCAACTACTTCATTTGGCTTGGCACTCTACGAATGATATCATCCCGAAGCAAGTGAAAACGTCCGATCTTGGTTATTGGCGGCTTGTGTTACTGTTGCACTTGCAGGGGTAGCTGAGCTCTATATAGGTATGCACTAAGGGCATGTACAGTAACTAGAATAATAGCTTATATATAGTGCGCCAATAAGTACTCGATACTTCTTTGATCGCGGGGTTCGCGCATGTGAGTACATAATCGAAGAACAACTCAAAAGTTGCATGTTGCTTTGCTACCAGTGAGATGTTTAGCGTCAACTTCTAGCGATTATCTTCAGTAATACCACCAATCTGTTGGAGTTCACGAGCCTTCGGGCTGTGTACCGTCGAAATGGCTCCATCAGCAAATCTGACTGTAAGGCTGTTCTTGTATTGCTTGTTCCCATGGCTGGGAGGTCGTCCGTTTACAACACCTAGACAGCTAATGAACCACTTGAACCCATAGACGAAGTTGAAAGTCCAACTGAAGCTATCCATTGCACGACTGCGCATGGTGCAGCAGCGCGATGAAGCTATGGGGAAGACTCAAAGAAGGGCGATGGCCCAATTACTAGACGTTGGTAAGATCGATTCGGCGAAGATAAGAGTCGAGAATATCATTCGATCCGATATCACTACAGAACTCCACGAGATCCTTGAATTGTATTGCGAGTTGCTACTAGCGCGGGCTGGCCTTTTAGAGGGCAGCATATGCGATCCTGGACTGGAAGAGGCAGTGAAAAGCATCATATACGCTGCCCCCAAGACAGAGATCAAAGAATTACAGCAGGTACGCGCACTTTTGGGGGAGAAGTATGGCAAGGAATTCGTGTTGTCGGCTATGGAAAATTCAGATCAGAAGGTCTCCGAAAAGGTCGTCAAGAAACTCAGCGTCACTCCACCTCGAGAAGAGCTTGTCCAGGGTTATCTGGAAGAGATCGCAAGGGCGTACGGGGTCAACTGGCCGAGACGAGCTAAGGATTTGGGGGAACCACCGGAATTCGTGGACGACAACACGGGCGATAGTCCAAGCGGTGGTCAAGCACAGAAGGCCTCTGAGGCAGCTCATTCTGCTGACAGCAAAGCCGCGCTGGAAAGGGAAGCGCTGAACCGTGCAACACCTCCTCGATCCCTAGGACTGGATACTCCCGTGCATGTTAATCCACCAAGTCCATCCACCGATAATCCTCGCCCTAGAGTCACGTTGAACTCGGTGGAATTGAAGCCTAGTCAGAAGATGATTGATGCTGGCATATCAAAGGCCAGCGATAGTAAGAAGGATGGGATGAGTCTTGATGAACTAACAGCTCGCTTTGCTGCTCTAAAGCGTTAATGCGTCTAAATCCCGGGAAGACATTTCGCTCTCCGATAGAGCTGCCTACTTTTCCTTGGTTTTATCTTACGGTTCATCCCTTATTAAATTACATAGGTACCTATCTTATAGTAAACCTGCTGGCTACATAACTATGTGTGCCCAAATACGTTATCAACAACACTGGTTATGAAAAACGCAATATTGTTCTAAGTACTCAATCCAGTTTATACCATAGTTGCCATATAAGTTAATACTCGAGTGAAAGCATTTAGGTAGCCAATATCTAGATATCATAGTAAGATATCTAGGTGTTTAGGTGGATGTTTTATGCACGATGTAGGGGATACAGTACATACATACATGTACATGTAGGCATCGGCGGAGGGTACATAAAAGCCCAAATATACCTACCTACATAGGTTGATACATGATGTACCTAGGAGGTATTCAACTGCACACCTTATGTACATGCAGGCGGTTACTGGAGATGCGGGTGCTGTTTCCGAGTTTATCTGTTGTTTATATGCGTGGAGTTCCTGCTATAGTCTCCAAGGCAGTTACCCAGGTAATTGTACCATACATACCTATGTACACATCGAACATAGTTCCTACCTCTTCTTCAGTTATACGGGGCTTAATTAGCATACAGGCTACTTGCCCATAGTGACCCTGACCGGACTCCTAGTCTCCTTCCAACTTAATTTCTTATGGTATGTGTATTGTTCTTTCTTTCTTTACACTTGCACTCCCATCTTACCTACCCTCTCGCCCTAGTCCCGTGAGACTTGATTCTTACACCCTCATTCATATTCTCGTTAATCTTTTCACTAGACGGGACACGAGTTACCACTCTGAAGCTAGGCCTCTCCTTTTTACTACTTGCATCTTAAGTGCTGCAACCTAGATTCGTCGGCAACAAACAGGAACCGCATCGTTTTTACAACCCTTCTTTTCAAACCACAAGCCCTAATCGTATCCATCAGATACAGCACATTACTCTCATCTATCTCGTTCTTGCGCGATCCTTGTTATTAAAATCATCATGGATCTTCAACCTAGCTTGCAGACTCTGGGTATAGATGACCTGGCTGATATTACTCTCAACGAACTCGAGGGTAGAATTCAACATGTACACCCCAACCAATTATCCAAACAGGACGTGCTCCAAGTATTCATGAGATGGCTTCATGAACGAATTAAAAAAGACATCCAACAGAAGTCTTTGTTATCAGAATTTGCCAACCTGCTTTTGACAGGCGGGAAGCTGCAACAGGGGCCATTTAGCGAAGATGAAGTTGCAGAAGCCCTCAAAGAATGGCAAAGAAAGGATGCTGTGGAAACCCCTGCAAACATACGTAGGTATCAGATGGTACAGCTAGATTTCCATGAGTTATTTGAGCAGGCCAGGCGTGGCTCCAGGCAAGAGAAAGATTCGTCCACGAGATCAACTTCAAGCCAGGAGGAAAACTCCTTAGTCCGTCTGAACAAACTGATTAACTCTCAAGATATAGCTGAAATGGAAATGATGGAATCGACAGCCCCGTGGGTACCTAGTGGGGGAAAGCAGAAGACGGGTGCCAACGAAATTCCTCTAGGGCGAAAGGCCGACCTACGGAGCAACATCTACAACGAGATCGTCAAAATTAAGGAAAAGAACAAGAAGAAGAGCTCAACTAAAGTTAATAAATTATCACCCGTAGAACAGGCAGGAAAGTTGAGTTCGGGGGACGTAACTTCAAGGGAGGCTAGCCCAATCAAAAGTTACGAGCCCGTCATATCAGACTATTCTTCGCTGAATATGCCTCCCTATTTAGCCACATCTCCCCCATACGGGTATATTTGCAAGCGTTGCGACCAGCCAGGTAATGAAACCCGATAGAGAAGCGAAGTCCTCTCCGCTAACATTGACCATAGGACACTGGATTCAGCTTTGCCCTACTAATTTGGACCCAAAATGGGACCAACCACCTCCCCAGTATTATCGATGTGAAATCTGCAAAGTATCTGGCAGGCATTTTGCAACGTTGTGTCCTCAAAATGAGTATGAGCTCTCCTTAACGCAACAGCGTCTTCGTATTAAAGATCAACCAAAGACGCCTGCGCGAGAATATTCCCATTACCGAGACCGTTCTCCTTTCACGCCATCTCCCCGCGGCCGCTCTCGAAGTCCTGCCTACTATTCACAACGTAAAAGTCATGGTGCTTATAGACAAGACAAAAGCCCGAAGGATCGATCCTATAATTCAGGCGGCCGATACAAATCGCAAGACGACCGTAGAAGTGTCTCGCCTTGGACAGCGCGCGAGCGCATGACTCGAGGGTCATATCATAGAGAAGAGTCTCCTCGTGAATACTCTTTGAGTAGTTATCGTCTGAGAAGGCGTCCAACCACTCCGCCTCGAGAGAGTCGAAAGCGAGTCAAAACCCTCCCCCCCGAAGAACGACGCCGCCCGTTCTTAGATTTAAATAAGACTAAGAAAAAAGCGGACGAGGGGAGGCTTGGATATGACAATGATGAATTTATGGGTTCGCATATTTCTCTGGTAATGCCAAAGGAAACTTCCCTTCCCGAGAGTCGTCTCTCGGATACGGTTGAAAGTAAGGATGAACTGATGGCGGACGCAGCATCAGTCCCTAAAGATACGGATGAAGACGTTGAGAAAGCTAGAAAAGAAGCAACCGAATTCCTCGACGCTCTCGCGGTTGAAATTTTCTCAGGCAGAACGCAAGCTCCTCTTCTTACAGACGAGGTGAACATCGACGGAAGTAAGAAATAAGATGGTGGTCTTAGTAAGGGTACCCTTGCCCCGACGAAGATCGCAGACTAGCACCTCCAGAGACTAGCACTCCAACCTGACGCTATCTCCCTCTTCAGTGGCCGTACGATCCCGATAGTTCATACCGCCAGGGAGATGACCGAGGAAGCCCAGGAGCCTATATACCTTCTAGAACAACAAGAGCATCAGCCACGGGGCGAAATATTTGAGATGAACGGGCTGTTCGCTCCCCTTTGTTTTTTCTCTCAAGGTGGTGTAGCAGATACACACATACCATATTATAAACTATGGAAGAACCAATACTATTCTCGACATTTCAATCTGCGCTTCACAGTCACCCCGATACTAAAAGTATCTAACCCCCAAGCTGGACGATAGAGTGATAAAGACTGATATGGTGGTGGTGGCTTGAGTTCTATCTATTTTCGTACTTGCGGGGCCTTCCGAATATACATTATGCGTTCTCTTTGCAGCATTTAACTTTGCGACCCTTTCTGTCACTTTATGTATCTCGAGCTTGCTACACATATTGGCAGGACACCCAAGCATCTATTGAGACAGATGTTTATGTGCAAAAGATGCTGATACTGAGCTTAGTTAATGTTTCGCGGCTTCATACTCACGAATCTCGTTGAGATAGCTGACGATTATATCATAGCTATCCCTGACCTGATTGAGTCGAACGGAGAGCTATCTACCTAGGTACTAGCAGCATAGCATTAGTCCATAGCATTATTTTAATCCAATAGATATTGCATTAACAAAACCCGGGGGTCGGCGAAATATTCGTAGGATATTAGGCGGCATTACGCGATGAATTCGACGGTCGACCCGGGATCCAGGAGAAAACAATGCTCAAATAGATATGTGTGCGTGCTCGCAAGAGTATGACCTGCTGCCCAATTCTAAATTTGCCAAAACGCCATACGCCTCTGCCTAGCAGAATAGCTATTCGCAAGCTAAACCTATCCTATACACAAGAATTCTCTGCATGTTCGCCTTCCTCTAGGTACCCCTCTGGAAACACTTCGTAGACTCTTTCCTCGGGTATCCGAAACGTGCTACTCGAGCTTATCGAGGTGCTCGAGGCGGGTGAGGACGACCTGTTTACTGGTCTCTTCGATCTCACCGGCGAGGAAGACCTCGTCGAGAATGGCGTAGACCTTGTAGAAGTTGAAGACGAGATCGAGCTCGCAGACGTTGCCGAAGAAGGCGTCGAGGACCTCGACGAAGAAGTGGATGGCCTCGAGGTAGGCGAGCTCGTTGTCGTTGGTGTCGACGCAGGCGCAGAAGAAGAGGCCCGCGTATCGGCGGTACACGATCTTGTAGTTGCGGAACTCGACGAAGTTGGACTGGTACTTTTGGTCGCGCGGCGCGACTAGCCGGTGCACCTCGCCCTTCAGCTTGATCTTCTCCTCGTCGCTGTACGGCACGTACCACTTCGCTAGCCGCGTCTTGCCTCTGTTGTTGGGGATTGGGAGGTTAGGGATTGGCAATTGGTGATGTAGAGAGAGATGCTTACTGTCGGTTCTGTATTAATATGAAGGACAACATCTTGGACCTCGACGCGGTTATTGCTATCCGAGCGAGGATGGCAATGGGTGTATGTAAGTTCGAGGTGAAGTTCGCCAGGGGTTCGTTTAGTGGTGGGGACTTGGGGTTTAGTGGACGTTTAAGAGCGACGTTTGGCTGCATAATAGGTGCATAAGATTAGGTACATGATCTAGGTATCTACCTAGGTAGGTTAGGTACGTACAGGTGTGGCTTGTAAGGCCCCTATGCATGTAGGTAAGATTTATTAAGAAGTACCTAGGTACTATTACACTCACAAAACATTAACCAAGCAGAGTCGAGAATAGAAGTCATACTTATAGATATACCATATCTATATTTTCGACTATATAAACGCAAGTTCACACTCTACAATAACACTCCACTCTGGTTTTGCACACACCTGGCCCTTAGATATCAAACTTCTCACCCACCAGCTCCTCGCTCAACTTCCACAACTTCTCCGCGAGCTCCGGGTCCGTCGCCCAGTCCTTAACCTCGTTGGGGTCAGTCGTCAGGTTAGTATTCTGCAAGTAGACGCCCTCCTCCTTGACCAAGTCCGGGTCTAGAGCTGCGCGGAGAGTCGTCCCGCAACCCTGCTGCAGCGTCTTATACGGTTCGGCCGCCCGGAACTCGGCGGTCGTCATGCCCGTGGTCTTCTGTATGGCTGCATCCATAAGCGATGCCAGACGCGCGCCATCCATCTGTCGGGTGTGGGCATGTATGTTCGTCTGGATGCTGCCCGGGTGCACGGCGAAGGCGCGGATGCCGCGCGAGGACAGGCGCTTGTTCAGGCCCACCGTGTACAGGAGGTTGGCGCTCTTGGATTGTCCGTAGGACGTGAATTCGCCGTACGAGCCCGGCTGCGCGAAATTCGGGTCTTCGAAACGCACCCCCGTGAGCTTGTGTGCCAGGCTACTGAGGTTGACGAGCCTTGCGCCAGGTCCGGCCGCGATGATCTTGGGCATGATCTTATTGGTGAGAACGAAGTGGCCCAGATGATTGGACTGAAACTGCAGCTCTAGTTTATCCTCTGTCAGCTCGAAAGGGGTCGCCATGACGGCCGCGTTGTTGATCACCACGTCGATTTTGGTGATCTCTGGGTCATCGAGGATAGCCTGCGCTGCCTTCCGGACGCTCTTGAGTGAGGCAAAGTTGGCTTGGACGAACTTGGTCTTTACGCCAGGGTTAGCCTTTTTGATGGCGTCGATGACGGTTTGTGCCTTCTCTGGGGAGCGCCCGACGAGGATGAGCAGAGCCGGGGACTCTGTGGCAAGCGAGGTGACTGTCTCGGCACCGATGCCGCCAGGGCTTGGGCCAGTTAAGAGGACTAGATAATGTCAGTCTATCATACTTCTGGGGCTGGGAGAGCATACTTACAAGTTCTTCCTTTCACCTGGTCAGCAAACTTGTGAACAAGTTCGAGACCTTCGGTATTTCTGTCGTAAGTGGCCATTGCTGATAAGTTTATCGCTGATAGTGTTGAGTAGATAGATCTGGTGGTTTTGGATAGGGCTATGTGGATTTATCTTGGAACGAGTCCTTAGTTCTTCTGCTTACTCGTTGAGCTCTATATAGTCGCCGATGCTTACATTGAACCTCTAGGCACGATTCTTACAGTTTTGCAGGCTACCATCTGCATTTAGCGGTCTTAACCATGATAACGCCGGGATGACTTCATCTTCTATGTACACGAGATTCATAGGGAAAGTCTCCGAAGATGTCCCTTTAAAGTCCGAGTGGTTAGGCTGTGTGATTACCTGTTGAATATTGCAGTGTTTAATGACATGTATATAAAATAGAATGTGGATGGCGCCATCCTAAGACGTTATTGACCCGTGCCAGTATCTCTAGTAGGAAAAACCCCGGTTTTGCTACTTTAACTCCAAACCCCGAGGACGTATGCAGGTAACAAACCATCAATATAAAAGCAGTAGAGTACAATTGACAAACAAGTACGAACTTCAGAGGAACGTTTGCCGTTCATATTATTTTAGCTCATTAGGAGGCAAATGATGGCAATTGCCCCCAACTTAGATTTACTAGGAATAACTATAGATATTTTATAAGCAGCCATTGGTTTTACAGGTACATACCCTTTTGACGCCTGAGCAAGATATGGCGGGGAGAAAAGAATAAATGTCAATAATAGGTATGTAGTTACAAGAACTAAAGCGCAGGTTTAAGGCTCTACTCTGTGCAATTGATAATCGGAAGAACTCAGAATGAATCAAAAAAAAAAAAAAAAAAAAAAAAAAAAGGCGTATTTGTTTATAACGCTGAAAATAGTATTTGACGTATAAGGGAAATTAGTTTCGATATCATGTCAGATAATTCACTATTACTAAATTGCCGAATTGTCTTGTTAATTTTTATTCAACTCTTTCTACGTCAATTGTAGGCTAAGGTAGGTTATGTAGGTTATGTACGGATCCGTATCTCATATGTAAGCTGTTGCAGGGATTGGCCCTGTCAGGTACAGAGATACTTCGTACTTCATATGCACATGCATGTACATATAAACGGACGCGTAGTATAAAGCCACAGTCGAATAACGATGGATGCTCTGTGGCGTAGCCTGCATCTGTAGATCTAGTTTCAAGCTTCCGATTGGTCAAAGCGGGTTTGTTGTTTTAAGATTCAAGATCCTATGTGAGAACTTAAGTCTACAGTAACTGGCTTTCACAAGACGACACCTGCGTAAGTTTCTTCTAAGCTAGACGATTAACGCATGTATGTCCTTATTGTGTTAATATCGTTCATTCTAAGTATTATCACGAGTCGTCCCGAGATTTTATGACGCTTTGATGAGATAGCCATCTTTAACATTGCGTAGTTATTTGATGGTCTAGCCTCTGTTCGCTTAGGCTTGGTTGTCAGTTGTCGACTTACACGGCAACTAATCCCTCTGACGATTATACAACTCGGCAGCTATACACTATTGCCGCATGAACCTTTCGAATCGGCGAGTACATGAATACAATGATACATGAGCTCTTTTCAAAAGCCCTAGACGACTAAGCAATCACCAAATTTACAGATTCTTTCCTCATTCTTTAGAGTGCCTTCTCTTCTAAATTCACAACCACTATTTACTTGACCTCTCATTCCTACCCTAGGTATTTTACCTAATATTTTCTCATCTTTCTTCCTCCCAGCTCTACGAGAAAGCAAAAGTTCTCTTTTCAGTCCGGACATCTTGATCGGTGCGAGTGTTCCTGCCCAACGAATATACAGGCACCGTTTCCCCCCTCTTCTACAAATATATTACGCTCGTCTTCTCGAACCACACATAACCTTGTTCAACTCCTCTCTTCTACCGCAATGAACAACCCCTCCCCCTCATCCGCCATGGGTTCGGACGACGAAATATCAACTTTTCGTATCGTGAAAAGTGATGGAGTAGTAGTCTCCGAAGACCGCGTGTCACACAAAAGAGCAAATCCAAGTTCCGAAGACAACTGGCTACGTAAACTCGGAGAGATGTTAGGCTCACAATTCTACCCCAAATCAAGTTCGTCAACTGCGCGAGATAAAACAATAGAGCATACTAACCTTCATCAGGCCATAAATTCATCCTAGAGGCGTTCCCGAAAAACTACACTCTCCGACAGAAATTCCGAGAAGGTATGTCGTCGACCTAACCCTATATTTTATTATGTATATATATATGTACTTATAGAAACGATTGTAGCCAAAAGTACTTCCGACGCAGCCTCTTCTGATACAGTTGTAGGTAAAGTCGTTTCGGACTGCTACCTCTATGGATATCCAGATCTCGGGACCAAAGGCCGTAGCAAGGCCTCGCTCAAGAACTACAGATCTCCGGCTGAATTCTTTGACCACTTGTTGTGGTTGGTAACTGATGGCGAAGACCGATCCAAGTGCTATTGCAAGCATTGCAAGTCACACAACAGTTCTCAAACAAAGACACCGACTGCGAAGGTTCAGATTCCGACTAAATCCGGCCCTGCCGCGAAACTGTCGGGATCGCTCGGTGGTAATTCCCCAGCACAGTCCGCTACGACGTCTACCGCGTCCAGTCCGGCACCCAGCGGCCCCTCGGGAGCCTCAGTAACTTCAGGAACCTCAGGAACTTCAGGAACTTCAGGAACTTCGGCCCAAAGAGTCGCCTCTGCCGCATTGACAACACAAGCAGCGACAAGTCCTGTCCCAGTGGTGCTTCAACATGACGAGCCTCCGCTCTTTAGGGAGGGAGAAGTCGTGTGGTACATCTTACACCCTTCCTTCCGCTTGGGGCTTGTCATACAAAATCTGCCTAGCAATCCAGCTACCTCGACTCCTGCTATGCATAAAATAAAACCTTTGTCGCACTCCCTAAGAGCCCTTGGCGATGTTATACAGCCCGAGGCTGATATGAGGCCATTCCTGGCGTTTAGTGTCCCCGCTCCTCATCCAATCCTCGACAAGTTCGCCAACCACCCTATAGAAGCGATCCCGTGGGATGCACTAGAGGCCCAGGTCAGCAAGATAGACGGAGCACTAAGCGTTGAAGCCTCCAAAGTAGGCGCAAGTCGTGTCGACCACTCGTATTCTCTGTTCAACCCCCTCATGGACCCTACGCTCCAACCTAACCAACAGAGTTTCGGCGGTGTGTTCTTTGGTTGCGAAAAGATCTGCGCGTTTGAGGCCATCCGAGTACGGCTCGAGCAGGCTGAGCATCCGGAGTGGGATAATCCCGAGCTTCCCTTCGCTATGGTAGTTAGGAAAATTGTGCTGGAGGGAACAGACAAGGGAGAAGAGCTCTTTTTCCACGGCGACCTCTGGCTCCTGCAGGAAACCGATTCGCCGACCCACGGAGATACACTGAAATATGTCACCCAGGCCATGGTCCGCGAGAAAATGTTTCGAGACAGGGTGAAGCACGCATCGAACACACATTTCGAGTGGGTCCTGATCCAGAATCCCATCAAGAAGTCCGAGGCGTACGTCCGAGGACGATTCCACGAGTCAGAGAAGCTAGGCCCGTTGCTCGACACAAACTGGGCCGCAACGGTACAGCAGGGACACTTCATGCCCGCCCATCATAAGTCTCTAAATAACCGCGGCGACTCCAAGAGCTTCAACGTCGGTCGAAAGGAATCGCGTTCGGATACATTCGCCGGCATCTTCCCACCGGGCACAGTCCTATCTTTCGGACCTGACGTCGTGGAGCGGCCTGGAAACGCTTACCATCCTCATTAATCATATAGTACTGCGATAGATGAGACCCTCGTGATTGCATGGCCGTCGTTTAAGGTTACGATGGATTGGTTGGTCGGTGGCTTTGCATAGGTATCCAGCATAACACCGGCGCTGAAAATGAAGTTCGTCGTCTCCGATGGTGGAGGCAAAGACAGAGCACGATCAGGATAAGGGGGATGGTATCATCATTCATGGTTTTTATTAGGTTTCTTTTTCTTTTGGACTCACCCCTTAGTGGCAGGATTTGTTGCCTGCCAACGGGATAGTTTCCATGCTCATTTCACAGTCTACCATCTACTGGGCTTTTCTTCGCTTTAGCAAAGTACCTAAGGCAATTAAGGTCCAGTACGCGCTGGTCTAACCCTCTTAATTAGGTATTCTAGAATCAATGCAAAATGTTAGAGTTTAACCCGTAGGTGTCTTCATAAATATATCTAGGACTCGGGCTTGATTTATATCGTTTAACTTCCGGCTGATGTTACTTGAAAGGACATCGATAATCATCTAAGCTAGCCGTCTAAGCAGATCGAGTATATTGTTCCGCCACTCCGCGTCTTACCAGATCAAAAATCTAATTTGAAATGATGTTTTCTCTATATACATCAAGAGAGGTCAACGTCATACACGACATTTCCAACGGTGACTTGCCTCCTACGAGATAGAACGGGGTACATCGTTACCCTGTTGGCAATCCACAGAATAAAAAGCAATAACTATATCAATACCATATATAGTAATCCCACCTTCATCTGCACGAGGCTAAGCAATATCCCCACAGAAAACTCGCCGACGGATAAGCATTCTAGCGACATGTCACTTTGCAGTTCTTCGCTGACGAGAGATGATACATGACGACCCGACAGGTTGGGTCGAAAACACGTCGCTAATCTTAGGTAGTTTCCGATTAGGGCGCGTATGCACATACATACATACATACATACATACATAGACGAACCCCATGAACCCCATGAACCCCATGAACCCGTCGCAGATATGTATAATACATACCCATTACTGCTCATTAAATATGTAGGGCGGACCATATTAAGAGCCCGTATCCGCGCGGCGCGGAGTAGAGCCGCACGTGTAATAGTTATGGTCGTCTATTCTATCCACCCGCCCGCCTATCCACCATGTGGTGTACGTAGGTATGTATGTAGCGTCTGCATGAACGAGCCTGAACCAAGACCCCCAGACCGCTTCGCCTCTTAGCAAACATCCCAGGAATTAGTAGGATAATGCTTGTAGCATATCTTAGCCCCCTTGCGGACAAAACGTACTTATGTATGTATATATGTACATACCGCGACGAAACTCAAACAGCCTTGCTTACTCGCTACCTTGCGTCGTATTTCCACTTGCGAGGCTGCCCCTACTACATAGGTAGGTAGGTATACATATGTATATGTAGGGTAGGTTAGCGTCGAGCCTCGACCGATCATCCCCAGGTGGTAGATACGGATACGCAATAACGTAGACCGTGCCCGTAGCCCCCGCGAGCATCCACCACGTCCAGCTGCTATTACGTTGCGGGTTCGAACGAAGATGGTATGTATGAGGCGAGCGGAGGGCAGTCCGGCATATTAGTATCGACGGCAAAACATGGTCTAAATGTGTTAGTTGGGTATGTAAAAGCCGGCCTTGTCGCGGGCTTGTCCGCGAGGCTCGGTCCGTCTCTCACTACCCAATCTACCTACCTAATGTAAGTGTATGTATGTACATACAATACGTTACATACCTAATTACCTATATATCCCCCCCAGCCGCTCTAATCAAAGTCTAGAACGTACGTGAATTGCATGCATGCACATGTTCGTTACCATTACAACATGGCCAAGCATACTCCAAGGCTACGTCGCCTCTCTAACGTCTGATTGTTTATTCTATCAGCGAAGTTTTCGGACTTATGTACCTATCCTCATATTAACTCTAACGTTGTGTTGGTGGTCTGCCTTCCTTACCTAATAATAAGGAATAAAAGGAATAATAAGAAATCAAGATTGCCGCGATGGGAAGTTGATAATAAAATAGCCATGCCGGATTGGACCGGGAATATCTCAATACCCAAAAGTGGTAAAAAACCGTAGTCTTGGCATTTTATATCACGCGAATGATTAGAACATCCCTTATCGATTTCAACATCTCCTCGGACACGTTTTTCTGAGAAATGACCGCCGGGAATAACGGGCGACTGGGGGAATGACGTTTCAGATGGGTACTTGGCAGAAGGGTGCGGGAGTTTCCGTTCGCCGCCGCCTCGTGACGGCCCTCGAGGAATAAGGGAGATCAACGTGATTTGAGCGTGGCCAGATCGGCAACGTGGGAAAGAAAACCCCCCCAGAAGAAGATAAGCGCGATACGTTGGAGATCTTGGCCGAGGATGTGCATAATATGTATATAAAAAAAAAAAGTGTATAGGTATTGCATAAATGACGAATAACAATTCAACTATTGTTACATAAAACCACATATTCAAATTAACGTGTACGCTAAACCCAATCGAAAAGAAAAGGGATCGTAAAATCACCGGAACTTAACCCCTTTAAGGTTCTCGGTACCACAAATAATCATTGTACGGCACAAGCGCCGCTTACTAGTTCGGAAGTTCCGAAATTCAACCTAGGCGAAACAGAGAATAGGCCACCCAGGCTACCGGGTCGCTAGCCAAAATAAATCTGGTCGGCGGGGTCCGGGTTCCCACGGTCGCTCCTGTCAATTGCTAATTGCTCCTCATCTCGTGGGTAGGAAGCGGAAAGCTTGGTTGCAGATCTGCATCATCAGGGACCTAAAAAAAAAAAACCTACGGTGCCCAGCCAGGTTAAACATCGGTACATAGTCGCGGAGGAGATTTCTAGATTTGTCTTCTCCATTTTATCCACTTTCCACTTCGCCCAGTCCAGCCTTTCCCAGAACGTAGGTAGGTTTTGCCCCCTCTTGCCCATGTTAAGAAAGAAAACCCCGGACTGCCTGACTGCCTGGGTTCGACGTCTTCTTTGCTGTTCCCATCCGTCGGTATGTACAACTTTCTATGTACCTACTATGTAATTCTGTCAGCAATTACCTACCTAGGTAGGTAGGCAATTACATAGGATTGGCGAGGATAAAGCTAGCCGGGTTTCTTTGCAGCGAGAGTCGCTAACTTTCAACCGATGCAACGTACAGCGCGTATCGCCCAACAATCGGGCGCTTAAATAGCGAGGGTAGCCTGTTAGCCTGCGATGGCCTTGTTCTTTTCGATTACCTATTTATACGTAAGCACGGAGGGTAGCATACATACATCCATTTGGTTTCATTCCACCAAACTTCTCCAGGTGCTAAGAAAAGCCACCCGCCCCGAACGGCTGGTTTAGGTTGATAACGTCTTATTCTTCGGCGCTTTATACATATACACATGAACCCGGAAGGACCCAAAGGGACCCAAAAGGACCCAGAGGGGCGGAATGCACCTCTACACTCAAACACCGAGGCTCATATCGGCGATACCAGACAATTACGTCTGCCGGATGCCGGAGTAAGCGAACCAAAGCCGAGAGAACTTTCCAGATTGATTAAATGGTGTAATTATTGCATCTATGAACTAGGGTATCTATCAAGTATGAAAAGGATAACTGATTAATATGTAAAAGTTGATGTGTTTTAGTGCGGCGCATAGGTGGATTGTTCAATCAGCTACGCTGACCGCAACTTTCCAGGTCATGCTTTGAGATATAATAGACTGATTTGATATTGGTCCGAGTCCGACTGCTCAGTCATGCAAGCAATACTCTCGATGCACTTTAGTAGGTTGTGCCTCAAGATTGCGTCACCTTATTTAGAGCGTACTTGAAAAGCTGTGGTTGTAGTTGTAAGAAACGCCGCATACCCTCCATCAGAGTGATGCATAAGCATTTCTCGTTACTTTCTCATGCGAGTGATCGAAGGAACATGCGGTGCGACCAACAATCCAGCAGGACTTCAAAGTGATTGGAGTGGGGGAGACAGAGTAAGCTTAAACTTGTTAGGTTAAGTGGAGATGCAATGTAACGAGAGTTGCGAGTCAGCAATTATGGGCTTGAATTGCCCAATCCGAAGAGAGTTATGCTACCATACCTGAAATTGCTGGGCTCAAGGCCGTTAGATCAGATCGAACGAAGATTGACTAGGAAGTAGAGCTCAACGAGCATCAAAGATAATGACTTTTATATAGGTATATATATATCAACTATATGGCAAACGTATATATTTCTCATCTCGATGTTGGGGTATCGAGATCGACATGAAGGGTAATTATATTGTCATTGCAACTCGGCAGCAAAACTATCAACTTAGTGCCAGTTGTCTTGTGCGTCCATCTGACTCGCGCACAATAAACGTAGTAGTTAACGTGGTAGTTATTTATCTTGAGAGTACCAATGTGTCTGATCAATCTTCGCAAGAATAGGAAGTTGGAATAAGTTTAAATATCAACGCGTGCTTCAGGTGGTATAATGCGGTTCATATCGTAATTCGTTGCACATAATGTTACCGTCGGTAGATTCGATATATATACACCTGGTCCGAATATGAAGGGTTGTTAGAAAGGTAATCCAGTCTTAGGTACATGCTGTGAAGCAAAACCAAGTTCCATAGGAGTAAGATTCGGTTAGGTTGGGATTCTCGTCCGGTTTCATTTAGGCTTATGAAGTATGTTCGAAACAGTTAACTATCCGCAGTCGACAGGGCCGCCACGCGGAGTCGGAGGGTTTCCAAAATATCGGGATCTGGTTCGGGGTCGACTTTCCTAGGCTTGACTCGCGGGCAATCGGTGCACTTCTTGTGCGAACAATTGCGACATTCGGTTCCGTCGTCCGAGTTTGGCGGAAACTTCTTTCTACATTCGTGACAGGCGTGGACTCCTTTAAAGTTTGTACCAGGTTCGTCATTAGGATATCCATATGGATACTTGTTCTTGTCATTCCTGTACAATGTTAGGCACTGGTAAACTGATAGGAAGAGAAGGCAACTTACGGTTCTCTCGGGCAGTCAGCACAGCGTTTGTGACCGCAATTGTCGCAAACTCTTCCTTGCTTGGAATGACCGGTGATCAGATTATTACACTCGTGGCAATGCCTCCTGACACGCACGCGGGCCTTGCCCTTGTAGACCAGATCCTGCCCTGTCTTACGGGGACGCTTCAAGACAACTTTCTCTGCATAATCGTAGCTAGGGATAATAGGAGCATTCAGCTTGTTCTTTCGGATGACTGCCTCCCTCTTTTCTCGCATAGCCTGCTTCTCTTCTTCCGTACGCAGCTTGGCAGGGTGTCGAGTACACAATTTACAACGCTTGTGCTTACAACTAGGACACTCATCGCCAGCAGCGAACGCGGAATGGCATTGATGACACTCCCGGTGAATCCGCATGCGGACCGACTTCTCAACTCGGAGCACATCTCCCTCGGTAGAATGCCATTCACTTGGTTTTATCTCCAAGCCAAACCTGGTGCCGAGTTTCTTCGCACGTTCCTCATGAATCTGTATCCGAGGAATCTT